GAATGCCAAAGCCTTCGCCTCTGTCTTGTAGCATCTAATTTACAAGGCAAATTTAAATCAACAAATACAATTAGTATCGTAACTTAATTATATATATTTATTTATAGTTCATGAAACGCAATATAGGTAGTTATAACATAGTTTAAGAACATGATTCGTATACCTTGAAAGCATCTTCGTCGGTCCGATCATCGCCGATGTAAACCGGAAAAACGTTGTTAGAGTTCCCAAATCCTGTCGTAACCAAAGTTTCAAAATTAATACAGTCTTTAAATTGACTGTGTCCAAATTTCCAAAGGTGAATTGAGAAGCATGTTGATGATAAATAATGATTAGTGGAGAAAAAGTACTTTTATATAAAAAGACAAGACAAAATTCATGCTTTAATTATAGATTGAAAAGAAAATAAATTAAAAAGAGAGTGCTACTCAGTACTCACCAAGTGACTCTAATAAGAACTCAAGAGCTTTTCCTTTATCCCAATCAATCATAGGACGGATTTCGAAAACCTGCCGATTTAATTCCAAAACAAATTTAAATCATTTTGCATTCACTGTTTTAAAAACAAAACTAGATTTCAAAGGGTTTCTCTTAAGTACGTTTGACCAAAGTGAGAATGTCATGTCATACCTTCCGACCTTGGGTCAGTTTCAGCGTAGGGTAATCCTTTAATACAGACCGAACCTGTAGAACCAGTTCGCTCCATTTCTGGAGTGTTATGTTTTACATTTCAATGTTAGTTTTCCTTCTTGTAGTAAATTTTTCTCTAAATGTGATTTCGATGTTACCTTCTCGTCGACGCAACGAAAGTGCACGGAAGCACAAAACTTGTGGTTTTCTATTTTGACTCCTGGGGTTGATTTGGTTTTCTCCAATAGTTGTTTATAGACCTTTAAAAATCAAACACATATATTAAATTGTTATAATCCAATACTCAAGCCACTAGCCACATGTATATTTGTCGTTACAACAACAACCAAAGAAACATATACTTATTTATTTAATAAACCCAACATAACATAGAGTATGTCTTCTTACTTCGTCGATCATGGGAAGATAGTCACTGGCTGGTTGGTACAGAAGAGACTGTTTAACCTAAATAAAAAAGGAATTAAATAAGCTTAAACGAAAATAAAGAAATATTAATAGTTTGTTTCTATCAATTAATTAGGTTATTTGAAATTACCCTCTTGTGTCTAGACAAGCCTTTTGCTGGGCCTTTAATGTCCATGCCATGGCTTCCAGCATAATACAGCTCAGCTAGCTTCACAAAGTTATACACCTTTGAAACAAAAACAATTATAAAAGAAAACAATTAATAAACTATATAAAATATGGGGAAAATGCCAAGAAGAATAAAAAAAAAAACAAATACCTTGTCTATACATCTACCAGTAACTATAGCAGTGGGGAAACATTTGGCCAGTTTTTTCACTGTTCTTCTCATCTGAGAATTACATCAATCAAAATGTGATTAATGACAGAGATTAATATGATTAAGTCAATCAGAAATGTTATTGTCAAGACGAACCTTGCTTGACATGTAAGCCCTGTCTGGATCATCAACGATGGGAGAGAGAGTACCGTCATAATCAAGAAACATTACGATTTGTTTCCCTGCCGAAGCTTCCATGATCTGTTCGAACATGTCTAATGCCGAAGGATGATCCATCTATCGGAAACACAAGTAAGAAAATGTAAGAGAAAGACACATCAAGAGTTTGTGTGAGAGAGAGAGAGAGAGAGAGAGAGAGAGAGAGAGAGAGAGTAACGGTGACTACTTACGATCCATGAGTTGAGTTGTTGCTGTGAGGAGATAGACGAAGGAAGTGCTTTGAGATGAGTAGGAGAAGAAGCTCGCATTGAATCTACCCAAGCGTTGATTCTTTGGCCACCATTGATGATTTCGAGATTCTTGAGAAGCTTTTTCTTGGAGATTGAGATGAAACCAGGATGAGCCGTTGGGGCTTTCTGGGCAGAAGATGAGTTGTTGGGGATGATACTTGACCTTGTGGTCTCTGATACGACAACGTTTTGGCTCGCTGACATTCTCTGTGGCTTTTCAACGACAAAACTTACTGCGAAAAACAGAGTATAAGTATTGGTTATTCAGAGAGAGATTTTAGATGAAATTCTACTGAGACTAAAGCTTACCCATTTGAGAGAATTAAAGATCCGAGTTGAAATATGTGAATCAAAGATAGATTGAGATTAAGGGAGAGAAGAAAGAAAAAGATCAACAGAGAGGAAGGAGATGATGATGAGGAGGATTTGTGTGTTTTTTCCACTCCTGCGAATTAGTTTATGTAGGAGAAGTTACAAAGAGCAAACGAGTGGGACCAACCAAACCCGAGAAGTAGTGGGACCTACTGGGCCTAATAATGGGTTTTTCTGGGCCCACGTTTTGATGGTCTCATTCGCGTACGTTGTAATATGTTTGCGTGTCTAATGTTACCGAACCATGCGAGTCGTCGAATCCGCGTATCCTCCTTTTTCTATTTCGATTATTGCAAAACTAAGTAAAACGTGATAATATTAAAAACACTATACAGATTAGTATAATCTGATTAAGAAAAGTATAGTATTGTTTTTCATTTCCTTAATATCCCATTGAAATTTTAAAACTTTGATTTTTGTAATGTAAACTAGAGCTTGTTTTTGGCAATTGTCTCTCCTTCATTTCTAAAATGCTAACAGTAAACCTATTGTATATCCAATTTCTTTTATATATTTTAGCATAAACGAGATGTAAATAATCTTAGTCTCGTTCTCATTAATTCCCCGATGCTTTTAACCAAAAGAGAAAACATATAAATAAGAATACTGGATTGTATCATACCATTTCACAATGTATCAAGACACACTTGCTTACCAGATACATATCTAAAATTAAGTACATTTAATATTGGTATCAATATATTGATTAACCAGATATATATCGGATTAAAAAAGTATATTTAATAGTATATTAGTACACCATATGGTTTCAGTTACATCCTATTGTTAAGAAGCCTGTTTTAAATTTATTTTCTTGATTTCGAGAATGTCAACCGATAGGGAACCTTTTCAGAAAATGAGATTCGTAAACTCCTTTGAATTTAAATGTTGTGGAGGTTACATGAATGATGTATATCAAATAACACATTTAAGATATTAATATTCATAAACGTTGAGTAGCTACATTTAATTGTATTTCAAAAGTGATAATATTACAATAATTATAACTTTACGGGAAAAATATTCTGATTATATCTATAATCAAACCAAATTGATACAATGTTACTTTTTATAGCCACGACGAATAATTATTCGAATATATTTTTGCATGTGTAGTCTCTCCTTTTTAGGGGTGTCAAAGTGCTCTGGTGTAGTTTCTCGATTTAATGTATGTTGAATGGGAATTTAGACTGATATTTATGTGAACGTGCTCTAGGTAAATGATACATGCACAAATATCTCATACTTTTTGTCTAAACATCGGTCTCTGTTAATATAGAGGTCGTACATTATTGTTTGTATATCATTTTAGTAACACCAGATCATATTCAGTTTGTATCTCACTTATTAGCTTGGCATAAAGTTCTTCTGCGTCCAAAGTATGCTCGCAAATCCGATTTTGAAGAATTTATTGGTCTGAACTCAAAACCAAGCAAAAGAAATAACAGTGTACACAGTACACATAAGCAAATAAGAATCAAGAAGGCTACACGACGGCAAATCAAAACCCGCATGTTTAGGCAAAATCAACCCATTTGATCTTGTATCAAATTTATAGTAACTTGGTTCTTTTTGAATTTAAAATGATTCTAGCACGCGTAGTAATCAAATTAATTAGACTTGCATCAGTTACGAAAGTCTATATATCGACTTTGAGTTTTCTTGATCTCGCTATTACCAGTTGTATATACCAGTCTACTATGTGAGTAGATGAACAAATAGTATAATAATTACAATTCACCTTATAGAATATTGTGTAACGATCAGTATCTAGATAATTTTCAAGTTCAATTATATATTCGAAGGTCTTATATATGGAGTGTGAGGCTACTTAGCCAGCCATGGACCGGAAAGGAGCCTAAGAGATGAAAAAGACTCGTACACGTGTGTCGCTCACTACCTGAAACTATAGGTGATATGACTCGTACGTCTGGCTCTTGTCCTGCTTCGAGCCGCGCACCGGAAGTCGGCAGTTCTTTTTTTATCAAACCTAAAAGCGAATAAGAACATGCATGCATAATAATTTAGTAATAAAGTACTTGGAAAACCGGAAAAGTAATAACACATATTACTTCATTGTACGTGTGTACACGAAGCCCACAAGTTCTGCGTCTCCACTAATCAATCGATCGAAGCATCTGTTTTCTTTAATATGATGTTTTTTGTTTTTTGTAGCTGGTTGCTTAAGGGTTAACGTATTTTGCTAGTTAACCACTCGTTTTAAGAATTGTTTATAGCTTTTATTATGTTATTAATTTAGGGTTTCGAGGTGATTAGTACAAATTAGTTTGCTTGACCTTTTGTTTTTACTTTAAACTAGTTTCCTTCCCGCATACCAGTTTTACTTTTATGATATTTTCTCTGTCTGACCTTTTATGATATGTTAGAGTACTGTGTTAGTCTAAAACCTTACACCACATGTACATCCATAGACAAAATTAGGAGCTTAATAGGTGTGTCTTATATTAAAATATTTATGATCTTGATACCATAATCAAGAGCTTGATATCTCCACTTATAAATTTGAAATTACAGTTCTTTCAACAATGATATGTAGGAAACTTGTCTTCTTAGATTTAATTTGATATGGTGAGACCACAGTATTTAAGGTATTATGAGAAATCTACATACGTCGTTGTGAACACCTTAATTTACATATAGAACTAAAAAACCAACGTGAACCCCATAAGATCACCAAAAATAGAATCGGGTCGAGAAAAACTCGGACTTTGTTTCGTTCGTACAAGTCTCCCATTTTCTTTCTAAATATCAACTTAACAAATCTATGGTTCATTTTCCGTTTCTCTTACAAGACCAGGTCAACAGGCAATAGCCATAGGGAGAAAAAAAGACAAACGAAGAACAAATAAAAAAAGAGGAAAAAATAAGAATTGACAGAAGAGAACAGAACAGAAGACAAACTTACCACCAAGTCTATTGACAATTTTTACATCAATTTGAGAAGAGAGAAAACAAAATATCATTCTTCTTCTTCTTCCATTTGTTCATTCTGACCTAGTTTGATTATAATGCCATTTTGTATAAAGTTATCGATTCAAGAAGAGGACACGCAGCAAAAGAAGCTTCCTCTATCTCCTCTCTCTTCTTAACAATGGTGTCTTTCTCTTCTTCAAATACCAAACGTTGAGGCTCTGTTTCGCTACATTTCTATCTTCCAATATTACCTTCCGCGACAGGGTTTTGTTACATTCTAGCGGCGGAAGGATGGCGGAAAATCCGGTGGAGAAAAGGTCGCGTTGTGGGTTCTTGGGCGTCGTGTTTGGTAGACGTGGCTTGTGGTCCAAGAAATGTTCCACGGACAATGGTAGCCATAGAAGCGCAATGAGTAGCAGCACCGCCTCCTCCGCTACCGCTACCGCCAACACTGCTAACATTCAGTTCACCAAATCTCCAGGTACCGAATTAAACCAGAAAAAGCTTCAAGATCATAAAGTTTCACCTGAACCTATCCCGATCCAGAACCAGAACCAGAACCAGATGCAGAGACCTGTCTCAAAACCCTCACCGAATCAACACCCTAATAACCACCAATCAGGCAATAACGGTAACTACCAACAGAGTACTAATAATCCAGGGCCGGTCCAACAACAAGCGAGGAAGGTGCCAAGGGAAGCCATCGGTTTATCCGGTGAGCTAGAGAGCATGATCATCGATAATCAGAAAGCAAAAGGGAGCAAAGGCTCCATGGTCCGAGCATCTTCTAGCAATGTGATGTTGTTTGGCAATCTTGGGAACTTGAAGCAGCCTGGATCAGCGTTTAGTAGGGATCAAACAACTGCTCAGAACAACGGATACGGGAATGCTGGTGGAGGGTATGGGGCGAGGAAGACGATGGAAGAGGAAAGACGGATATCGGCTGCACCAAACCCGGTTTCGAATGACCAAGATCAGTCAGGATCTTTGTGTAGAGCGATCTCCACGCGGATGGATCCTGAAACGTTGAAAATAATGGGGAATGAAGATTACAAAAACGGGAACTTCGCAGAGGCCTTAGCGTTGTATGACGCTGCAATAGCCATCGATCCGAAGAAGGCTGCGTATCGTAGCAACAAAAGCGCAGCTTTAACGGCGTTGGGGAGAATACTTGAAGCAGTATTTGAGTGTAGAGAAGCAATCAGAATGGAGCCTCATTACCATAGAGCACACCATCGGTTAGCTAACTTGTACCTCAGGTAATCTCTCATCCAAACCCTACCTTGCAACCCACACATATATATATATATATATATTCTCATACTTTTTAATAAAAATAATATAAACTTGAAACCGATAGGTTAGGAGAGGTCGAGAACTCGATATATCATTTCAAGCATTCGGGTCCAGAAGCAGACCAAGAAGACATTTTGAAGGCTAAAACGGTTCAAACACATCTCAACAAGTGCACAGAGGCCAAAAGATTGCGAGATTGGAACACTTTGATCAAAGAAACGGAAAGCACCATAGCTTCAGGCGCCGATGCAGCCCCCCAAGTATATGCATTGCAAGCAGAAGCCTTTTTGAAGAGTTACAGACATCAAGAGGCCGATGATGCTCTGTCTAGATGTCCGGTTTTCGATGTGGAAATGAGCACAAAGTATTACGGACCAATCGGTTACGCTGGTTTCTTGGTCGTCTGGGCTCAGGTTCACATGTCTTCCGGCAGGTTTGTTCTCTTTGACTCTCTCTCTCCAAACTTCAAAACCAAACCGAACCAAAAAAAAATTCAAATGTCTACTGGTCATGTTTAGATGATTAAAGCCATCCTTAACCGGTTTTGGATCAAAACGGTTTTTGTTCAATCAGATTCGGAGAGGCCGTGGAGGCGATTCAACGAGCGAACAAGCTGGACGGGAACAACAGGGAAGTGAGTATGGTTCTCCGGCGTGCGCAGGCGGTTACGGCGGCGCGGTCGAAAGGCAACGATTTCTTCAAAGCGGGACGATTTCAAGAAGCTAGCGCGGCTTATGGCGAAGGATTAGACCACGACTCGAGAAACTCAGTCTTGCTATGTAACCGAGCGGCTTGTCTGTCTAAAATGGGCCAATTCGATAGAGCCGTTGAAGACTCCACAACCGCACTCACCGTCCGTCCTGGCTACGCCAAGGCTCGACTCAGGAGAGCCGATTGTAACGCTAAGGTAATATGGGTTAATGTTTTGAAATAAATTTTTATTAGGCCTTTCATGCAATTATATATATATAACAGGTAGCATTCGCAAAATCGTGTTTTATAACAGAGTGTTTTAAATTTAAGTTTTTTTTTTCCTCTACGTTGCAGCTTGGGAATTGGGAATCGGCGGTTAAAGATTACGAGATATTGATAAAAGAGACACCGGAAGACGAGGAAGTGACCAGAGGATTGTCGGAGGCTCAGAAGCAGCTCGTGAACCGCCGTGGCCGTGACTCTTGAAATCGTCCGGGACGTTACAGACGGAATCGGGTCTTGACCTTTTTTTTTGGTCAAGGGAAATTGAGAAGCTCTTTAAATTTTTTAATTAATCACAAACAGAATTTTTTAATTTTCTATCTCGGTGTAAATACAACAACTCGAATTACCGACGTTATATTATAATTTAGAACAAAGATTTAAACTTTTACTAAAATATTTATATTCCGAGATGATTTTTTTCATTTGATTTTTGTTCTGTACTGCTGCATTTGCCAGTTTGTTGTTCTCTAGAATATTGCTAAAAGCTTAGCCGACATGAAAGATGGAGATGAATGAAGAAAGATAACAAATTGATGTGGACAGACTTTAAAAATGAACTCTTATATATACGCGAACGCAAAATAGTTATGTTTTTAATAAGACGAGTTTTATCTCTACACTAAATGAGCGACAAGGCCATGTAGCAGAAGAAGGAGGAGAAGAAGAGAGTTGAATAATCTCATGGAAGAGAAGCTGCATGATGGTGATGATGATGATGATGATGGTGTTTTGGAAGGAGTTTTACCTGCAATTGCTGGTGAAACCGCATGGCCTCTGCTTTGCTGCTCCTCTGTTGGCAACGGATATGGCGATGAAGTGCTTCCCGGTGAAGTCTGAGGCGGCGCTATCTTATCCTCTTGACCTGCGATGAAAATCGATTTAGCTTTGGATCCATAAAAGAGGTCTTAATCAGTAATAATGTTCTGTAAAATCGAAAGCTCACATTTGGAGGCTGACCAGCCTAGCTTCATGTTCTCTCTATCGAAAACCATTCGATACCCTCTCATGTAGTTCTCTGCAAAAAAGAAGAAGAAGATAAGTTTAATTCATGGAGGCACAGAGACAGAGAGAATGTGAATAAGGCTTATCACATACGTCCTATGCTTCCTATGTCTTCTTGTCCACTAGAACTGATAGGCAAGCAAAACTGGACAGTCCCCTGAAAATTTGATTTCATCAAAATCTAAATCTTGTTGTGAAGCATGAGTTTATATGTATATGGAAATGGTCTAACCTGGCTTTGTTCGAGTTCAAACAAAGGTTTGTGAATCACGAATGTGTTGTTGTGCGAAAACTTGAGTTTGATCGCTGGTACCTTTGGCTCAACACTAATCCATCAAACAAAAAGAGAATCGAACCAAAAAAAAAAAACATTTTGTAAGAGAGAATCTCAATTACATAAAACCAAGCAAGTAGCTACTTTCTCTATGTTGTGTACCTAGTCTCATAGCAATAATCCCATGGGCCACCTTTGACTCTCTTAATCGTAGCGTTTACATGACTGTCAATCTCAAGCGCAACTTCTCTGTATGTTTCTTCTGGTAGATATGTAAATGATTGTCCACTGTCAATCAAAGTTCTGAAACTTGTCTGCTTCAGACACGAATTGCCAATACAACATGCCTCCACGCCCACAATGTAGGCTACACTGTAGAACAAAAATCAACAGAAGTTGCTTAGTACAAGTAAAATCTGTCTTCAGCAGAAGTATTGAAGATCATTTATTTGTCATTACTATTCGTCGTCAAGCGGAATGAATTGTGTTGATTGTTGCATCGACGGTCCCATATCACCGAAGTAAATTCTTCCTGAATCTTCCTCGTCAAAGCACATGGAGAAAGAGTTTCGCATGAGTCCTGCTTTAGAAAGAAAACTTGGAACCGAGATGTCTCCAAGTCCTAAACCCATCAAGCCATCAGGAGCAACACCATTCAAGTATTCACCACTTTGCTTCTTACCACATCTGCAAAATATGAAGAACAACACTTATTCAATACTAAAACTCGGAACACAAACATAAATCGAACATACAAATAGGAACACAAACGCACCCTATAACAACTCGAGCCTTGACAGAGGAGGAAGCGTTCATCAATCTATTGTTTGTTTCATAGGCAAGATGTAAGATGTCCTCAACAAGTAATCCCGAGCTCGAGGTGTTGCCACTAGCGTAGTTAACAGTATAAGGGCATTGCTCCCTCGGGGTCTCACAGCTTGGAGCTGATTCACAAAGCTTATGGCTGCACAAAAACACCTTGCTGGTGCTTGAACTCGATGGATCATACTCGTTCAGGTCTTTGGTAGCCTGCAGAACATGTGCTCCCAAACACGAGGAAGCATCTGCCAATCAATCAATAGGAAATAAGCGCTAAACCGGTCATCATTTTCACTAACTGAGTGCATAAGCAAACCATGCTTATCGTCTTTAAATCACATACCAGGCTGCTATAGTAAGTGGATGTTAAAGGTGCGCACTGCACACAGTTGCAAGGAATCCAAAGTAGATCACTTCCAGAATCCAAAGCCACAAGAAACGACACTTTTGGAGTCCCTATGTCGATCCACGTGTAGTGTAGCCTGAGTGAAAAACACCATCAAATACAAAATTCATTACAAGGAATCAACAAAGTTCATAACTTATTTCACCACACAGATTATTTATCCAAAAACAATTAAACACAAAGGAAAAGACTTGCTGTCTCATGTGAATAATGAGCATAAATATCAAGCAGAGTGATCATAAGTCGAAACACAGGACTAGCAAACAATTTTCCAAACTTTTTACTTCAGGATCGAATCTAAAGGTGCAAAATTTAGAAACTTCACGAAGATTGGGTGATTTGATTTAATTAAAAAGAGGAACTTTTTCATTTCAGTGTGAAGACTAAAAGGAAAAGAAATTACCATCCAAAGTAATTTCCAGTAGAAATCGTTTTGCTTCCTTCTGATGGAACAAGGGACTGAAACTTGGCACCGAGATTCATCCTCTGTCTTCTGAAATCACTACTCGCGAGCAACCGGTAATACTCCAAGCTCCGCTTCTCCGGCAACGAATCCGACGATGTCGGAGTCTTAATCGACGCTCTGCCTTCGTCGGAGAAGCGATGGATCAGCCTTGAGGAGAATACTGAGGCCAGAGTCTCTTCTGTGGCTAGAGCAAAAAAACAGAAGAGTAACAGAGCAGATCGTGACGCCATTTTTCGAGCTAGGGTTTTGCTGAAAGAGGAAATAGTTTCCAGATTACTGGGCCTGGAACTGTTATCGAAGAGCAGAATCTCAGTAAAATTGGGTTTTGGATCAAGGTGTGTGTAGAGAAGCGATTTGTAGATATACTGAGACTGTGAATGTTGGTCGCAGCTATGAGTCTATGACTGACTCAGAGAGATAGAGAGTGAGAGAGAAGGAGTAGCTTAACGGGAAGAAAGTATGGTTGTATAATGACGTAATTACCCCGAGCGTTGTACTTTTTACACGTGTAGTCAATCATTTGTCCGGTTTGGCTACCACGAAATTACGGTTTTATCTTAATCCATGTGCATAATTTTGGTAGGTGTTAATCGGATGGCCCGATCAACAAAATAGCAGATTAATCGGAGAGTAATCAAGATTAGTTTTTACAAAAAAAATTAAAAATATATTAGATTATACAGTATGTCAAAATAATTAGATATTTGGTTTAATAAATTAGTTTCCAAGCCTATGTTAATGATGATTACGGCTGAATTGGGTTTTTTTTTTGTCAGAATATATATTTTCATATTAAATTATTCAAATTAAAATACAATATTGGTATCACCTAAGATGGCGGAGAAAATTATTTTCATTTCAACTACTTCATTAAACTTATAATTTACTTTCTTGTTAACTTCAGTAGTACTAAAGAAAATGTCTGTAAATTTCAATATCACCAGCCAAAAGCTATATATTTATAGGAATTTGCTTATATATGTCTTCTAAATGCTAGGTTTTCATTTTATAAAATAATGTTGGAAAGAAATTAATTTACTCAAATAACTTTACAGGTCTTTGTATTTTTCATATATATACCGATTGTTTGAGCGCGAGAATTCGTTTGGTTAACGCGAAAAGTTTTGAAATATTATTTTTAAAAATTATTTTTTTTTTACTAAAAATAACATTATTGCTTTAAACGATTTGCCTTACATATGAATAGTGCAGCTTTTGTTCAAAAATGTGGGTGTGAAATTATAGATTATAAGATTATTCAATCTAATCATAATAAAAATCAAAAATATTTTAAAAAAACTTTCAAATTCTCATGATTTTTGGTTTGAAATAATAAATTTCATATTTTATCTATAATTTTTCTATCAAATATAGTTAAAAACAAAATGAAATCTATGAAAATAAATAAAAAGATCTCGACGACTGTAATTCAAATATCGAAAACCGTGAATGAAAAAAAAGACATATTAATTACTTTTTTGTTCTCATTAAAAGGTAAGAAAAATAGCCAAAATGAGTTTGTAAGTATAACCCATTTTTCATCTTTTAAAAACAAAGTATGACGAATAGTCTAATCATTGTTGCGGCAACATTGCCGATGCAGAACAATCCGAACAATCCTATTTCGGCAAATTCACGAGGTTTATTAACAAAATTCGTATTGAACACTGAGCAAGTTTTTATTCAGCAAATTCTTATTGAGTAAGTTGAAGGTAATCTAATATAAATAGAGGTGGATGCATTCTTTGTAAACACAAGCCTCTATTTCACAATGTTAAGAAAAAAAAAAAAAGCATTAACCCAACTCAGCTATATTCATCATTAACGCTCGGAAACTTATTTATTTAACCACATATATAACTATTTTAACATAATCTAATATAATATTTTAAAATATTCAAAACTAATCCTTAACTACTCTCTAATTAATCTGTAATTTTTCTGTTACGCACTAGGTCCAATCCGGCCACTAGCAAAACTTTGAACATGGGAGCAAGTGTAACCAATCATTCGTCCGGTTTGGTTCGACGAAATTACGGTTTTATCAACCAACAGACATATTTTATCAACCAACAAAAATATTTATCAATTGTTAAAAAAATATTTATCAACCAACTAATTAGTAGTGCTAATCAACAAAAATCATTCATCACGTAAAAAAAAAAAAAGTACCCTCAGTGGTTATTCGTTAAACGAAAAGAGATAATGGTTTAAAATCGGTCCGGTACTGTAGGTTGGTTTGCTGTCGGCCACCTTAAGAAACCCTAATTTAAATGTAAAACCCAAAGCCGATCGAAAAACCCAATCACTTGTCGGTAATAACGCCGGAAAAATGGGTCACGGCAAGCACAGGCGATCGAGAGGAGGCAATTCGAATCCAGGCCAAACCAGTAGGACTTATAATCTTGAAAGGTATAATTTTGTTTTGTTTTCTTCTTCTTTCGGGTCGAGCTTTCTCTCTGGTCGACTAGTAACGGCTTCGTTGAAATTGCAGGGAAGCTGAATCGCTTCCTCTTGATCAAGGTACCTGAAACTTGATTTTTTTCTTTAGCTGTGTTGTGTAATTTGATCGGCTTTAGATGTTGAATGTCCCAGTAATGTTTGAATTGGGTGAATTATCGTAGAACCTGAGGATGAAGCACCAGGTCCAAAAGTTCAATTGGCAATGTGGGTATGCATGACTTCCTTGCGTTTAAATGATCCAAATCCAAAGTAAACCTTCAATGATCGAACTGCTTCAGTGCTCACAACTGTAAATATTGTTTGTTTGTTGTTTCAGGATTTTGGTCAGTGTGATGCAAAGAGATGCACTGGTCGTAAGCTTGCTCGATTTAACCTGTTAAAAGTAAGTATCGTGGCCGAATAAAACAGATACATATGTTCTCTTTTTTTCGAAAATGTGTAAGCTGAAAATTGATTTTGTAGGAGTTACGGGTTAACACTGGCTTCGGAGGCGTTGTTTTGAGGTATCTCTCTACCTGTTATTACTCTTTATCTTAGGGTCATTTGTAATGGCATTACTGAAGTAGATGACGAACGCAGCTTTAATCCTAGTCTGTGTGTTATGATTTTGGCAGTCCCGTTGGTAGACAATGTGTGTCCAAGGAAGACTACAGTCTGATTAAAAGAAAAGGATTAGCCGTTGTTGATTGTTCTTGGGCTCGTCTAAGTGATGTACCGTTTGTGAAGCTGCGTTGTACTGCTCCTCGCCTCCGTAAGAAGTTTCAATCAATCACTTTGTTTAAAGAGGATTTTATTTAGCCAACATCTCTTAGTTAACTCTGTTTCTGTACAATGGTTGTAGTTCCATGGTTAGTAGCAGCTAATCCAGTAAATTATGGAAGGCCATGTGAGCTATCCTGTGTAGAAGCTTTGTCTGCGGCTTTAATACTATGGTGAGCCATGGCTTCTTCTCTTTCGCTTACGGTCGTACATTATTAGGTTTTCTGATATGCCTTTGCTCTATTTGTTTTTCAATCAGTGGGGAGGAGGAAACTGCAAATCTCTTGCTAGGGAAATTCAAATGGGGTCATGCCTTTTTGTCTCTCAACAAGTAAACAATACTGAAGAAGCAACATCTTCACATCGTTTTGTTTTTGGATCTACGTATACATTTGGAGTATCTGATTTCTTTTTTTAAACTGGGTCTCGCTATTACTGCAGGGATATTCTAAAGGAGTACTCGAAATGCGAGAATAGTGCTGAGATCATCTCAGTTCAAAATTCTTGGCTTTCACAGCAAACTCAGGTCCCAAAACAACCACCTCCGCTTGAAGAGCGTAAGCCGCATTTCCAAATCTCTCTCTCTCTCTCTCTCTCTCTCTCTCTCTCTCAGTAGACCAATCGTATGATGATTTCACCATGAATAACAAGACCTTGCTTGTGGCTTGTGTGTGTTGTGTAGGTGTTAGGAAAGAAGGTGAATCTGGTGGTGAATCAGAGGATGATGATGATGGTCTCCCTCCTCTAGAGAGGAACATGAACCATATGAAACTAGAAGACAGTGAGGAAGATGATGAAAACAGCGAGTGAGGAGAATCTTTGAAAGGTTCCATCGTTGGGGTTACAACACTAGGAGCAGTGTTGTTGAATCAACTTCTTTATGTGGGATCTCTTGTTGAGTATAATACCGTGTAGTATGTTTATTTATTTTTATTAATAAATATAAAAATATCTACTCCTTGTCTTAAAATTTTAATACTATTAAAAGCAACATTTTTGTTTTCTTCCATGTAAAAAATTCAAAACGTTTTTAGGTCAAACAAAATGAAAAATCTGAAAGTGAAATTAAAAATTGGAGAAAGGGAAACAAAAGTATCTGGAAATTAAAACACAACTTTCCTCTCTTCTCTGCGATTTTTGCTCCCCCATCCTCACTTTGGCGTCAAACGTTGTCGTTTTGGTCATCCCTTATTCCTAATCTGCTTCCGCCTTCAGTCTGTTCTAGGGTTTCTCCGTTCTCGCTCCGCCGCACTCTTTCCAGCTCCGTCGCATTCTTCTGTCGCCCAGCTCACCGGCTGTAACCAAATCCGGCTGCTTCTCCATCAAATTCTTAAACCGCTCGGTGGGATTTTAGCTTCTCCTTTCTCCAAAATTTCTGGGTTGTAAGCTTGTCTTTGGCTGGTTTTTGATAATCTTCACAGTCGTTGGTGGGATGAGTACTGTATTCAGTGAGCAGATCCTGATTGATAAGCTCGCGAAGCTCAATAGCACTCAACAATCCATCGAAAGTATCCTTTTTTTCAAAAATTATTATAGGTTTTAAATCTTTTCATAGAGATTCTAATCTTTTACTTAGATCTTGTAAATTTTGCTATTTTGTGTCAATCTCCGATTTTTGGTTTCTTGACTTTCTTGGAATAAGCTCTCTCACATTGGTGTATATTCAATCGGGTCAAAGCTGAATTGATCGTTACGACATGGGAGAAACAGTTTCACAGTACAGAGATGGCGCAGAAAGTGCCTCTTTTGTATCTGGCCAATGATATTCTTCAGAACAGTAAGCGTCAGGGCAATGAGTTCGTGCAAGAGTTCTGGAATGTTCTTCCTAAGGCCGTCAAAGACATTGTTTCTCAGGGAGATGATCGTGGGAAAGGCGTAGTTTCGCGTTTGGTAAATACTCTGTTTTTCGCTCTTTCTTTGCCGCTTGTGTTCGTGCTTCTTCTATTCTCTGCGAATGGTTTTTGTTACTTTATTTGTTAATATTGGTGTGCAGTTGCCTTTGAAGCTATAAATCCGGTGGAGAGAAAACATGTTTTGTGAATAGTTTCATGATGCCAGCATTTGGTTTCGTAATTCTGTTAATGCTTAGTCTCATGTTTTTTTCTGAATATGTAATCTCTTATCCTCTGGAAATGAGTTTGATACTTTGTATGTCATTATCAGTGTGCGATTGTGGTTCGCGAATTGGTTAAGATATCAGCACTTGTTTCTTCTGTGCAACTTCGTTTCTTAAGTATGTTTATGTTTGATCTCATATTTCATTTTGCGATACTGTAATGATGGATGTTGAGATGAAATTGATTTAAGGTTCTTGAGAATCGTCTTCTTCGTCGATTTGGTACTGCATTGATGTGTGATGCTATATAGTGAAACACCATTGAATTTTGTGAAGTTGAAACACGAATAACTTAAAAACTTTGCTGATAGAGATATTCTATTTACGTGATATTGTAGGTCAAGATATGGGAAGAAAGAAGAGTGTTTGGATCCCGTTCGAAGAATCTTAGAGACGTGATGCTTGGAGAAGATGTCCCTCTGCCACTTGAGGTCAGCAAAAAGCGGCCTCGCGGATCCAAATCCTCAAAACGGGATTCAAAATCGTCCAGAACGGTAAATCTCGAAACACCGAGAACTCCTTCTCTCCTTTATTGATATCAGTCAAATTTCCTTACGTTTGTTATTTCTTTTTGTTTGCTTTTGTAACCAGAAACTATCATCAAGTGGATGTGTGGCTGAGAAGATAGCATCAGCATATCATTTGGTTGTTGCAGAAAACTCAAATGAAGAAGCTGAGATGAATAAATGCAAGTCTGCAGTTAAACGAATCAGGAGGATGGAGAAAGACGTTGACGAAACCTGCTCTTCTGGTAAAATACATCTGTTTTTACTAATCATCTGGATCACCAACCACCTTTGTTCGGTTTTTCCCCCTTTAAATCCAGTGAACTCATATGTTCATGTCTCTCCAGCAAAAGACAGCCCGAAGAGGAAATCATTGGCGAAAGAACTGGAAGAAGAAGAATACCTTTTGAGACAATGTATGGAGAAACTTAAATCTGTTCAAGGAAGTAGATCTTCCCTTGTAAACCAGCTCAAAGACGCATTACGCGAACAGGTAATAATAATGATTTTGCGCACTTTGCCAAGTTAACTATTTTGTGAACTATCTTTCATTCTTTTGCGTGCTTATGTCAGGAATCCGAACTGGATAATCTTAAAGCCCAGATTCAGGTATGTGTTTGATTTGCCACTGCTTCTTTCGCTTCGCTTGTGACCTACCTGAGCTTTTTTAGCTCATGAACTGTTTTTGTATATGGTCAGGTGGCACAAGAACAAACAGAGGAAGCTCAAAACATGCAGAAACGGCTCAACGATGAGGATTATGCATCAAAACCAACAACCACGACCGAGACAAGCGACAACAACGCAAATTCTGGTCAAGCATCAAAAATGACGCCTGCTTCTATCGCTGCGATGCTCACAGCATCTACCTCGTCACATATGATCATGCAATCTGTTCTGTCTTCATTCGCTGCTGAAGCAACAAAGACTTCTGGCCTATCCAAATCAGAGAGCGCAGTTCCTGTTTCAGACACTAGTGCTTTTGTCCCTTCTTACAGCAACTCCCAGAACCAGACACTCACCACACAGGGTCAGTATCACGTTATCCCTAATCCAGCAGCAGCACCGCAACCACAGTTCCTAAAACCGCCGGTAATGAACAATCCTTATGGCTTTGGTAACATACCGTTAATGCCACCTGGACTTCCGCCGCCGCCTCCACCACCACAACACATGATAGGTAATCAACAGCCTCAAATTCCTCAGACGAACACAGCTCAACAACAGTCTCAACAAGGTCCAACTTTCCAGCCACCTGGAATCATGTATTATGGAGCTCCACACCATTCTTAAATTTAGATGTTTAGTTGTAGCTTTAGATAGTTCTGACCCTTTTTTATCTGGTGAAATGTGGTTTTAATGATACATTATTGGGTCAAATCAAAGCGGAAATATTGTTCCTGTGGTTGTAGAAACGTTCACGTTTTCCCTTACAACATAATGTAATATTATCATCCTCTCCCTCTATTACAAGGCTGAACAATCTTTTACATTCGTTTTGATAATAAACAGCCTTTAAACACGAACCTGATCATCCCTTTTTCATTAAAGCCCTCTTCTGGAGAGAATCCTTGAACCAGATGGGCATATGGTACATTATAGCCATGAAGGTTGAGTATCTGCCTGTAGAGAACCAAGCGGGAGGGTTCTTCTTTAGCACCGCAGCGACAGTGTCTTTGGCTTATGTTTCTGAAAGAAGAAGGCCCTCTCTATGATAGCTTCTTCGTAAGGCTTGTATAGTTTCAGCTCAGTCGTTTTGTTGAAAACTGCTACAGCTGAGTTCGCTAAGTTTGATCGTACTCCTCCTGGGACCACATCGATGACATCAATGCCAAACGGCTCGAGCTCTAACCTGCGTTTTATAAGTAACCATTACAAACAATTGAAGAACTAAGACCAATAATGGTCTCAAATCGTGAAAGTAAATACTAAAACCAAACCGGAGTGTATCGGTTAGAGAATGGATAGCAGCTTTGGTTGCAGTGTATCGGTTAATATAATTTTGTTATATATTTATTAAAAGAAAATAGTTCAATCATAGAATGACCTGTAAGTTAGTTTATTATATAAGCCAGAAACCAACAAATGTGTAGAACGTTATGAATTCTTTTATCTGTAAATAAGCTTAGTCTATACTATATGTACATTATATGTGATAAATCGGATCATTCTCTCATAATAAAAATACATTTAAATCGGACTTATACCATTGTTAATCACAAGCATTTAATTAGAAACTAAAACAATAATTAAAATAAATCTATATGTCATTTTTTTGTACTTTGACGACATACGAAACATGCATCTTCCCTCACTGCTAATGGGCTTTCGCTTCAAAAATAATTACGTTTGTGTTATTTTGTTTCTTTAATTTTATGGGAAATTAAACAATATTTAAACAAAATTCAATTAAAAAAAACAGTATTTATCGACATGGCACATTGGCGTTACAACGGATTCTTTTTCTACCGATTAGCAAAAGAAAAAGAAAGCAACGGATTCTTTTCTTGTTTTCAAACCAGAAGAAAGAGGTATAAATTCCGAAATCTGCTCTCTCTTCAGATCCCATAATCACAAAGACTCATCAATCGATCTTTCTAGAAACAAATTTTGCAACTTTCTGGTCAATTTTCAGCAATCACCATGTTAAACCAACCTGGATTTTCCGACCCAGATCTCCGGTTTTCGTTTTCCGATCATAAACCAACCTGAATCTTCCGACTCGTAAGTACCTAGAACTCTAATTTTCGTTTTCCGATCATAAAGTTTTGATTCAATTTCTTTTGGTTTCTCCTTTTCAAAATCGAATCTATTTGATGGTTCTTCTGTTAAATATCTTTGCTTTTTGTGTTACCAATCAAATAGTTGTCGTGCCTCGACTGTCGAGAAATGTTTGGGAAAGATAGTGTTCAAGGACATAACCACGAAGCTGTAAGTAATTTTACCATTTCTATCAAATCTTCTATAGAACAAATTGGCTTAGATTTTAGGTTCTTGGAATAAGATAATGAAGAATTGTTTCTGTGTTCTTGAATGCTTTTGTTTTTCTCTGTAATTAGGAGAAATATGGTCCAAAAGGTCAGTCAAAGCCATCCAATGGCACACCAGCAAAGCCACAGGACAACTCGAAGCAACAGCCAGATTTTGATATAAATGTTGGCTTATCAAATCTGTATCCATGGTTTTGTAGGTATTCACTTCTCTCGACCTTCCTTCAGTTTCCTGCTTTTGTGCATTTTAATGTCTCGAGGTTCGTCTACGTTTTATTAAGAAGATGATAGAGCCAATGTTAGGTTTTTCTTTCAAATGTATGCATCCTTGCCTGCTTGTGTTGTCTTGTGGTGAGAGTTTTAATGAGGACATGGTTTTGAGTATTTGTCTTATTCGTTTGCAGTTTGTGTAACACAAAGGCTACAAGCCAGCAGACTTTGCTTGCCCATGCCGATGGAAAAGCAAAAGCCTTTCATGCTAAACAGCAATCCACGGTGGATGCAACCGAAAGGTCTCAAATGGTGATTCCGAAGAGAAGAAAGTGGATTTACCTGTCTCCTCGGTTGTTGCTGAGAAGAAGAGAAAGCTAGAGACTTTGGACGAAACGAGTAACGGAGATGTACTTCAAGGCGAGGAAACAAATGGAGGTGAAGTAAAGAAAGCGAAGAAGAAGGACGATGAGAAGAAAATCAATTGGAAGAGGTTGATCACCTCGGCTTTGAAATCTGTACGTATATTAATCAACTTGCAATATCCAGTATTTTCAAATGCAATGTCGACTACATAATGTAACCCATCTATGAATTCGTATTTGTCACAGAGCAAAGATAAAACTTTGAATTCATAATGCACTGGTTTTTGAGGGTTTTAAAGTTATTCTCTTTTGTTTGTTTCAGTACTGCTATTCTCGAGAGAAAGAAGTCTCCAAACCAACTTGTTGTAACGACGGCAGCTCTGTCGTATGAAAAGGAAGGACACTGTGTGCATTGCCCTTGCTGATAAATCATGCGAGGAACCTAAGATCAGAATGAACAAGGTCGTTGGGTCTAACTTGAGGGTTAGACTGTGGGAGATGTTATTTCTCTTCACCAGTGCCCAGATGTCAAGTATGGAAGCGTGTGCACATCTTGCCTGTTGATGATACCATTGAAGGGCTTACCTGAAGCGCAGGTTTGCTTGAATCTTTAGTTCTCTTTCATATCATAGTCAAACTGTCTTTTTGAGTTCATGTTTGCTTTAAGATCATGTTTTGTTAGTTTGGATTGCTAACAAAAATTGAACTTTTTCAACATCCTCCTTACGAAACCGGGACGTTTTTCTTCTGTATTAATGGACCGGAGATCATGTCGAAACTGGCCGGTGGGAGCAACCTCAGGAAAGCATTCGAGGAGGCTGAGAAGATGGATCATTCGAGGAACACACATGGATATGTTGTTGCCGATCTTGCAGCGATATGCACTGAAGCTGCCCTTCAATGTATCAGAAAGAAGATGGATGTGATGTGATTGACTTGGAAGATGACGAAATTGACGCCGAGATCCTCAACTCCACGGCGGTGTCTAATGAACACTTCCAGAACGGTCTTGGTAACAGCAACCCATCTGCACTTCGTGAAACTGTAAGTGTTGTTCCTCTGCTTGTATATGAATCAGAACATGTTGTTTCGATTCTAATCATTTCATTTACCGTCTCAACATCTTCAAGGCCTGCCTGAGGAAATCTCATGTTGCTAAAGATGTCGATGTGACTGCACTCGCTAAGTACACTCATGGATTCAGTGGCGCTGATATCACTGAGATTTGCCAGAGAGCTTGCAAGTACGCCATTAGAGAAATCATCGAAAAGGTTAGAGATTTCTTTTCTTTTAGCTCGTGAAGCAGATTGATGGAAAATTTAAATGCTAATTGGGCCTTTTTTGTGTTTTTGTTCCTTGGGAAAACCTTTTTAGCCAAATTTATAGCAAACGAGCTGAAATCTTTGACTACAGAAGGAAACTCAGATATGTTTTTTATTATCTCTTTGATTTTTTTTTGTTCATCCGGATTTAAAACCAATAGTTTAAAATTGATTAGATTAATATTAGTTGTGAAACTAACCGGACATGGTATCCAGCCATTTGAATTCATTTGATCGTTAGAGATTAACTATGTTCAATTTGTATCCATAACTAAATATTGATCAATCGGTTTTGTTTCTATTAGGAAAAAAAATAAAAAGATAATAATTGTTGTAATATTTAATAAAATTTGAATCTAACAAAAATTTTGTGTTGTTTTTGGTAATGTTTCAGGTAAAAATTTGCTTGTCAAAATTAAGGAAGCAAAAGATTCTAGAGAAAGAAACTCAACGGAAAAAAAAATATATGTTTTTTACTCTTTTTTATTATATATTTGCGTTAAAACTTTGATTAGTTTAAAACTGATTAGATTTATATTAGTGGTGAAACTAACTGACATGGTATCCAGCTATTTGAGTTCATTTGGTCATTAGAGATTATCTATGTTCAATTTGTTTTCATCGTTAATGTAAATCAATCAAAAGAGAATGATAATATTAATATTAGTAAATGAAATTTGAATATAATCAAAACATAACACTTCACGCAAAGAAAAAGAGCATCATTTTTTTAAGATTTTATAATTATATTTATTTTATGATATTTTATTTAATGTTTCCTTTTCAAGTTGTAATTTTTATTTGCAATTTCTGTTTTCTCCATATTTGAATTCAAATTTTCAGTGTAATAATCTGACATTAATTTAACAAATACATCAGTAATATATATATTCTTATGTTCTTGTTGCAAGTACTCTATATTTTTCTTTTTCTCTATCCTTCTTTTTATCTAAATATATCAGATTCGCTTTTATTAATTGTTTTTGTAAGTGTAAATAATGATAATATTAATGCATAACTCGATCTTCATGTTTCAGAAAAGAAAAAAAAACATGTTAAAGGTGAACACGTCTACTTGGATTTTATCTGTGAGATTTTATCATGGTATTGAGAGTGGGTGCACCAGTGAGATTTTATCACCTTTCATGCACAACATAACAAAACGCGTGATATGTAGAAGTCCGCATTTCAAGGTGAACACGTCTACTTGGATTATATAGGCACTAGATTCTCCCCCACGGTACAGTATGTTTATGTTTGATCTCACGCTTCAATTTGAATAATATAGTAGTGATTGATACTTTTCGAAATCGAACCTACTCAAACATGAGGACATAACAAAGATTAAATCTTCAGCCTGAGCAAATCTTTTACATCCGTTTTTCATAAAAAACAGTCTTAAAACTGATCACCCCTTTTTCATTAAAGCCTTCTTCTGGACGAAATCTTTGAACCAAAGGGGCATGTGGTACATTATCGCCATGAATGTTGAGTATCTGCCTGAAGAGAACCAAGCGGGCGGGTTCTTCTTTAGCACCGCAGCGACAGTGTCTTTGGCGAATGTTTCTGCAGGAGTTGGCTTATGTTTCTGAAAGAAGAAGGCCCTCTCTATGATAGCTTCTTCGTAAGGCTTGTATAGTTTCAGCTCAGTCGTTTTGTTGAAGATTGATACAGCTGAGTTGGCTAAGTTTGATCGTACTCCTCCTGGGACCACATCGATGACATCAATGCCAAACGGCTCGAGCTCCAACCTGCGTTTTATAAGTAACCATTACAAACAATTGAAGAACCAAGACCGAGAATGGTCTCAAAAGTGAAAGTAAATACTAAAACCAAACCTGAGTGTATCGGTTAGAGAATGGATAGCAGCTTTGGTTGCAGTGTAAGCCCCTGCCCATGGGCCTGGTGCCATAACAGAGATACTTCCAACGTTCACAATCTTTCCCTTTTTCTTAGACACCATGTGAGGTACAACGGCTTGAGTCATCCTCAAGGAACCTGCATCGGACAAATTCACTCTTGAAAAGTTTCTTCTCATAATTCACTAACGCAACGAGAGACACTGTCCCAAGCCACAACATGACCAAGCGTTAACAAGAATTCGAGATGGTGGTGAAATTCACAGAACCGGTTAATTTGATGTTGGTTATCTTTGGTTTATATTCTCGGTTTGGTTTGATGGTTGTATACAGTACTTGTATTTGAGGAACCTTGTTTTAGTTCATTGACGGTTATTATAGTTTGAAAAGCCAACGAATTCAAAATCCACTTTACCGAAAACGTTGGTGTTGAATGTGTTTTCCATGGAAGATAGTGGGATCTCCGAGAGAGGTCCGACGCATTGAACGCCGGCGTTGTTGACGAGAACATCGATCTGGCCGAACTTATCTATAACATTCGATATGGCTTCGGTCACGCTCTGCTCCGATCGCACATCAAGCTCCTGCACGAACAGCCTCGGATCCTCCTCCAGATCCGTCATCGTGCTCCGTGATCTGCTCGTCGCCACCACCAGACAGCCGTTATCAGAGAACTCACGCGCCAGCGCGTGTCCGATCCCGCCGTGCGAGCATCCCGTTATCATAACCACCGGGCTCTCGTCGCTTATTTGCATTCGGAGGGAAGCGAAATCTGATAAACCTCTGAGAGAAGAGGCACGAGGAGACTGTTGACGTCTTACGACGACGTGTCTTCTGTTAAATCCGAGGAACAAACTGGTCGTCATCAGCACTTGTGAAGTTGGCGCCATTTCTTGTTCTGCAATAACTCAACGATTCACGTCAATGTTTCTTCGAATGGTTTACAAAAGTGGTTAATATGTTCTCTCAACCAGTTGTTTATATTTTCAAACCTAACCACATGAGAGATTGGTCAAACCTTAACTCAAGTGAATTTGAATTGCTTTCCAACTCACATCTTTCAAAACGTCTCAATCAAATATTATTACAAAAACAGTCCTTCAGTTTTTAATTGTGACCATATCTCTATTGGCGAGATCTCAAATATCTCATCTGTATAATAGTACTAATATTTTAATATAATTTTGTTATATATTTATTAAAAAAAATTGTTCAATCATAGAATGCCTGTATATGAAAATAGAAGATATCTCAAGAGTATCTCTCAAAATATCTCAAATGAATCACCTTTTCGCCAAGGAATACTTTTGTTATTCCCAAATGAAATAGATAGATACTTTTGTTATTCTATTTATTAATTATTGAATCAACTTTAGAGTGCATTTAGCTTTTTGAAACAAGTTTTAATTGTTAAGAAATAGAAAACCATGGGAGGATCCATGGTTTTGAGAGTGGGTGCACCAAAGAGATTTATCACCTACATACATGCCCCACGGTACAGTAGGTTTATGTTTGATCTCATGTTTCAATTTGAATAATGTAGTAGTGATTGACGTTGGGATAGATTGATTTAAGGTAATCAACAATCTCAAATTCCTCAGTCGATCATCCCAACTTTACAGCCACCGGAGAAAAAACATATGGAGCTACACACCATCCTTAAATTTCGGAAATGATCTCCCTAATTCCTCATGTAACACTCCACATGCATTCGTACTTTTCAAAATCGAACCTACTCAAACATGAGGACATAATAAAGATTTAATTTTCAGCCTGAGCAAATCTTTTACATCCGTTTTTCATAACAAACAGCCTTAAACCTGATCACCCCTTTTTCATTAAAGCCTTCTTCTGGACAAAATCTTTGAACCAAAGGGGCATGTGGTACATTATCGCCATGAGGGTTGAGTACCTGCCTGAAGAGAACCAAGCGGGCGGGTTCTTCTTCAGCACCGCTGCTACGGTGTCTTTGGCGAATGTTTCTGCAGGGGTTGGCTTCATCCTCTGCGATATAAACGCCCTCTCCCTGATAGCTTCTTCGTAAGGCTTGTATAGTTTCAGCTCAGGCATTTTGTTGAAGTTTGCTACAGCTGAGTTTGCTATGTTTGTTCGTATTCCTCCTGGGACGACATTGATTACATCAATGCCAAAGGTCCCGAGCTCTAACCTGCGTTTATCAGGAACCATCACAAACAATTGAAAGAAAAAAACAAGACCATCCGGTACTGGATAATTAGAACAACTACACATTAGCTTTAACATAACCTAACTCAACATCAGGTTTTGAGTTCTCAGAGATGAATGATGATACTCGACCAAACTTTCACAGAGATCAGACCTTTTCATCAAATAGCTGAAGAAAAAGGCTAAAATCGAACCTCAAGGTATCGGTAAGAGCGTGGATAGCAGCTTTGGTTGCTGTATAGACCCCTGCCCATGGACCTGGTGCCATAACAGTGATACTTCCAACGTTCACAATCTTTCCTTTCTTCTTGGAAACCATGTGAGGTACAACGGCTTGAGTCATCCTCATGGAACCTGCATCGGATAGATTCACTTCTTTCAAAGTTTCTTCTCATAATTCACAAACACTAGGAGAGACACTGTCCCAAGTCAATCAGTGGACGAGAAAGCCACAACATGAGAGCGAGTATTCCAGAAGAAAAGCTCTTGTCATTGCCCACAGAATCGTCATCTAAAATGGATATTTACGCATTCTAATGGTTCTTCACTAGTAAGCACACAGCCAGAAATCCAATTAGAACTATCGAAGCTCCCTCTTGCGACCAAATGATAGAGAAATCGAATTCAAAACCCAATTTTTACCGAAGACATTGGTGTTGAAGGTGTTTTCCATGGCCGAAATTGGGATCTCCGCCAGAGGTCCGACGCACTGCACGCCGGCGTTGTTGACGAGAACGTCGATTTGGCCGAACTTATCTATCACATTCGATATGACTTTGCTCACGCTCTGCTCCGACTGCACATCGAGCTCCTGTACTAACAGCCTCGGATCCTGCTCCAGATCCGTCATCGTGCTCCGCGATCGGCTCGTCGCAACCACTCGACATCCGTTCACGGAGAACTCACGCGCCAGCGCGTGACCGATTCCTCCCTGCGAGCATCCCGTTATCAGAACCACCGGGCTCTCGTCGCCGCTTTCCATTTTAGAGCCCTCGTCGAGGTTTTCAGATTGGTCAACAATGGATTAAGAGTACGTTTAATTTGATTTTAGAGATTTAATGCATCGGATTAGGCTGAGTGGTCCAAACTTTAACAACCAATTAGGTCTCTTAATTACTCGCGTCGTTTTCATTAGTAAGTTAACTATAGCTTCGAGCTGCTAACTGATCAAAAGTATAAAATGGTGCAGACGATTTGTGATTATTTATACGCTGCCGTTTTGACAATACTCCCAATAATAAACTGAAGGGAAGATATTTTTATATTCTATGCTTCTTCCCCATAGGTTTCTAAATTTAACTGTTTTTACCACAAGCTTCTAAAGCTTACGATTGATAAGATTATTAGTATTATATAACTCACATCACATGCTTCTAAATTTCACGGTTATGATATTTTAACTCCTTTCTCACGTTAATCATCACCTCTTCTAAAGACTGGCAACCAGAAAATCAGGTTTGCTTAATTTATTCATTTACAGATACATATATCGTCAAAAAAGAAAATATAGAGAGCAATTCTTTATTTCATTAAGTTAAAACAAACAAACAAACAAATTTCCTCTGATTAAAGAAACATAGTTAAGCAGAGAAGAAGCCATTGGAGACGGCGAGAGCAAACTGAGATTTAGTTTCAAATTTCCTCTTCAAACTCTCAATCTTCTTCACCTCAACCCCAAACATCGTCATTTTTGCCGGAAAATCATTCCACCATCCAACCTCCGCCGAGCTCGAAGCTGTAAGCTTCACCCTCCGCTCGTATTCCTCCACCACTAAAAGTGCTATGTCCGTCATTGAATCAATCACTCGATCTTCCTGCTATTGGAATTGGATATCTCCCAAGTTCTATGCCAAAACACGTAAGCTATTTATATTGCTTTAGCGTGCGGTTTTGGATAAGGATCGGTTCCATTTTTTTTTTTACTAGTATTATTTTAAGGGTTGTTTTATTGTATTTTAATCATAATTGATTGGTGGTTTCTGAAAATGTTGGCTACGTCGGTTTCTTGATAGCATGTGCACTGATGAAGTATATATAAATAATATTATTATATGTCCAATCAAAATAATACTATTTTGCGACTCAACAAAGTATACTTGCAGTACACAAACTGTATTTGAAATGTAAAAAGTAAATGACAATGGTCACAAAAAGTATATAATGTCAATGTTCATTCGTGTCGTGATCTCTTTTTGTCATGATGTGGAATCAGTGGATCGCGTTATCCAAATAGAATTGTAAGTTGTGGAGGTTTCCTCTATAGCAATTCTTATTATATTTGGCAATTGTTTATTTTGTTTATGTCGATCCAGTTTGCTATTAAATTATGTCGTTACAATATTTTATTGGGCCAAGGTATTATTTTCTCAGTTTTATGATAATAGCCCATTATGGGGGATAGAGAGTAACTCGTTTTCTTTTCAATCTATGACCACTCTCTCTTGGTCTCTTTTCGTCCACAGCAATCTGAGGATTGTTTTTGAATAGATGATAATTTAATTTAACTAAAAACTAGTAAACAAAAAAATTGGATGTTCAGTAGAATACGTTTCCCGCCAAGTTCTGGATTCATATAACTAAACTAAATGTTTGTGAAATAGTCAGCTTATCCAATAATAATATATCAGAAGAAAAGAAAGAAAGAAAAGAAAGAAAGAAAAGAAAGAAAGAAAAAAAAAAGTAAAAGAATAAGATAAAATGTAGACTATGAAGTCAAAGGAAAGAAAAGGAAGTAATCTTAAAAATGATTATAGTTCCCATTTGTCTTGGGATGATGTCGCAAAGACATCCTCAACTTTTTTTTCTTTATCTTCTTTTTCTGTTGTCCTTACAAAAATAAAATGTATACAAGTGTTTCTTATTTTTGTGACTTGTGAGATACCTATACATCATAGTTTAACATCTGATTGGTATGAAATATAATAAGAATGCAAGTCCAATTGAGTAGAGCTACTTCGATCTAAAAATTAATCTGACATTCAAATATATAAAGATTTAACATTAAATAACGACTCTATTTTTTTCCTGTAAAGGAACGGCTCTATGTTGGGGCCATGAAGGGTCGTGAAACTCTCAGATTGATTTCAAAATGAGTTTAGCCATATATCCGTATGAAATTAAAATCAGAGTGACGATAGCCACTCTTAGTGCCAAACCACTTTTCATAAGATCATCACACTTGAGAATAATTCCACAAATAGACAAACGCAAAAGCAAAGAGTATGTGCGTCATGTCTCATTAATTCATCCTTCTTCTAATTCTTTATTTTCATTTTTGCTGTTTTTTGTATTCGAATATACATTATTGCAATATTTAAATACGTGGATAGGATGTCAAAAGGAAAATCGCAAATCAATCAACGAACTAATAAAACCTCTAAAATGGAATGAGTGCCTACTTCCACCATCACATGATTTGTAGAACTTTATATATAAATATATAATTTCCACAAAATTTTATAATAGTGTCAGGCAAACAATATGCGATACGTGATCATATATGATATCATATTATAAGGAAAATGGGAAAGTTGGCTATATATATATATGTAATACATATGTAATGTTTTATACAGCAAAATGCACCAAATCCCTAACATATTATTCTACTTAGTATCCATTGTGATTAAAATAATAAGCAAAGAGGCAGTGGGGTAGACAAAGCTCCGGTCACACAAATGTGTCTCCTATGGAGCTTGAAGAGCCAATCGTTTCTAATCATATATATTTATCAGTTGATTCCTTCGCAAAATCAAGTTCATTTTTCTTTTTCCGTATTTAAATATAATCGAATACGAACAAGACGAATATGTGATGATGTGAATATTTTTAGCTGGCATATAGCCTATATATAAATTACACCTAGCTAGATGTTAAATACACTTTATTTTCTAACTATATATTTCATCAGCTAAGCCATTATTTTTCTTGTATGAACAAATTATTATTATACTTTGTTTGGTTGATGTCTTTAAAGTGTTTTATAAAATCCCAAACTTAGATATATAATAAAACTTAGAAAATAGCCGTTACAATAAACGCTTGGAGAGTTAACCGCCTTTCATTCCACATCTCGCCCACGCGCTTCTACTTCGCGCGTGTGCCGTCACAACGAGTTATCACCACCGACGGGACTCGCCGCTAAACGTGTACAGTGGATAATTCACACCAAAAAAATGAATTATTACTGAATAATTAAAAAGGAACAAAAACAAAAATTCTAATCTACCTGGTGCGCACATCAGCGAGATAGTGGAAATAAATATTTGGACAAATGAGAGAAAAAAAAAAGAATAAGCAGAAACAAATTTTATTCTATAGTATTCGAATTAAAAGAAAACTAAAAGAATATACGGTAAAAAGGAATAACATTCAATGTAAAAGTGGGTCTTTGACTCAGCGTAGATCCTGCGTTTGCTAATTGCTTGAAGACAACAATCACCGAAGAACCCACCAAAAAGAAAACCAAAAAAAAAAAAAAGAAGAAAATTCAGTATTTATTTATTTACATTTTTATTAGGATTATAATCTTTTAAGTTGTCGTGTTCTCGCATGATTCTTCTTCCTCTTCTTCTTCAAGATGAAAAGACCAGAGAAAGAGATTTTTTTCATCCCTTCTCTTGTCAGACCGATTTGAACTGCGGATTTCTGGGCTTTGCGTTCTGTTTCGTCGCTGAAAGTGAAAAGTTTCTTTGCTTTTATTAAATTTTGTTTTGTCTTAATTCATGGTTTCCGCGGGAAAAGTTCACATTTTTGAAGCCCTTTTAACACTAAGGACGATAAGAAGGTTCGGCTTCGGGTCTCTGTTCTTCATGAATTATGAATTTTTATATTTAGATTGATTTCTGAGCAAATCGTCTTTTATGCTTCAATGAAGAAAAAATATACGAAATTTGTTTTACTCTGTTCCATTCTCTAATCTCTACCGTGAATGATGAAGCTTAAGTAAACTCGATGACTATTTGTTTTTTTTTTCTTGATTAGGGTTTTATCGTCGTTAATTGCAATCGTAACTGATTCAAATACGCTTCAAATTCATGATCGGCTATGTGATATTTGGTTGTATCTCTTCTTCTCCGAGCTGCCTTAAATGGAATCTTGACTTTTGTGCAAGAAAACAGAATGTTATATCAAATCACTGAGAGAGAGTAATGGAATTATTTTCCTTATTGGGAGGTGTTTAAGATGGTCCACCATTAGTGGCTAAAAGAAAGAAGATACAGTGAGATCCAATAACTGACATTGACATTAGAGTTTGGTATGTTTTCTAGGAACTACAGTTAGAAGTTTTAAAGAACAAATTTTTAGATTTATCTTCATCTAATTGAAGGAACTTTCAAAAACACTAGTAAAGAATAGGTTTTTTCGGGTGTACATGAGTCTGATGTTTCGCCTTATCAATGGAGCTAACAGAAGTAGGAGAGGTAGCGTTGACGAATTGGGTGATGGAAAATGACTTAAAGCCACAAACTTTCTTTTTTTGCTTTTAGCTGAAAATCACTTACATAACATAACTCTCAACTTGTATCTTTGAAGTTCTTGAGTTTTTTTTTATTGATGAAGCTTGTGTATGTATGTATCTTTTGTTTTTTGTGCAGTTGAGGAAGCATGAATACAACAACTTCCACACATTTTGTTCCACAGAGAAGGTTTGAAATCTACGAGCCTCTCAACCAAATCGGTATGTGGGAAGAAAGCTTCAAGAACAATGGAGGAGGCATGTATACGCCTAACTCTATCATCATCCCGACAAACGAAAAACCAGACAGCTTGGTACTTCAAAATCTGTTATTTTTGTCTCACATTTGAAATCCAGAAACTAATGGTTGATTTTCATGTTTGTTCAGTCAGAGGATACATCTCATGGAACAGAAGGAACTCCTCACAAGTTTGACCAAGAGGCTTCCACATCCAGACATCCTGATAAGGTAAGTGTTATAACAGCTCATTAGGTTATCTTTAGTTCTTTGGAGCTTTTGTCAATATGAAATCTTTATCATGTCTTTACAGATACAGAGACGGCTTGCACAGAACCGCGAGGCAGCTAGGAAAAGTCGTTTGCGCAAGAAAGTATGAGAAGACTTTATGTTCCGTGAAAATAGTTATGTGTTTGTTTTGTTAGACAGAGTTTGAGAACCTTTGTCTTGCAGGCTTATGTTCAGCAGCTAGAGACAAGCCGGTTGAAGTTAATTCATTTAGAGCAAGAACTCGATCGTGCTAGACAACAGGGCTTCTACGTGGGGAACGGAGTAGATACTAATAATGCTCTTGGTTTCTCAGATAACATGAGCTCAGGTTTGAATCTTTCTTTTCACCTTTTGGAGAATTTCCTAATCATCTCTCTCTCTCAAAAGCAAGATTTTAATCGGTTTAATTTTTCTTTATTTCAGGGATTGTTGCATTTGAGATGGAATATGGACACTGGGTGGAAGAACAGAACAGGCAAATATGCGAACTAAGAACAGTTTTACACGGACAAGTTAGTGATGAAGAGCTCCGTTCGCTGGTTGACAATGCCATGAAACATTACTTTCATCTCTTCCGAATGAAATCAGCCGCTGCAAAAATCGATGTCTTCTACATAATGTCCGGAATGTGGAAAACTTCTGCAGAGCGGTTCTTCTTGTGGATAGGCGGATTTAGACCCTCTGAGCTTCTCAAGGTTCTGTTACCGCATTTTGATCCTTTGACGGATCAACAACTATTGGATGTATGTAATTTGAGGCAGTCATGTCAACAAGCGGAAGATGCGGTCTCTCAAGGTATGGAGAAGTTGCAACATACATTAGCAGATACTGTAGCAGCCGGGAAACTCGGTGAAGGAAGCTATGTTCCTCAAATAACTTGTGCTATGGAGAGATTGGAGGCTTTGGTGAGCTTTGTGAATCAGGTAAGAATGAAAGATTTTTAACAAAATTCTAATGAGAGATTATTATGGACAAGCGAGTTGTGTTTTCTTAAACTGTTTTGTTGTAGGCTGATCATCTGAGACATGAGACATTGCAACAGATGCATCGGATCTTAACCACGAGACAAGCGGCTAGGGGTTTGTTAGCATTAGGTGAGTATTTCCAACGGCTTAGAGCTTTAAGCTCGAGTTGGGCGACTCGGCAACGTGAACCAACGTAATCAAGGATATTAGATTTTCAAGAAAGGCTTGAGACTTGTTAATAAGAATCGAGAATGGAGATTGATGGTAAGTGGATTTGGGACAAGAACAAGAACATGAGCTATGGTCGATGATGGTGATGGTGATGATGATTCTTGTCTTACAGCTATAAGGAAAATGCCTGAGGAAAGATGTAAATATGATCAGCAAGACAGCAACGTAAAGTTTGTAGCTTTAGAAACCAATTTTTCGATAAATGTTTTTTTTTTTGGTTTTCTGAATGTACTGTAATATTATAGATTGTGTATAATGTTGATTGCAGTAGATCTATGATTACAGTGTGATGTTAAACTTTTTCCTTGCAAACTTAGGTAATCACGAAAGAAAAGGAATAAAATGTTTTATAAAAATCAATAAACAAACTCAAATCTTTCTGTCAGAATCAATGGGATTAGTTTTTCTTCTACCTTTACAAGGAAGGGAAAATAATCAACAAAATATAAATGTAAGAACACCTGAGGATCTGAATCAACTACTAGAGAAAGATAAAAATCAGGAAGAAGAAGAAGAAGAAAAAATTGGGATGGTGGAAGAGAAATCCGTGGAGATATACAAAAGAAAAAAAAAAAAACTCAAAACAAATCTCAAGCAGAAATTGAGGTAAGATGATCAAGAACTTGTCTGATGTTAGGCCTTTCATGTACAGAGACAATGCACCTGATTGCAACAGCAAGTGCATCCTCCATTGCCTTTGAGAGTTCTTCCCCACCTGCAATGTCTCTGTCTATGCAATCCATTCTCCTACCTTCTTGATCACACAACCGCACCCAATCCGTCAGATCAACGGCTCCTGATTGACCCGAGATTATGTCACCCGCGCTCCGTCTAGTCAAGAGCTCCATAAGAATCACCCCAAACGCATACACGTCGGATTTGAGCGTTGGAACGGGTTTGGAAGCCGAGGCAAGCTCAGGAGCAGAGTAACCGAGTGCACTCATGTTCAGTATCTGTTCCGCTACACCAGACTGACTCATCAGACGGTGGATACAGTAATCGGTTATTCGCACAGCATTGTCGGGGCTTGTGAGGATTATGTTTGTCGGTTTCAAGTTCCCATGTGGCATTGCTCTATCATGAAGGTAGAGAAGGCATCGCGCCACTTCAACCGCAACTTTTAGTCTTTGCGTGAAAGACATTGGAGAATACCTCCGAGGAGTAGTCTCTGCAGAGAAAAAGGCGATTACATTTAGCTCAAACGAGATTTTACAGAAAGGCGTCAAATAGGAGTCAAAGAGACTAATCAAAAGAGCTTCTAACCGTAAAGATGCATGGCCAAGCTTTCTCCTCCCATGTAGTCAGAAAGGAGAAGCCTTTCTTGTTCCCTGGGACCCCAATAGTATGCTCGCAACGTGACAATGTTTTCATGTTTTAAAGAGCCGATTTTTTTAGCTTCCTTCGCAAAATCTTTCTTATGCCTCACGAGCCCAACTCTCAGCCATTTCACGGTTAACATATGTCCGTTATCCAGTGTTGCCTTGTATAGCGTGCCATGGCTGCTTCTACCTAGAACTTCTGCAGGAGCTCGGGATAACTCTTCTGCTGTGAGTTTTAGTGAGACATCTAAGAAGAAGAGTTCTCCAGCCAATCGATCGGGTGAGTAAACATCTAACATCACAGGCTGGTCGCTAAAACGCGGCGAGGAGGATAATGGGGAGCCTCCTGAAGAAGACTTCCGTCCAGACGTTGCGGGATAATCATCAAGGAGGTTAGGGTTTGCAGTGGCTGAAGTAGCTGGAAAACCCTGCTCAGATATTTCAGGCTCAGGTATCCCAGACAAGGACCTCGAATTAGCGGTGAGCAAGTGATCGTTTGAGAAGCTCAAAGACGATGACTGGTGTTCAACATTCGAGCTGAAGTTGAGAAAGGAGGGACGGGAAGAGCGTCCAGGCTTGGCGTCTCTAGTCGTGGCATGGTCAGTAAACCCAGTCCTCCCATGAAAGTCCTTGAGCTGCGTTCGATGATAGGCAAACAAGACGAAAAGAATCATAAGAGCAGCTCCAACTGAAGCAACAATAATTGCTATTCTTATGCTAAGCTTCGAATGATGGTCTTTCCCATGAAAAGTCAGTTGACGAGTAGAATCCGTAGGAATCCCACCAGGGAGACTTAGCTTGGAGTTGCCAGGATAAAACGATGAATGTGGGTAGCTTCTCAGGTCTACCGGAATTATGCCTGATAGGTCGTTGTATGACACATTAAATCTCACCATTCGGGAAGGAAGCTTGTCGGGAATTTGACCCTTGAAGGCATTGTTCGACAAGTCAAGGTACTCAAGGCCACTAAGCTTGTTGAGGTCGCTTGGGAGTTCCCCGGAGAGCTTGTTATTGGCAAGATTCAGAACCTTAATCCTTTCCATTGTACCTATATCTCGCGGCAGCATACCCGTCAAAGAATTGGTTGAGAGATCAAGCAACTCCATCTGAGGAACAGAAGTTAGAGCCAAAAGCTCACTTGCACGTGAACCACGAAAAGGAATCGGCCCTTCCAAGTTGTTCATAGAAAGGTTCAGACTTTTCAAGCTTCCAAAAGTAAAGAAACTTTGCGGAATGGAGCCGCTGAACTTATTTGAGCTGAGATCAATCACAGAGAATTGGGACGCCCCTGAATCATCCCACAGAGAAGGCAAGCTACCAGCGACGGAGTTATTTCTGATGCTCAACACACTTAGTCTTGAAAATGCAGAAGTGAAGTTTGGCAAGCTTCCCGACAAGCTGTTTGAGCTCAGATCAAGAATATCTGGAGTAGCTTCCCACTTTCGAACAACAGAAACATCGCCGGAGAAAGTGTTCCCACTCAGATCTATCACTAAGCAGCTTTTCAAACTCGATGGAAGTTCCCCAGACAGGCCATTAGAAGAAAGGTTCAACAAAGTTAAAGTTGTTGAATTGATTTCACTGATTGATCCTGCACTTGAATAAAAAGAAACTCCTTTAATTTACATGAAGCACAAACGTTATAAGACAATATGACACAAATGTCTAGTCAAGTCCAGGAAATCAGTCAAATCAATGCTCAATGAATAGTTCTCTTTCCAAATTCCCTAAAGTAGCAAAAGCAAAATTCAGCAATTTTGGCAAATCTTGCTCAGGAACAAACGGTAGGGAGCAAAAATAAGAAAAGTTTAAAATTTCAAATCACCTGTAAAACCATTTCGACTGAGATCTAGCTCTCGCAGTGGAATCGAACTCTGCAACAACTCTTGAGGCACTGTACCGAATAATTGGTTGCGGGCAAGCTTCAAGATCCTCAAACTCGGCTGCGATCCAAAACGCGGTAACTCTCCATTGATCTGGTTGTTCTCCAGGTCAATCGTCTCGAGGTTCTTGAACAAACCCATGGAATCCTCGCTGAAAAACCCGCCGTTTAACGCATTGTGGCTCAAATTCAAGTGACGGAGGGTGTTGGAGATGCTCGAGATGTTGTCGACGGATAAAGAAAAGCCGCCATGGAAGCGATTGCAGCTCAAGTCAACGAACTCCACGTTCTTCAGCTCAGTGAAAATTTCTCCTACGTCTCCCCAAAACTCATTTCCGTGCAAATCCAGAGATCTTAGCTGCTGAAGGTTCCGGAGCCCACTCGGAAACCCGCCTTGGAACTTGTTCGCAGACAAATTGAGGTAATTCAAACCCCACAGATCCGAGATCCGACCCGGAATAGGTCCATAGAATCCGTTGTCTGACAGATCTAAGTGCTGGAGCGACGAAATCCCTCCGAGCAGAGGCACGACCCGACCCGAGAAGTTGTTTCCGGATAGAGTGAGGTTGCGAAGAGAGGTGAGACCAGTAAGCGTGCTGAATTTGAGCTCGCCGGAGAGACCGAGACGATCGAGATTAATGGCGACGATTGAGCCGGTTTCCGCGTCGCAGGAGATGCCGGGCCAGCCCTCGGGGCAAGTAGTGGGGTCAGTGAGGCTGCTTGTAGCGGACCATGAGATGCGTTGGTTAGAGCTCTCGTCACGGATCCCTTTCCGGAACTCGAGTAGAGATCGGAGCTCCGACTGGGTTACGGCGTTGGCACCGAGGAGTAGAGAGGTGAAGCAGAGAGCGAGAGTGAGAAAAGGACTCATTTAGCCCCGAAGAATCTCTCCAGAAGAAAATGCAAAGTGGAGAGAAAACCCTAAGGATTCATATCCGAGAAAGAGACAGTGAGACGGAGATTTAGGGTTATACTCGAAACCCTAGAATCTGGAAATTGAAAGAGGGAAGAAGAGAGAGAGAGTGTGTGTGTCTTTGTGTTTGTGTGAGGGAGAGTGTTTGAGGTTTTCCAGAAAATCGAATTCTTATAGTATTAATTTAATTTAATTTTCTTAGTTCTATTCTTTATTATGTTTATGGTGTCTCTCCCCAACGCAATTACAAAAGAAAACTAATTTACGTTTAACTACTGATTATACTTTGGTTCTTCACGTACTAGGCGCCTTTTATTTCTCCGATTTAAGCTTAAATTCTATTTTTACCATTGGAAATTCAGTTAGATTAATGCTTAAATCGACTTATACTATTTTTCTCAAATCGTAGAAAAGCTTTTTTTAATTAATTTTATGGGTATATCACCTAGTTTTGTTTTGTTTTGATTAATTACCAAATTTGTTAGACATGACATTAAATGTGTTTACAACACTAATTGCGTCAAGTCGTTATCACGTTATAGTCTTTGTCTAATCATTGTTATGGCACGTAACTTCGCGAAACATGCTCTACTGCATACTTCGTTTTATATATAACGTATCTAGTGAGACGAGAGTCTACTCTATACAATACCATGGTTCAAATTTCCGGATACAAAGTATATACCAAAAGTTTTTTTTAAAAATCTTCGAATAAATAAATATTATAAAAGAAAGTGAAAACTAAAGAGTGGGGAAGGAAAAAAAACCGTTAAATATAGCGGCAAAGAAGAAGAGGTAATATATGATTAGTTTACAGATAAGTAAAAACAGACTGGAAAAGACAATGGCATGTCGTGAGTCGATCTGTCTTTTTTTTCTTTTTATTAGGAAAATTCGCACCAACCTTCTTCACATGCAATCCATACGTGACAGGAAACGCCGTACACTCTGCAATTTAAAGTTAAAACGGGACGGAGAGAGAAGAACGTAATACTATACTATGTACTATGTCATTTATACGACTCTTATAGACCGACCTGTCAATTTTTATATGCTATTCAAACAAAACAAACAAAGTTAATTTCAGTTTAATAATAATGCTTTGTTCCTTAATCCCGTTATTAGATTCATTGATTTAAATAAATAATTAAGTAACAAAACCCTTATTGAAAAATAGTTAGGCTTTTTACGTTTTGACTCAAATATATCTCTAACGGTTTATCCAACCCAATCGAATGTATTTTTCAAAAATACATAGTTTTCTAGTATATCAGCCTACGTTATACGCTCGGATGGAAAATAATATTTTTGAAAGTATATATGGCACTGTTTGACTGATATATATTATATTTATTTCGAATTTAGGGGATCTAACTTGTCGCGGACTTATTGATATGCAAAATATAAACATAAATCTCGAGGGGTCAGTTTATTTGGTCTTTTTTAGAATGTCATTTTCTCTAATCATAAAATGAAAGATGCCAAATTTATTCTACTTTGTCTAATAATATTGTAAATATCCGTCTCTCTTTCTAACTTATACTAGGGTCCACCAAAATAATACCATTTTGTTATTGTCGAAACTTGACAACTAGCTGGAAAATCATGATGATACTCTCTGCTTTTCTTAGCATTATAGTATCAATCTTCTAGAATAATTAGAGAATGCCATTTCGCAAACTGATAATTTTTTTAAATAGTAGATTTATAAATCGCTGTCTCCAATTAGATGACCTCACTCACATAAAAGATACTAAAACAAAAAAAAAAACTAAGAAATCAAAACTTGCATCTTCTTGCTTCATCCATATTTGTTGCGAAAGTGAAGAAAAAACAATCTATTCATCCAGATGTGGGCCTGGACAAAAACCCAATGGTATCAATCCCCTTTCTTCACAGGTCTTTTAATGGGCCTATATGTTTAGAGCCAGTTACAGGCCTATGGGCGGACACTACTAAACACTTAAAAGACAGAGATGAATGCAAACAGTATGGCAATGAGATTGTGTGACTCAATCAAGATCGGCTTGCTTGTGGGTGTAAACTACACAGTTCCCTAATGGCTGTGAGATACACGTGAGGACGTAACCCTTCTGAATCTGTTCTTCTTCAAGAAAAGAACCTTGTGACTGATCCACTTTTCCCGACACTATCTTACCACAACATGTCCCACAAGTCCCTGACCTACACGAGTATGGTAGTTCAAGTCCCGCGTTCTCCGCCGATTCAAGTATGCAACTACCATCGTTTACGTCGATCTCGTGCTCCTCGCCTCCCGGGCTGATCAGTTTCACTCTACGAGACGCCGTTGCATACACTTGTACACAACTGCCTCTTGGAGAAAACGCATAAGTCTTCTTGAGTCTGGTCGTAAGCTGAGCACGTGATGGTGATATTAGAGGGATCCTTATGATGCAAGAGTGTGCTAGATCCATCAATTATGCTTTGGCTTAATTTGGTCGAATTTGTGTAAGAACAACGAATCAAAACAAAACTTATATATTGATATCATATAGCTCATGCATCAGTGCGATACCTGTAACACATGCATAGAGAGGTGCTACGTGTCGTTATGAACTCACTAAGCTCCAAAACCAACGTGGTGTTCCGATTTACTTAGAACGCGAAGGGGGTCAAAATAGTTCAAATAGTAGTGATGGGGTTCTTTTGTTAATTAAATTATAAACGAAGGACTTAGCAATTGAATTTTATTTTTATCGTCGACTTAACGATGGGTTCTGAGTCTGACGAATAGAACGAGACCATCACCATCACTATGGTATTCACTTCGAGATTGCAATGCCCCAAACCTGCAATCTTCGGTAATCGGATTCTCCATCAACGATTCGTCGATAAAACTCTTTCGTTTCGCCGCCGGTACACTCTCCGGCAAGCTTCGCCGACATTGCGATTCGCTAAGGTTTCGGATTCAGCTTCGTCTTCCTCTCCCTCTTCACCCCCTCCATTGTACTCGAATCCGCATGAGCCATGGGACTCTTCTCGTCTGACGTCGTCCGTGGGACAGCCTCCTCTCCAACTCTATCAGTGGCTCACTCAGAAGCAATTCGTCTTGCTCAGTGTCGCCGCCTGCGTAGTAAGTCTCTGTGTCCATCTTCGAGATCCTCGCCTTATTTCCAGCCTCCATACCCGAATTTCGCTCTTGGATTTAGGTTTTCCGGAAATACGAATTTCTCCTCTGGGTCAAACAAATTTTCTGCTTCTTTTTTTAATTCAATTTTAAGTTAGCCATGGAATCGTGAGATCTTTTGACTCTAATTGCTCAAATGAAGATCTGAATTTTTCGCTTTGAAACAATTTATCGTCACCATGATGAGCTTCTCTCTTATACACTTGCAGTCAGCAATCTCAGCATCATGGCTATTCTTCGCTGCAATTTCTACTCTTCTGGTTTGTTCTCGAACACTTTCTTCTTCTTCTTCTTTTTAGGTTTTAGAGATTTTGGAGTTGATTTCTACATATTGTGTACCTTGACATGTTGAAAAAGGCTTTTAAGAAAGCAGCCGAGTCTCTTGCAAAGCTTTTGGATGTAACCAGAGAAGAGTTGCCTGATACAATGGCTGCTGTTCGTTTATCCGGGATGGAGATCAGTGACTTAACAATGGAGCTCAGTGATTTAGGGTTTGTTCTGTTTCTGCTCTCATCCACCATGATTGACCAATTCTTCATTTCCTTTGCAAACTCTTCAATATTGTCTTCTCTTTTCTTTTTTGTTTTGTAGCCAAGGCATCACTCAAGGTGTTAAAAGCTCGACACGGGCTATTCGCGTTGCTGAGGATAGACTAAGACGGCTAACAAACATGAATCCAGGTTTAGCCATCACTTCTAGACTCTCTTGTCAATCGTGGACTTCACGATTAACTCCATATTTACTTCACCAGTAGCTTCAATGCAGGAGGTGATGCAACAAACCAAGACAAAGGAAACAGAACCAGTGATTGCTAAAACAGCGAGGGGCTTAAAGGAAGGGATCGTTAAGGGACGTTCCTTGTGGCAATTGTTATTCGCAGTCACTCGGTTCTCTAAGATTGCCACAAGTTATCTTGCAAAGCGAGCTAAGCAGTAGAAGGTGAGAGTAATCACATCCCCCCAAGTCAAGCTCCTGTCTTTACTAGCTTTAAGAATAGTCTTAGTTTGATTGATATGAAACTATGTAGATGATCCTGATTCTTGAGACGCAAAGCAAGTTTCTTTTAGAGTAACTACTAAACAAGATTATCCAACTCTACTACATCAAAACATAGTTAAGACTCTAGCTACATGTCGTAGTAGTTAACTCCACCTCGTTTCCCTGAGCTAACCGGCGGTTTCCTTGTCCGTTTACTCGCCATGTGGAGACTCCTCGTTGAAGTTTCAACAGATGGAGCTTCTTCTTCCTCCTCCTGCCACACAAAACCAGAAGCTAAGCAGAAAAGAAAAACACTCATGTAGGTAGTAAAAGAGAGAGAACCATCAGTTTAGATTTCTTGCTTTAGCTTTCTCCATGTATGAAGAGGAAGATGAGTGTCTGAATCTCAGACACTCGAGGAAGGCCATCACAGTTCGACTGATGAGATTGCAACTGCGTCTTTTGTTATCCTTCTCCTGCTGCATCTTCTCTTGTCTTCTAATATGACTTTCTAATCAAAATTTTCCTTTCTACCAAAAGACCAAAAGATCAATCATCTTTTTAGATGCGATTACAAAAGCAGTATAGATAAGATGCGGCTGAACTTTTGTGTTTCTCTTTTTCTATACAGTGGCCATCTCTGTCTTTGTAGGAAGCTGCTAGATGGAAACCAACAGAATTGATATGTTCTACCAGAAATTAAGTCATTTGTTAATAAAGGTTCGGAAAAAAAAACATAACAAAACCAAAAAAGTGAAGTCATTTGTACGTATTTTTCCCAAATAGTGCTGAGAGAAATTTCGGGTTTTAGAGTTTATGACATTCCAAATTCTAGAATCTCCGACAAATTAAATAATCTCGGGAAGCTACATAACACGTGCGTATAGCCGAACCTAATAAATAGATTTGGGAGTTTTGTCTAACACTATTAAATTGCATAAGGAAAATAGTCCCACCTTATTATCATTGAGATTTGATGAGAGCGAGACACCACCACATGACAACAGAATATACATGCAATTTTTGTTTTGCAGTTAATTTACATAACCAACACAGTACTACAGTAGAATGATAGATTTGTCACGGTAAGAGATCGAATTAATCATTCCGTAATTCATGTATTTGGTTTTACTTTAATATAAAACAAATATGATAGTGTTACTTTCTTACAACTTTTTTTCTTTCGTAAAGGAGGTTCTTTTTTTTTTTCTTACAACTTTCTCACCAAATACAGTACCACGTTCTCTTATTATCGTGTCTTTTAAAAAGGAAAAAAAAAGGATGGTTTCGGAGAACTTACAAATCTTTAAGAATTATACAATAATCACAGAAAAAGAGAGAAATCTTTTTTTTTTTCATTTTCTTATACTACTAATCAGAAGAAAATGCATGTACGCAAGAATATCTCCGTAAATTATTATACTTAGTTAAATAAAACTAGGAAGGCTTCTTGTTGGTACCTCCCGGCTTGCCGGAACTGGCTCTGGACTTTTTCAGTAGTTTTGGTTTCACCGGAAGTCCCCTCGACGACACTTCCACAACCTCAACTTCTTCCTCCTCCTCCTCCTCTTCCTGCTGTGGGAAAATTGCTTTTAATTAGATTTTTCATACACGTCCGTTTTATGTTAAAATAAGCTAATGGGGTTATGTGTCAGCTCTGGAGTTGAAGATAAGTTTTTTTATTATATGTCTACGTCTTATTTGATTATATAGTATTATATTTTTAGTTATTTTAAAATTCCTTCTTTTTTTTCTAGACCACCAAAAACTCATTTTAGATCTCTCCACATTTTTAATTTATTATTAGACAAGTAGTAGCTCTAATATATAATAATGAAATTTACGAGTAGAAAAAAAATCATCGTTTCAATTCAAAGTTGTGTTTTTGAAAATAACAGTTTTTGTAAGTATGATAATCTGGTATTATACGATATAATAAATTAAAAAAACCGATCCAATTAGAAAATAAAAACTGTAGGCGAGTGAAACCAATTAAAATTGTTCTTTTCTGTAAGTATAAATCAACCAAACCTACCCTACTACAAGTACAATCCGGATTAGAGAAAGTGTTACGCAAATCTTTGTAAAACATATAATCATTGTCCGGGAAGGAAAAAACTCATTGGAATAAACCATAAATACAATAATTTCGGGGAAATCAAATCATTATAGTAGGAATCTCATGTTCAAAGAAACGAGATCTAATCACACGAACTTGACATACATTTGAAATATTAAATTATTAATGATAGTTTTTTTTTTGTTTGAACTAAATTTTATTGTTATTGATTGTTGGGTAGAGAAAGTATTTAATTACCTGAATATTATGATGAGAAGGAGATCGGAGACCGAACAGCTTGAGTAAGAGAGATCGGAGAGTTTGGTAAATGAACTTAAAAGGGATCCAAAGATAATAAGAAATTCCTTCTTCTTCTTCTTTTCTTCTTCCTTCTCTCTCCATCTTCTCTTTGATTGAGCTAAGTGAGAGAATCTGTGACTTGAGGAATTCCCTTTTAAATATAGAGAGGCTCATCAGTATGTGAAAATTTAAAATAAAAAAGTAGGCTCTTTACATTAATTATTATAAATTGGGATTCATAAAATAATATATTAACCTAGTTTAGTCTGATAATAACAGCTCATTTGGCGCGTCTTTCTGTAGCGTTGCATGTTCGTATGAGTTGTTAATTAATACTAGTATGTATACTAAAAAAGTACTTGCCTCGTTATCTAATTATATATACTCATGTAGCCTACTATTTTTTTTAAGACCCCATTGGATAGAATCTATTTCCTATCATTTCTAAAAATACATATCTGCTTTTTAGGGTGTTTGGGTACATTTTCTTTTTTGATGTATCGTTTTTATTCTACATATGCATAAGATGCAGAGTTTAGTGGCAAACTTCGAACTTTAGATGAGAGAAGCTCGTGATTGGCGAAAATGTATAAAGACTTGGTTACAGTAGCTAGAACACCCACATGGGAACCTGACTCATCTTTTCTCATTTCACAAAGAGACTAATGGTTTATTTATCGTTTATGCTTCCAGGATCTGCTAAGCGCAGTGCAAGAGTTCAACTCGGTCGTCGGTAGAAAGAAAGTAACAAACGGGTCTTGCTTATTCCGTGCAGATGATATTCCGACTCTAAGCCTTCCTTGGTATGTTCATATATTTTTTTGTTACATTCTTGCTTGCTTGAGCTTGTAGTTTTGTGGTCATCTAAAGTTAGTAATTATCAATTGTTTTTGAATGATATGGTTAAAATTAAAATATTAGTTTATCAAAAAGATATTTACAAATATTACTACTAGTTTATAAAGAAATTTAATGATAAAAAATTGTGATGAGATTTTCAAAACCAAAGCAGATCTAGTTGTTAAAAAAGGGATTATAAATTACTTCTTCCTCATTGACCTAAAAACCAAAATTCACAATCTTCCTAAATCCCTAAAATCGAAAGCGGCAGCCTAAGGTTCTCCATGGACGTGTGGGCCAGCGAGAACCATCCCGGCAAAGTAATCTTCTTCTCCTTGTGGATTTCTTCTTCTTTGTATCTCTCTATATATTGATTGATGGTTTAAGAAAAATAATAATATCTGAAATTGAAATTTCTGATTTATACTTTAGGGGTTACCACAGTTCCGTGAAAAAACTCACGAGGTTCTCAAATCCTTGTATGATTTCGACAGAAGCCAGTAAGTTATTTTGGAGACTTGCATATGTAAGATGGACGTGTTGTTAATTACTGTTGTTGATATAATATATCGATCTCCTTTGGAAATTAGGGTTAGGATTAGCGTTGAAGGATACGACACTTGGCTTCCTCTGAAGGATATCATAGACGCGTTGGATAATCACTTCAAATCATGTGGAGAAATCTGGGATATTGAGGTTCCCAGAGACCCTGTAACCAATGCCATCGACAGGTGTGGATTTATTTTTCCCTTAAATAATGCTAGCTACTTAACAAAAAAAAAAAAAAAATTGATTTTTGTGATAAATGTGACAGACGTTCTTTTGTTGTTCTTCGCGGAGAGGGCGCAGAAGAGAAGGCATTGCAGCTCAATGGAAGTGATATGGGAGGATGGAAGGCAGCTGTAAAGGCTATACCGATGAAAGACAGCGAGTTTACTACTGATCAATTGGCCGCTATGACAGTCGCACACTTTCAAAGAAACAGGTAAAATTATATTGATGCCTTTTATGTTTTTGAGAGACGTAACTGTTGTGAGAAGATATGTGTTCTTGCATGTGTTGATGATATGGAAAATTAATTACTATTTTGCAGAAGCCGTGGCATCTCCGTTACGGGATATGACACATCGGTTCCTGCGGATGAAGTCAAGAGGGCACTGAGGAAACACTTCTCTTCATGTGGACAGATCACGGATGTGTTTGTTCTCAACAGGTTTGTTGCTATTTGCTTCTTGTGTTGTGAATTTGTTGTCCCCACTCCCAAGCTTTGCTAAAACCCTTTATTTTGTTTTTGCAGCCGGGCTCTTGTTTATTTTTTCGGAATAGGCGCAGTAGATAACGCGCTGAAACGTAGTCGAAGGAAGGTGGAACGTAGTGCAAGTGGCGTGGGAGGATGGAGACTAGTTGCTAAGGCCTTGCCGTTGCCGAAACCGGAAAAAAAACAAGTATTTTGTGTAGGTTTGTATTTACCAGCCTTCCTTGTTCTAGCTAGACGTTTGGCTCCCTATGTATGACTTTTCTGTGTGGATGATAAAGTTTATAATCATTTCTCAGACTTATAAAAGGTTCACATATGTCACCACAGGAAAGAAACTAAAGCATCAAATTCGACACCAATCCATTCGAGTTCCTCATGAACCAATAACCCTAAAACCTAATCGAAACTACATTATCGTCCAACAATCCCGATTGAGAAGCATCACAACCATCAGATCGCAAAAAATCTTCACGATCATCAGTATAACGTTTTATTTTGTTATTTTTCAAAAGAAATGACTCAAAAACTTACAAACAAACAAGAGTCATGTAAATAATACACACAGAAGAGTACCATGATATTTATAACAATATACTCATTAAGCATAAGAAGAAAATGTACAAAGTAAAGGATTTTTCTTCACACAGTATTTGACTTGAATTGTTGAAGTTGACTTTTGTTGAAACGAAGACAAGTGGAAGAGAAACTTAGGAAGGCTTCTTGTTGATACGTCCAGGCTTCCCGGAACTCGTATTCTGCTTATTCTGCTTCGCTGAAAGATTCCTCGACGACACTTCCACAACCTCCGTCTCTTCCTCGTCTTGTGATATCTTCATCGATCATCACCATCAATATCATTAGAATTTTTGTATTGATAAGCGATATGTATCACAATTAAGTACATGAAAATTTTAAATTATTTCTGCTAGTTGGTTTTCCAAATCGAGTTTCATATAGTATTTGACAACAAGTTTTCTCCATATCTACCACAATCACATAAAAAAATGTAAGCGACTGGACGGAATTCAAGAGTCTAAGAGACTGAAATCTTATTTACGCACAATTATAATAAACCATGCATGGAAAACTCCAAATATAAACCGGATACTAACATATTCGAATAATAATCAAATCACCATTTTTAATAACTACTTACATCTTTTTACTATCAACTGTTTTTTAGATATATATATATATATATATATATATATATAACTCGTAGACTTTTCATAACAGAAACAAAAATTATACATTATCAATTGATTGTATAGAAATCACTCACCGAAAAATTATTAGGATGAGATCTTAAACCGAGAAACTTAACGAATAGAGATTGCAGAGTTTCGTGTATGAAATTAAAAGGCATGCAGAGATAAGAAGAAACTCCATCTTCTCTTCTTCCTTCTCCCTCCATCTCTTCTTCTTCTTTCTTCCGATTATGCACAGAAGATACTAATCGGGTCATTAATAGAGTTCAAATCCCTCATCATTTCTTCTTGGTCAACTTTCAGCGTTTACATTAATAATTTTAAAATATGCTAATCATACAAATTCATCTAATTTATCTTATTGTAACAGCTCATAGGTCGCCTCTATTCATATCATTTGCATGTTTTCCGTTTGTGATTCACTGATTTGTTCTTATACTTATAAAGAATATACTGAAATTGTCTCGTATACGAATGCTATACAGTATATTCATAGGTTCGGATTAGCGATTTTTGTATACTGTAAATATTACATGCGACGCATATAATAATATTGACACAACAAATTCCATGTGTATTCTAAAACTCGCGGGTACTTCTGCTGTCGGTCGGTGGTCCATTATAATATTGCTACAAGTTTTAGAATTATTATTCGTTTTCTCAAATTTCCAACACTTTTTAATGCACTATTGCTGACTTTCCTGACTTTCCGATTCAGTCATATCCACGTAGATTGATAAATATAATTAAGCACAAGTAAAGCATGTGAGATGGTTTTTACTATAATAACAAAAGCTATTCGTGATTCAATGGTTTTTTTTTTATTGATAGAAGTTTAATTTCCCGAGTCCTGAAAAGTGGATATGAATTTTAGATAAACAATAATATCTATAAATTAACGTGGAATAAAGCTAACTTTACATGGACAAAAACATGATGTGTTTTTCCAAAATGTATAAAAAAAGAATACTTTATATTAGCATTGTAGATTTCCTCCTACTTTTTATCGCTTCATATAAGGAAATTATAAAGTGGAATGTTTGTTATATCATTTAGGTCAGGTTCAAAAGTACAAAAACAACAAAGAAATGTTTGAAGGGAAGAAGAGCCAAGATCAATCAGTCATATAGCAAGAGACGATACACTTTTATTTTGAGGGCTTAGAATATTGGGCCGAATCTAGTAAAATAAATTGAGGCCCATAGTTGAAGGCTTAGATACGGCTTTGAAAGTTTAAAATAGAGGCCCGAATTATTGTTGAACCGAAAAAAGTAAAAATATAATTGTTGACAGTGGGATTTGAACCCACGCCCTTTCGGACCAGAACCTTAATCTGGCGCCTTAGACCAACTCGGCCATATCAACTTTTTGTTCAAATTACAGATTTTACGTATATTAATGATTGGTGAATAATAAGAACATTAAAGAAAAGCAGGAAAAGGATAACCATAAATAAAAAAGGATGGGTCAATGTCACCTGAAGAATTGTCGACTGCCCCTAGCCACTAACTTTGAAGCAGTGATAGGTCAGTGTCTGAAATTGAATAGTGAAGAGACAAAGACACGAGCCAGTTTCAGAGATACGACTACATGCACAGGTCTCGGTGTCTTTAATTTTTTTTTTTGTTCAACTAGATCATCCGTATCAGCGACGAAACCTATGACTTCTCCACCTCCTTATTACTTCTCTGTTTTCTCTCTCTCTCTCTCTCTCTCATTAACTCTTACAAAATAAAGTTGTATATATGAGGACATCGTGTCAATAAATTTAAGATTCTAAATGGCGGCGACGTTTAAAATAGTACAGTTTAGTTAAAGTTGTTTCAGACTAATCTTAACCTTAAGCAAGCTCGTTATATTCATTTGGATCAGCGGGGTCCTATATACCATATTAAATAATAAATACTATCAATTTTTTATTGAGAATACGATGTCAAACTAGATATACATGTATAGTATTTCTAATTTAACTAGGCTACATACAGTATGTTTGTTTTGGTTGATTTCTGAAACCTCCATATATTATCTCTCGGTCTACATCTAAGTATAGCATGTGAACATTTGGTCATTTCCAATTTTTTTGTTTTTTGGTTTTATCCCCAAAACTTAGATATAGGCATCGAAAATTTCTAAAATGGTAGATATATTGGTGGTTTCTTCCCCAAATTTAAGTTATAAATTGTAGCTCCAAATGGAAATGATGCGGGGCGGTCCGAATAGTACCAAAATTGTGTATATGTTTAATCGTTAGATCATCATAGCTATATATCTAACTATCATATATTTGTTTCTTCAAAATTGTGCTCTACTCGACAACAAATCTAATCAAAATATTATGTCATGTAAATATCTATTCATTAGAGAGAAAAAAACGCAACGTCACCGTCTATGGAATCCTTCACCATCATCATGTCTTACTAAGAGCCTATTTAATTTTGTCCAGCAATGTTAACAGATTTTGTCTTGATTTGAGGTGAATATGCCAAAGTTAAACCAATACATTGATTTTGACTTCCAAATTATTTTTCCACCGACAGATCAAACACACCAAAAACATTGTGTGTGTGTGGGTGTGGCTCCATCCCTAGAATGTGATACCATTGCTCTGTGTTCTTGTTCTGTGTGTTGTGTTCAATGTTTTCCCGCTGATCGATTACGAGATACATATAGATAATTAACTATTACTGCTAACTATTTTTATCAAATGGTTGTTAGTAATCTAAATATCTCGGAAATTTAATGAGACTTTTATGTTTGTGTATGATACTTTTTCACTAAGATAACTCGGCCAAATCGGATTAGGGTGAGTTTGCTTATCCCGGGGAGGAACAACGATTATCATGGGACCAATATATCCCAATATGATCATTGATCACCCTTTGGAGTTAGAAACACTAATTTGAAAAATGTTTTGCATTATGCATATAGACATGTAGCCTTCAAATTTTTTGTTATAGAATGCTCCGACCTGATCAAAATTAGTACCATCTAATCAACCGAATGTTTATCCTTATCCATGCACCTTAAAGAGAGCTTCTCACGATTTTAACCTAACTTTAAATCATACGGGTTTGTTAATTAGTTGAAAAACAAGATTTTATTATTAAAATTGTTTCTTTATATATTGTTTTCCATCGATCAGTTTAACTTGACATTTCCGTTTCCGAACATAGATAAGTGTTATATAATAATTGTTGAAAACTATGGCGTTTGGATCCAACGACACAAATTCATAAATATATACTAATGTCTGAATACATTAACGACATGATATCATTTGAATTGCCTCCTTCTCCTCACTTATTACAAGATGACAACAACTCTTTCGGATTGAAACTAGCAAGTAGATGCACCAAATTGATCAAAATCGTCCAAATTATAATTAAAGTAGAACCATCTCAGTGTTTTGCCCACGTCCCATCCGGTTTGTTTCTACTGATTCAAAAATATCTGGTTTTCGCAAACAAACAAGTGCAAGTATTTTGATTTTTAAAGAAATATAGGGAAATTCACATACGTATATATAGACAAAGTCATAACTAGGACAAAAGACCAAAATTGATATCCTCTAGTCATTTTTCATTTCATTTAGAACACGCTAGTTAAGGATATGATACTACAAATCAAACCGAATTACCACATCAAACTAATTAAACATTAAAACAAACCACACTCTCTCAACAACTTACTAAAACGGCAAGCAATCAAACAATCCAAACCTCTCTCAAGGAATCAAAAAGAAAACGTAAAAATACATAAATCATTATTATTATAAGAATAAGAAAGAAGAAAAAACGTTGACAAAAGTCAAAAACCCTAACTTTAAAATATTTCCGTTACAACGGCACGTAACGGATGCTCCATCTCACAAGAAAGCTTCAAGACCTCACCAAGATTAACCGGCTCGGTCTGATCCTGTCTCCACTCGAACCGTCGTACTAACTCAGCCACCCACCGAGTCACAGTAGACAAACCCATGTTTTTCCCCGGACACACCCTCCTCCCGGCTCCGAACGGCGCAAGCCTTAGATCCCCACCACGAATGTCCACGTCAGCATTCCCATTGAATCTCTCCGGGTCGAATTTTAACGGGTCGGACCATACCGTCGGGTCGTGAGTAATGGCCCACATGTTGACCATCGCTGTAGTACCCTTCGGAACCACCATGCCGTTGCTGAGCTGGACATCTGACGTGGAAAGACGGGCCCACGATAACAATGGTCCAGGAGGATGCAGCCTTAGAGTTTCCTTCACCACAGCCTTTAAGTACGGGAGTTTTGCCAGGTCCGTATCTGCCACGTCGACTCGCTCGCTCACGGCCGTTTTGATCTCGTCCCTTAGCTTGGCTTGCACGTTAGGGTTCAGTACTAGCTCCGCCATGGTCCACTCCGTTAATAACGCCGTTGTATCTGTCCCTCGAAATATCATCTCCTATATTTAAAAAAAAAAAGATTATTAGCACCAAGAAATGCAAAAAGAAACATTACAACGTACTAGACCGTTACATATATATACCGTTAATTAAATGTGACTTCCATTTCAATTTCATACGAACTTACCCATAAAACGGCGATCATGTCATCTTCTTGCAGCTTGTCATCACCGTCTAAAGATAACAAGACATCAACGAAATCTCCAATATCTCTTTTCTTCTCCGAGTTACTGACGACTCTGTGTTCGTCAATGATTCTCTTGACGAGGGCTCGGATTCGAGGAACGAGATCTGAGCAGCGTTGCTTTAACCGAACCGGATCGTAGAAACAACCGAGCCATGGAAGATAATCAGACCAATTAAAAGCACCCAAGAGCTCAAAACCTTCTCTAACCATTGATGTGAGCTCATCAAGATCCATTTTCTGAGCCACAGGGTCGTATCTTCTCCCAAAAACACTCCCCATGATGTTGTTCAAGGCGGCTAGCTGCAAGTGTTTCCTCAAAACGACGGATCCGACGCCGGTTTGCTCCGTTGACACAGCTTTCACCATTTCGGCGCAGTCTAGCTTGCGCCCAGCTTCGTGTGCTAAAATACGCTGAGGAGCGAATAGGTGCGTCGAGGCGATCCTTCTTAACGTGCGCCAGTAAGCCCCGTTCGGTGCGAAACCTATTGCTCGACTAAACATGAGGCTCTTAGCCGACTGCTTAACTGGCCGGTCCGCGAAGTGACTCGACATCAAAATCTCGCGAGCCGTATTCGGTTCAGAAGCCACGATAACCGGCGTCGAGCCGAGGCTGAAAGCCATAATCTCAGTATTGGCGCGGCTCCAAGCCATGGCTGCTAACGACCGATGAGCCAAGCCGCGGCTGAGAGTGAAAAGACTGCCGAATACTGGTACACCCCGAGGACCCGGAATCGTGACCCGACCCAGTCGGTTACGGCCGTTCTTCCATGCGCCGCCGCCACCTCCGGCTAGAGCCCACGTGAGTATAGAGAGAGAAACGACGGCGAGGAATAGATAGCCGAGGACGGAAACATCGTGTATGTTTTGGGATCCAAAAACGGCAGGTAGTGCGATCATCCAATAACTCGTTTCTTTTGATGCCAGATTCATCAACTCCATTTATTTTTCTCCCTTTTTTGATATACTATTGATCTTGTTTCTTATCAAATAATGAACAAAACGCACTAACAAACAATAATAACCAAAAAAAGAAGAGAAGTATGTTTTTTTCCTCAGAGATATTATAAAACAGAGCAAGACTTTATGAGATGAAGAAAAAGTACTTTTTTGGGGGGTTAAAGAGAGAAGTACTTGGAGGAACAATGGAGAAGTTGAAGGTAAAGGTATAAATAGATATATGAAATTATATATATACCCACATGCATTTTTTGGCAGCGTTAATTAAATGCGCAATGCATGGGAGAGAGACGTCGGTTTTAAAATGATTAATTTATAAATAATGTTGATGTAAATTTGATTAATGTAAGAAAAATGGTAAGGTTAAAAATTGGGAGAGGATCACGTGGAGGGAGGAGGTGAGTCGCATGAATTGGTTTGGTGTTGAGATGAAATGAAAGATATGTGTGTGGGCGTTATCACAATGAATTTGGCATTTTTTTTTTCCTTTTTCTTAATGAAATCATTTAATTTAGTTTGCACCGTTTTATTTATGGGTTTTGTTGTTTGCATCGATGTGAGATAAAAGAGAATTTAATGAGGTTCGTTAAACCGAAAAAGAATTTAATGAGACCTTGTATTTCGGCTTAGCTAAGGAAATACGAAAGGACGAACTAATGAATATGTTTTTTTGGGAGAAAAAGTTAATATTAATCGGTTATAGAGTAGAGAGAGTAGTGTGACGTGCGACGATTGACTTGCCCTATTTCATTTCTCTTCTATTTAAGAATTATCCTTATCTTTTTTAATTTTCTGTTTATGATTTTTCAGCATAATCGCAAAAAACGCGAGTTTGAGTTTATAGTAAAATGAAATCACGATTGTTTTTATGAGAACTTCTCAATCATAATCGAAGTTTTAAAACATCCACGCATATATGCAAAATCTCATACGATAGAAATATCGTTGGTTAATTAAATTGTTGTTGATCGCAACTTGCAAGTTCTTGTAGAGAAAAAAAGGGAAACTAACTCATATACTAGCATATACATATGAGATATCCAAATCTATAAAGATGTCAATTACTGGGAGTTATTTTCTAATTCTATCACAGTTTATCATATTCTAGCATATTTTTATCGTTCACAGCTGTGACAACGTACAAATATCTAACTCTTTATTCATTAATGTCTAATCGAAAGTTGAAGCCACAACATGCAAAGTATTGGAGATAGCGGCGTACGGCGCCTCAAGAATCAATCAAACTTGTAAAAAAGTACAGAAGGCAAATCATATAATAAATCACATTCATAATAATACATAAAAGAAATTGCATATTTTGAGATTCTTATTCAAACCTATGTAAAACATTAAACAAATGGCTGGCGGTTTCGCATAATTTTGTTTTGCTTTAACGAGTATTAATAATCTTAAATACCAACAAGGACAGTCAAATCTCATTAGAAAACCGGTTAACCAAACGTCTCATGCGATATGTATGTTGCTTATTTCTAGCTCGCCGTTTACCGTTTTTTATGATAATGTTTATGAATATTTTTTTTAAAAAAAAGCATAACAAATTGGTGAAAGTTAGAGGAATCCAAGGTGGAATCTTAGAGGCTGGGGCTGGCAGGCACCAAATCATCCGTTCTCCATGTTAAACATATTAGGTTCGCATGTCAACACATATGTGAAAAAAGTTTACATCTCTATGAAAAATAGATCGGTGCTTTCTCATTTCGTTTTAGTTAATGTTACATAAATTATAAATAGGAGTATTAAAAATTTGGCAAAATAAATTAAAAAAAAAAGTGTGAATGGTTAAGAAGGGAGGTTTGGCAGGGAATGGGCGGGTGGACAAATAAGAATAAATGATAGGAGACATGAACCATCCCAATGTCCCCTAAGTACTCAAAGTACATTGTACCTTTTTCTATATATATACTACAAATTCGATCCTTGTTTCATAATCTTTCAAGATTCAGGTACACCAGTTGATAATACATGTATTTTTTTAAAAAAAAATTGACGATAAGACTAAAACAGTATGCATTTATTGGATTGAGCTAAATATATACTGAATTGTGGAGTGCAATTTCTAAGTAACGTTGTGTAGGTCTGACGACATGTTTCACGCTGATCAAACTGGCCCTTTTAATTAAGAGCTTTTTTTTTTAGTATTTCAGGTTTGCCTTTTGTCGTGTATTTTGTATATCTCTCTTACTTATTTTTGAGCGCCAAAATTCGTTTTCTCGTTGCTAAAAGCGATTCAGAAAAGAAAAAAAAAACATTAAACTCTCTTTTTGATAATAGTGGAAGTCAGCAGCGGTTAAAAATTGATGTTTCTCATACTAAGGATAAACCATATTCTGTTTTTTTTTTTTTTTTCATTTATTAGAACTTGAATCCTAACTTATATATGAACCAATATATATACAAGCCTTCTCAGTATACAATATATGGTGGATTCACAATGTATTGAAAATGATAATTTAGCATTTTTAATGTGCATACGGCATATCCAAAAACATAACTAACCTCATCTTCAGTAAACTTTTGTTAAGAATGATTCAGTGATATATACACGTGACCGGTTAAATCTAAACTGAAATTAACTAGCGTTAACGGTGGCTATGCTTCAAAGGGCACAGTAGCTATGGTGTAAGGAGCAGGAATCTCAACAAGCCCAAGATCGTATAATTAATGCCACAGGTGAATCATAAATATCGTGACGTGAAATTTTCCCAGGAAAATTTTATCTTATGACCACACCGACAAGTTTCTATGCAATGCTTGCTCAAACGTGACAGTGTAAGAAGACCAATAAGTTTTGAACGAGAGTCCGTCTGATTTGGTTGACAATTGAGAACGATTCAGTCCTTCTGACATCTTGAAAGCAAGAACCGGAAATGGCTTTGGTCGCTCACATGTTCTGTAACTGTGTACGCAGGGATAAAGTAGTAGAAAGTAGAAACGTGCATGCATGATGATCAACGAGACGAAATCTTAGATTTTATGTGATTTAGAGTTACGACTTTCACTCTTTCTTCTAAGTTCAGAATGATTAATCATACGCATTCTCTCGTAAAAAATAACAGTTTTAATAAAAAATAAAATAATTATTTTACGATAACGAATTGAATGAAACAATCGCATTTCTTTCAAATCTTTGGACCCTCAAAACACTATACCAAAAGGCAGAAACTAGTGTGGGTCAACCATAATTATAGTTTACCATTTGGAGCATAGTTTCTTTCACCATCGCGATCATTTTCAAAAATGTAACGAGAAAATAAACCTAAAGGCAGGTAGGGACATGGGAGTTGGGCCGTAAACAAGACTAAACATATGATGTTGACCGTTGACAGATTTTTATCATCTCTGCCACGTTTTCACCATTGTGGGGTCCATCTTTCATAATTTGTGTTGATAATCGGTTAAACGGGAATTTGGGACGACATTACCGGCATTTGTGAATCAATTCGTTGTCTCATTGAAATCTAATTTATGATTCTAGAAGACAAATTCTCGAAATAATATAGAAAACTATTTTTTTTCTCTCCATATATGCGTGTAATAATATTGCCAATTTTCTAGTATAATAAAAGATATATATAATTTGTCCTCAATATTTTGAAAATTCTCGTTTTTATCCCGTCTCGTCTATTTCCAAACAGAAATCGAAAATGTAGAGAAATGCAGCCCATTGTTTGATTTTAGAGCGGGCTTTGATGTAGGCCTACATGTATATTCAGGTCCTTTGGAGTTATATAAAGGGGTGGACAACATTTTAGACCTTAAAATTAAGCTTGACCAAAAAAAAAAAAGACCTTGCAGTCTTGAATTGTATTATAAGTAAGTTTCTTATAAAGTTATTTTTTCAGATTTTTTAAAACTTAATTGTCATACAATATCAAGATTTTATAAAGAAAATTCTATATTATTTGAAAAACTATTTTCTGCTTAAAATTAAGCCCAAAATGTTCCAGATATCATATAATTGATTTATTTCATTACTAGTGAGTTTGGACCAATGGGCCTTAATGTTTGGAAGCCTGCCACTTGCCATGTGCTCAGTGATACTCAAATTGGGATCAGTCTCCATGTTTCGCATTGTAATAGAGAGCTATATATGCATAGAAAAAAGAGAGACAAATGGATTCAAACATATATAAAAAGTGTCATCACATTACATTTCCATATTCGAATCACACACAAGTCAATATATAAAACTGCTCCTTCGCCATCCTTCAAGCTTTAACGCAGCAGTTGAAGCAGCTGAAAATGCTTCTCCTCGTCTGTTCCAAACAATACAACACCAAAATTCTTATCTTACTCCATAGGAATCAAGACCGGCTCAATATTCAAAATTTTACTTAAAATATTTGTAACAAAAACAAAACTAGACCCTAAAATATTGTTACCAAACCCTTTTTGCTAATGCCTCATCCTATAAGATGACCTAATGATGATAATGCAAATCAAAACAATGTTTTATATGATATAACCGTCGCAGATGCGAATGATTTATGTTAAATGATCAAAGCAAAAGACTCAAAAAAACGCTTTAGGAATCTTACAGAAGGAGAATGTGGCTGGTGAATGTGGCTCGGAGAGAAGTGTTGTTGGTTTTCGCTATGGACCGTAGTGAGCTTAGTGGTTGCTTCTGTTGATGTCGCTGACTCGGGTGGCTTGATGAGCTCTTCCTCGTTGCCTAGACTGGCTCGAGAAGGGTCTCTCTTGTTCTGTTTCCTCATCTCTCTAATCTTAGTGAAGTCCATTGAGTAATCAGGAATCGTTCCTCCTCCTTTCTGGTCCCAATCACCAAACTGTGGCACTGATAGCCACGGAGAGTTCTTCTGCAAGCAACCAAACAAACCCAACAATTTACATTAAGTAATTACGTGTCTGATGCATAAGACTTAAAAAAATACAGAGAGCTATTTACAAAGCGATGCATCCTGATAAAGGAGGATGAAGTCAGAGATGAGAAAACAAAGGCAAAGTTCTTGACTTTATTGGACTGTTACTAAGCTTTGAAATCCTGATCACTAGATTTTATAGAGATTGTCAACGATCGAGAAAAATCTGGGTAAAGTAAGGATCTTCTTATCATCAATCCGATAAAAGGTAACCCAAAGTTTGAAAATACCGAGCAAGAAAATCAAAACTTTATATATATACCTCGTTATGAGAAAATCCCTGTTTCCAAGATTCGATATAGTAAAAGGGAAGACTTTAGAATCTACTACTTAATTTAGTTTTCAGGATACACATATGCTGATTTTTTTAATCAAATCGTCACTATTAACAGTACAATTTAGTGGTGGGAGCTTGTTAAACGTGTAAAACCCAATGTTCGATTCCCCGACAAGATCCAAAGGGCACAACAAAACAAGCAGATCTTGATTTTATTGTTCAAAACAAAATTTCCTCAAGAAAACAAACACAGAAGAGAGATAAAACAGATGAAGAAGACGATTGTTTTACCTCTTTTCGATCCTCCTCCATATGACTCAACTCTGTAAAGAAGACAAGTTTGTAGACAGAGAGAAACAGAGAGATGAGTTTTTCTGATTTTTTTTGTTTGGTTTAGATTTTGCCGATGATCCTAGCAAAAGAGAAGTTGGAGAGACAGAATCATATATAAGAAAAAAAGAGTAAAGATTGTGAAATTATTATTATTATTACAGCAAAAAACAGCTCAATTTTATATCAAAAATATACTTTTTGTTTTTCCATTTCTCCTCATGCCCAATAATAATGTAATAATAAACAATTACGGAAAGTCCGAGGTAGTGTGTAATAATCACGAGATTGCCATTAGGACTTTTGTATCTTCTTCTCTCGCTCTCCTTTCGGTGTTGGCCAAATAAAAAATTCTGATGTGGGGGGCAAAACTGTAATTATAAGATCAAAAGACTTTTTCCTTTTCCTTTTGGTCAGAAGATCAGAAGACTTTATTTGTAGAAAATTTAGAAAAGAGGACCCCATTATTTGAAGTTTTCCTTTTCTTCTTTCTTGCAGACATTAAGTTTCTGTTTAGAACCATAATTCCAGTTATGACTAAATTCGACAAAATTTAGTTACAGTTACACGATTAGGACGGAAAGTTAATAAATTTCTCTTTATTTGTCTGACCCAGTAAAAATAAAGTTATAATTTCGTATAGTCTGTAATGATTTCTTTCTAACAGCTCAAAATTATTTTCCGTCGAATATACTGTTTTGAATAACAACAGTAAGAACAAAAAAGTGTTCCACCAAATCTATACTAAATAAAAGAAACTATTTAGGACTCCTTAAGCTATCCATCTCAGCTTTTCAAACTACTATAAAAATATGACACATCAGCAAAAAATAATAATATAAATTTCCACTTTATATTTTTTTGAAATACACATAAAGTAATAAATAGAACCAAAATTAATATAGTTAAATACAAAAGTAAATAAAAATAAAATATTATTTTTTTAATCAGTATAATAAATATTATTTAAATCTATAGCATCAATATATACTCTTTTTGTTTGTAATATAACAAATTAACAATAATGAAAATTCTCACTTTAGATTTTTTAAAATACACATAAAATAAATAAATAGAACCATTAAATTAATATAGTTATTAGCAAAAACTAAATAAAACTAAATATCATTTTAATCAGTAAAATAAATATCATTTAAATCTGTAGCATTAATATATACTCATTTTTGTCACTAAAATTAATATAGTTACTAACAAAAGTAAATAAAATTAAAATATTATTTTTTGAATCAGTAAAATAAACATCATTTAAATTTATAGCATCAATATATATTCTTTTTGTTTGTAATATAACAATAATAAAAAATTTCACTTTATATCTTTTGAAATACACATAAAATAAATAAATAGAACCACTAAGTTAATATAGTTATTAGCAATAACTAAATAAAACTAAATATCATTTTCTGAATCAGTAAAATAAATATAATTTAAATCTATAGCATTAATATATATTCTTTTTTGTAATATAGTGAATATATTGGACAATAAATTGCTCTAAAAAACTTAAATAATAGTTAATAGAAACAAGATTACAAAATAATAATTTCTAAAATAAAATTTAAAACATTTACAAATTATAAAAATCTAAAACATTTACCTTTTAGAAACATACAGATTAAACATCACAGTACGTTAGATTTATGGCAACCAACAAGACAACGGAAGTTATAGGAAGCTTTTCAAAGCATCTATCTATATGAAGATTTCGATCATCGTTACTATTTACATTGCAGAAAATAATGGACACAAGAAGAATTTCATGCACTGATATTTATTCAATGTGTGTCTTAGTTGACTTAAGGTAGTCAAGTTACTACAAGCGATACATGTCAACTCATGAGTTAAACAGTTTATATACAAAAATTAAGTTTTAGATGATAGTTAATTTTTATATATATCAAGTTAGTAAATTTTTAAATTAAATAATAATGCATTTTTGAAAAAATAACATACACATTTTTATGTAGAAAAAAATGTCTAAAAAAATCTCTAACCATCCACATCAACAAAATTCTTTATAAACCCAACTTGAATGAAAAACTAATATGGTTTTTTTTACTGGGTTAAGAAACTCTTTTAAAAATAATATAATATATATTATTAGTTTAATTATAAAGGCTCGTCAAAATATATATGTGTAGTTTAATAAAAATGTTTAAGTTAAATTACAAGCACAAATTTTTTACATCTTTTGAGTTTTGAGAAACTCAACATACTTTATTTAACATAATGAGTTAGTATGAAATTGTATTTGTATATGTATTACTTGCCTCATTCATCTATATTTTTATAGTTTACGTATACTTCATAGACCAAATCAAAATTGCATTTTATCAATATGATTGTGATTTTTTATACTATGTAAATGTTGTTTTTATTTATATGAATCATAGTTATTTTATAGATTTATAAGAGATTAGAACATTGAGTGTTGTTTGTATTTGAGAGTGCTAATTAAATAAAAACACTACACAAACACAGTTGAAATAAAAATAAAAATATAAATTAATTGGAACAATAATAATCAAATTTAGTCAAAACAAAAATAATTTTAATAATATTTTGAAAGTTAGTGAATAACAGTGAGTTTATATACAAATATTAAGTTTTAGATTAACAGTTAATTTTAGCATATATCAAGTAGATAATTCTTAAAATTATATCATGATACATTTTTTGAATACGTTAAAATATTTTTGATGTATAATCATATCAAAACAATTTTAAAAATTAAATATTATATTTAAAATATTAACTTAAAGTGAAAATAATTTAACTTATTAATAATCAAATATCTATATAAAAACAATCTGCGCGTAGCGCAGAAACATCTCTAGTTTATCATAATTTAGCTACAGTCGAAATCCATACATTGGATGTCACTTGTCAGCGAGAAAATTCGTTTTAAGTTTTAAACCAAAAAAAATTAATAAGCCACTTGAGCTAATAAGAATTGTTGTCCGTATTGGGCTAACCAGTAAAGCCCATTAAAGTCATGGGCTTCATTAAACAAATCGTTAACAGAGTTATTGTTGTCCGCATTGGGCTAATAAGAATTGTTTCTCAGTATGTTTCTCAGTATTACCTGGAGAGGAATATGGAAGCTAGAGCCAAGGAGGTGGAGAGAGAAGCAGAATTAGAGAGAAAAGCTCCAAAAGTGAAAGCAAAGTCAAAGATGTCAAAGGCTGAGAGAGAAGCACGGAAGAAGCAAAAGATGAAGGCGTTTCAAGCTTCCAAACAGAAGTCAATGTCCAGAAAAAGTGTCAAGAGATGGAATTGAAGCTAAACATGTAGCTGTAGCTAAATATCATATATGTATAATGATGATGTTAACAATAACTGGATTTAGTATATATCTCACTGAAAGCTTGCATCATCCATTGTAAATTACATTCATTCCAAATACTATTGACCTTGACATCTTTTGTAATTTCAGACATGAAAAAATTAACACCAGATATATTTGATCAGACATCAGCTAAAGGGCGAATACATAGCAACCCCTCAAATATGATCTTGCGAATTTTCTGCACTATTCGAATCTCTTGACAAGGGAAAGATCATTGAGCATCTTCTGAATTGCTCCATCATCATGAGCTCTTCCTTTTGTCTACACAATAACAGAAGCTTAAATCATCTCAAAAGTCTCACTGACATAACAAGACTATTTGTTCTTTTTAGGTTATCTCATCTCCACTGAATAGACAAAGCAGAATACGTTTACCTTAAGAGAAGGAACCATTGCCACTGCTTCTTCAGTAGTCTCAGGACAGAGATTGCCAAGAACACAGAGCTGTTCAATAATGGCGAATGCAATGGTTTAAAACTCATGTGTCGAAAACGACTAAGCTGATGACAAAAATCCAATCTCAAAAAGATTTAAAAATCTTACCTCAAACTCAGTGAGTTGATGCCTGCTCAGAATTCTGTGAAACTTGAGTTAAGGTAAAACATGTTGCAGTAAAAATCAAATGGCATATTCTCACAAAACTAACGAACTTGAACCACTCTCTCATTTAACGTTCAGTGCTAAGAAAAGCAGAATCAATGCATTCTCATAATACCTACCTCTTTCGAATAAAGATGCAAGCATGTCAAAGCAACCATTGGTCTAAACTACGAAAAAACTAATTCAGAAATAGGATACTCTCGAACTTGTCTCACAGCATCTGGATTCTTGTACCGGCTGAATCGCTTAACATATTGCAAGGACTTCTCAAACACCCTGCAAGGAGAAAACAAAAGTTCTTCACCAAGAAAATATTGTAATTTTTGTTTCCTGATAATGAAATCGACATAACCATAAGTCCAATAGCGAGCACCACTAATCTATAAGTAATATACTAATATCAAAAGCTGAGTACATTCTTCAATTCTTAGTCTCCAAGATCCAAGGCTCTTTTACTTCTTGACTGGTAATTTATACGGTGAATGTTTATGAAGCACAAAAGCTAATAATACTTACTGAGAAACTTGATTCATAGGATCCTCGGAGACCTGCTGAAGCTGTTCATACTTGTGCTCAAGGATCAAAGAGACTTCACAGTTCATTAAGCACTTTGCCTTCAAGAACTCTATTGACAAAAGAACAAACCCATAAATTTCAGTGCGAAAATCTCCAAAATTGGGTACGGGTATCGAAAAGGGTAAGCTCAATGAGAATTCGAAGAAGAAAATTGTTTCGATTCGATCGTATTGCACGAAGATCAATTCGAATGAAAACAAAAAAAAACCCTAATTTTGCGGTTGCAATAGCTACGGACACGGAGAAGGGAATAGAGAAGTACCGTCTCCGATCTTGAGCTCGGCGGCGTTCTCTTGTTCTTCTCCAGACATGGCGAGTACCAAGGAGGTAAATCGAACCCTAAGGACTTTTATGTTCCTTCTCTCGTTTTTTTTTTTCGTCTAACGACAGAACGTAAGTGAAGAATAAGAATATAAGGCCAGATGATCAATTATTTTATGTTTGAACAGTTATATAAAAAGAAGCAAGCAAGCTCTATCATTAAAATGGAAAATCAAAAAAGTTAATTAAGTCGATGGGGAAATTGACAGAAATTAGTAGATGGGGCAATAGAGAGAAATTGAAAATAATTAAACAGAGGTTTTCAATTTTTGATTAAATAGATGGTAATAGAGAGAAATTGAAAACAAATAAAGAGACATATTTGAAAATAAATAAATAACGGTATAAGCAATTTTTCAATTTTAACAATAAATTTATTAGCATGTATATATAAAAATAACAATAATACCGTTCCAAAAATTGTGATGTAAATAGAAATTTCTTTTGATAAACAAATATGATACAAAAGAAAATTATGTGTTTCTCACACAATTAAGTAACACTTAAGTAGACAAAGTTTAAAATTAGCATCGCAGCTGCTTTGAAGATGGTTGCAGAATTCTCCTAGGCTCTTGCTAAAGCATTTACGGCCCATAATTAAAAAGGCTTTCTCGTCTCTCTAAGCGACAAAATGTTGATTAGTTTAATGAGGTTGTCTCTGAATCCATAAATTTAGTTACTAGTACTATTTTGTAGTGCCATTGCGCTTTGACATATAAATTGTTTGAGCCTTAAGTTGTCATTTTTCCTTGCAATAATGAAGCATTGTTCTTCTTCGCCTTGTGGACTGCGAGTGGAATTTGGGCCACCAACCATAAGGTCCTACTCCTATCATCTAAAAAATGAGAAATGGTACCTTTTTCCCAATATTCTTTCGATAAAAGAATATTAATTTATATGAAAGAAGAATCTCCGTAAGGACCGTGACTATGGGATAATTCTTCGATAGGCAAATGATATGATTTTCTTTCGAGTAAAGTTATCCGTTAGCTTTGATTATCAAAATGGGTAATCTAATGTTCCAATTCAAGACAAGCTGAATTATAAAATGTATTAACCAACAAGAAAAAAAGAGTAGCTAAAACTTTTCCAAACATAGCAAACAATTGATGAAATGGAATTACCAAAAAAAAAGGAAAAAGAATGATAATTTAATTACGATTCTATCGGGAGTATAAAATCCAACCAGGATTGAAAATAATATCACAGTATCCATCCGATGGCATTACCGTTGTTGGTTTCCTCAACACTGGAAAGAGAGAATCTCGGGATGGAGTAACTGTAACGGTCATGTGTAGAAACTGGTTGCGTGAGGTTCCGTGCCGGTAACGTGTTATAAGGATCTCCTCCCCTTAGGCTGCAAAATTCAAAACACCAAAACCATCGGTTTTGAAACCCCAAATCCGAAGACAAAACCGGTACATTTGATGATGCTCTAAGGTGTATTATTACCTTGTCCTTTTATAGAATTGATCTTCATCGCTTGTGCCCTCGTCTGAGAAATATCTTCTTCGTATCAACTGGAAATAGAAAGTGTTCTTTACGTTGACAGAGAGAGAGAGAGAGCTCTGTTGTAAAAACATGGCAAGGTGGGAAATAACACTAACCATACGGAAAAATTTGTTGAGAGCTTCTTTGTCATATCTAGCTTCTTTGGCAGCCTGTGCATTGGCTCACCAACGTTATATGTGTTAGAGAAACGAGTGGTCACTGATTTTAAGAAGTATGGTTACCATTGTGAGACCACCATTGCTAAGGAAGCTCTCAGAGAGGGGAAGTTCATCACTATGGGGAAGCAGGCCTTGTTTCTCAACCCATTGGCGAGCTGCATCAACAAGATTTCCACTGCTTCCACTTGTTCCTTCCTTGGCAGCAATATCAGCTTTGTTCCCAATGACCATGTATGGCACTGGAAGACCACAAGGTCCACCAGAAGAAGAAAGAGGAGCTGAAAACGTCCCGCTTACTGTAACTTCAGCAGCCCATTTCTGCAAATTTGTTTTTGTTCTTCTCTGGGAAAGGTCATGAACGAATATGACTCCTGCGTAATCAAAACCGTCTCTCATCTGTAAGTGACGGGATAAACAGAGACTGAGATTGACATTATTTGCGATAAGAACTGAGTAGACAGACCATTGATTTGTGAATAGAACAGTGAGCGGCAATCTCTGTATCTCTCATGACCTGACACATCCCATAGTTCGACAAAGAAATCTCTCTCCGAGTCACCTTTAATGTTACTTGAAGAAGAAGTAGGAGTTGCGTAAGTTATGTGCTGCATGCACGGAACCAAATTCCGGAAAGCCGGTTAAGGAGCACCTCTCTCGTTAATCACATGGACAAAAACTAAAGACAGCTTAAGTTACCTTGACACCAACACTACAGCCAATTGTTTGAGATGGGCGAACAATAGAGCAGCCTTTGAGGATGAGATGCACAAGAGATGATTTCCCAACACCTAATTTGATATTCAGAGATAAAATTTCGACTAGGATCACAGCAAGTAATGTAATGTTGAATCAATCAATCATGCGAATCTATCTTTTAACGAAATACTAGATTCCACCACAACTATATCAAATCAATCATGCGAATCTATCTTTCCAAGCTTGAGTTTGTTTGCATTATGGAATCTTTAACACACGACCCATCTACAACTCCGGCATCATCCATATGGAAACGAGAATTTGGTATTACCTGAGTCACCAACGACCAATACTCGAATCTGGCCGCATAATGGCGCGGCGATCTGTTCCTTCGTTTCCTTTTCACGCTCCCTCCAAAACCTCATTTTGCTTTCACCGCCAAAGTGGATTCTCCTTCTTCCTCCTTAACGTTCTTCTTCTCGATGAATCTAGCATACAATTCAGACAAATCTCTCAGGTAATCAAGGTGAATGAGGAAATCTCGAGACGAGGAGAGTAGAGTGAGGTCTGGATCGACAATTTGCGGAAGAAGAAACGATATTAAGTTTCCTATTCATATTTTCATTCATCAGGCTCAAGTTGCGTGCGGATATCTCAATCAATTGGATCGGTTCAGTGAGGTACTGAACCAAAACCAGCAGATTGCTTACTAAACCGGTTGATAGTACCAAACCAAACCTATCAGTTTGGCATGGAACCACATAATAGGAGCTCAAGACAAATTTGTAAGTGGCCCATACCGGTTTAAGAATGAATAATCTGAGCTTTCTTGTTCCACTTTGTCATGAAAAAGGTTAAAATTGAAATAATTATCATAATTCATCAGCTGGTCGTCACAACAAACCCGTTGAGAACAAACACATCCGTGATGTGTCCACATGTAGAGAAGTGTTTCCTCAGTGCGCTCTTGACATCCTCCGCAGGAAGCGAAGCGTCATATCCCGTAACGGAGATGCCATGGCTTCTGCAAAATAGTAATTATATCAACATCTCTTGCGAGTAAAGACTTTTTCACGTAAAACACACAAAAAAAAGGCATAATATAACTTACAGTCTTCTTCGACAGTGTGCGACACTCATCGCAGCCAATTGATCGGTAGTATACTCACTGCCTTCACACGACATAACCTTAACATCTGCCTTCCATCCTTCCATCACTTCACTTCCATTAAGTTGCAATGCCTTTTCTTCCGCGCCTTTGCAGAGAACAACAAAAGCACGCCTGTCACATTAAAAGCAAACAAGAACCAGGAAAGCAGCTAGCATTATAAGGGAGGGAACGAATTCACCAAGCCACAAACCTTTCGAGCTCATTGGTTACGATGTCTCTGGTTGACCGAACCCTAATGATCTCTCCACATGATTTGAAGTGATCGCGCAACGCGTCTATGATTTGCTTCGCAGGAAGCGAAGTGTCGTATCCCCCAACGCTGATCGCAACCCTAGTTTGCAAGGAGATCAATATATTATCAACAACCCTAATTAATCCATCATCTTACATATACAAATCTCCAAAAAAAAAGCATCAACTTACCGGCTTCTCTCGAGCTCAAACGAGCCTTTCATAAAATCGAAAATTTTATCACCGCTCAATGTCATCCTCTAAAGTATAAATCAGAAAATTTCAATTTCAGTGAGAGACACAAGACACCGGTTAAGAAGAAGAAACCAATAAGGAGAGAAATATTGTGAATTTTGGTTTGTAGGTCCTTGAGGAAGAAGCTATGTATATATCCCCTTTTTTAATAATTATATCTGCTTTGATTTGGGCCGGTTATTTCCTTTTCTTTTTCCAACCTTCTGGATGCTGCTGACGTGGCATCTAGCAAGGAACCAATATTATGAGTTCAAAACAAATTTGTAAATGGGCCCATCAGTGGCCCATTCGAGTAAAGATTATCGGCCGAAGAATCTTAGCTTTCTTGTTCAAGGGGTTGGGGACACTGCGATTTTTCTGTGCTCGGCAACTCCATCAGCTCTCTAATCTCTCTCTCTCTCTCTCGCCTCCTTTCCCTAGACTATAGAATTTCTCCGTTCTGTCACCGGAATTTCGCCTCTTCTTGCTTTGAGTTGATTCGTTGTGTTTTTACGATGGCGAGTTCTCGGATTCTCAGATCTGTTATCTGTTTTTCTTTCCCCTCATCCCGAATTGTGCATCTCATTCCGTTTAGTGTGGATTTCAGGGAGACAGCGGGAAACTCGAGGCGTCAGTAGATCGGCTTCTGAACGAAGAGAAGCAGATGAGACTCGCGGAGAATGTCGCCGGTACAAGGAAAGCCGCTCTCGAGATTCTGCAGCTTTGCTTCGAAGCTAAGGACTGGAAACTTTTGAACGAGCAGATTCTCAATCTCTCCAAGAAACGTGGTCAGCTCAAGCAGGTACTTCGATTTTTGTTAGGATCTCATTAGTTTGTCGATTAAGCTCGCATGTAACATGGATTTTCAGTTTTGATTTTCCTTTTCGTTTGACAGTTTGAATGAATCGTTTGATTGGAACATTTATTGTGATTTCTTCCACATTTAAATTGTGAATTGCATAGGCTTAGTGTTTGGTGACTCTAATCCTGAAAAGAGGTAAAAGGAAATAAACATAAACTTCATGGGGATTTGCCTTTTGTGTTTTCAATACAAACTTATTTTACTGACAATAGGTTGCTTTGTGATTCCTATGATCTTGATTTATTGTTACCCAACTTAAAAGCTGACTGTTGAATTAAGTATTAATGCGAAAATGGGTCATTGCAGATAGTTGTCTTAATGATGGTTGTATTTTTGCTTCAGTTTATTACTAAATTTTGGTTCTATTTTCAGAGTTTCGTTGGTTTCACTCCGCGTTTTGTGTTTTCTTGGTCTAGAATCTTCATACGGAATTAGCTTAGCTTTTTCAAGTAAAGAATTATATTGAAAAGTTGCAATCGGTGATTTTTTTTTGGGTGAACAACTTCATTTGCAGGCTGTGCAATCCATGGTGCAGCAAGCGATGCAGTATATCGACCAGACTCCAGACATAGAAACTCGGATAGAGCTTATTAAGACGTTGAACAATGTGTCTGCTGGAAAGGTGAGAGACTAAGAACCTGATGGTTGTATCTACATCATATTTTCATCATTCTGTGTAATTGTTTACAGTTGACCAAAAAAAAAGTGTAATTGTTTACATTTGAACTCCGCGTGTGTACACAGATATATGTTGAAATTGAGAGAGCTCGTCTGACAAAGAGGCTTGCTAAGATTAAGGAAGAGCAGGGTCAGATTGCTGAGGCTGCAGATCTTATGCAAGAAGTTGCTGTAAGCTTATTCTGCCTTTTGGTACTTAATTCTCATGGAAATCTTCTTTCCTAGTTAAACACTGCAATGTGATCATGAATAACAGGTGGAGACATTTGGCGCTATGGCAAAAACTGAGAAAATTGCCTTCATCCTTGAACAAGTAAGACTTGTGCTATATTGTTGTTGCAGTTTAATATTTTGTTGGTATTTTCATTTGCGGTGCTAACTGCTTTTGGGTAACCTTTAAAAGGTCCGCTTGTGCTTGGATCGCCAAGATTATGTTCGTGCACAAATCTTATCTAGGAAGATCAATCCTAGAGTGTTTGACGCGGATACCAAAAAAGATAAGAAGAAACCTAAGGAAGGTGACAACATGGTAGAGGAGGCTCCTGCTGATATACCAACCTTGTTGGAGCTTAAGCGAATTTTCTACGAGCTAATGATTCGGTAAGGCCTTTTTGTGCTTCTCTTACACATTGTTCTTGATTTGTATTTCAATCAAGCGTCTTATAAATTCGTATTGGTACTTTTATCAACGACCGCTCTCTCCCACTCTTCAATCAATATTAGACTTTTTTTGTTTGCTATGATTTCCTCAGAGATACATGTTCCAAGTTGTTCTTGTTGGACATCATTAAAATTTGGATGAGTCTCCTGTTCTGTGTCAAAAAATTTAGTTTTTTTTTACCCTGGCTAGCGATCTGTGACTTGAATTCCATATATGGTTCCGCTTAATGATGATGTACCATGATTGATTTTTGTGGCATTTTTGTTTTGTATTAATATCTTTATGGCCTAATTCAACCATGCAGGTACTATACTCATAACAATGAGTACCTTGAAATCTGCCGTAGCTACAAGGCGATATATGATATCCCTTCTGTAAAAGAAACCCCAGAGCAGTGGATTCCAGTAAGTCTCATGCTATTGATTGGGGATGCTTACTAGTACACATTCGTTTAGAATAACTTCTCTGTGCTCTTCATTTAACACCAGGTCCTGAGGAAGATCTGCTGGTTCTTGGTTTTAGCACCTCATGATCCAATGCAATCAAGCTTGCTCAATGCAACTCTGGAAGACAAGAATCTGTCGGAAATCCCCGATTTCAAGTATTTTTCTTTCTTCATAAACTTGGTTTCTCATTACTCTTTTGGTTTCAGATGGGTTCTGAGTAGTCTCTTGTGTTTTATATTATTGGTTGCAGGATGCTTCTAAAACAGGTAGTGACAATGGAGGTTATTCAATGGACGGCTCTGTGGAACAAATACAAGGATGAGTTTGAGAAAGAAAAAAGCATGGTTGGGGGTTCTTTGGGTGACAAAGCTGGTGAAGATCTGAAATTGAGAATCATTGAACATGTAAGTCTCTTACTTTATCTCAAAGCTTGTTTACATCCACTTTATGATTTTATTGATGTTCTTCAATTTCCTCTTTATAATTCTGCAGAATATTCTCGTTGTCTCAAAGTATTACTCGAGGATAACTTTAAAGAGACTTGCAGAGCTATTATGCCTGAGCATTGAGGTATGATCTAATCTCACTGGTTGTACCATATGCTTCTACTTCTTATTCTTAAGCTCTTAATTTATAAAATGTCTGGTAATTACAATATCAGGAGGCGGAGAAGCATCTGTCGGAGATGGTCGTGTCGAAAGCACTGATTGCAAAAATAGACAGACCATCAGGAATCGTGTGCTTCCAGATCGCAAAGGACAGCAACGAGATTCTCAACTCGTGGGCAGTGAATTTGGAGAAGCTTTTGGATCTTGTTGAAAAGAGTTGCCACCAAATTCACAAGGAGACCATGGTTCACAAAGCCGCACTCAGACCTTGAAGACGTTCTTTGATGACCATCCTCATGAAACTTTTAAGGATCTTCCTTTGAGTTATTAGCATCTTTCATCTTTGTGTGGGAAAAAAAAAAAAAAACTCGAAACAGTGTTTCATTGACAAGACTTGGAAAATGTAGTATGGTTTTTGTACACTAGTGGAGGTTTTGCCACTTATTGGTTTCATCAGCCATTTGCTTTTTTCGAGTAGTGTTAATAATTTTCTGAGAAAGCGAGGAGGCAAAACAATCTAGAACGTAACGTTCAAAAAAACAATCTAAAGAAACGGGCCTTTAACTATTACAAGTATCTAGGCCCATTATTAACGTAGCTGATTTGTGTTGTGAGGTACCGTTTATAACCTCGATATTGTTTGGAATTGACGAATTAGCACCATCTTCTTCTAGATATCAATCGAACAGGCAGAGAGCAAAATTCCATTCCCTTAATCGCTTCTTCCAATTCGAAACCCTAACAAAAACCCTAACTGACGAAATTGCTTGACGAGGATGGAGTTTGATGAGTACGAGTACCTTGAGAAGACGGTAGGGGAAGGAGATGGATCGAATAGGAAGAATGAAGAGAACGGGAACGAGAAGAGCGATAGGAGTTACAGGAAGAGAGGAGAGAGGCATGAGGAAGAAGACCGTGACGATGAGCGAGGGAGCAAGAGGTCTCGGGGAGACGGCGAAGAGAACGGTGCGGGTAAGAGGAATCGGGAGAGAGAGAGGCACAGGAGCAGCCGAGACAGCAACAGAGACCGCGAGAAAGACAGGAGCAGCAGAGACAAGGAGAGGGAGAGGGAGAAGGTTCGAGAAGGATCGAGAGATAAAGAGAGCGATCGGGAGAGGAGTAGCAAGGAGAGAGACAGGAGCGAGAGGGACAAATCCCGAGACAGAGAGAGAAGAGAGAGGAGAAGCAGCAGTAGATCCCGGAGGGAGGAGAAGGAACGCGAAGTAGTGGAAAGAGGAAGCAGGTTTGTTGGATTCTACTCCCTTGATTATGCTTTATCTCAATCAGCAAACTTTGCTGCTAAAATTTCGGATTCAGTAGGAATGAATTGAGGCAAAGCTCCAATGAACCGACTGAAATTTTTTAAAATGATTTCACGATTGCAGGAGACACAAGGACAAGAAAGATGAGCCTGAAGCAGATCCAGAGAGAGACCAACGAACGGTTTTTGCATATCAGGTAGATTCTTAAACATTGTGTTAATAATGATGGAAAGAGAATCCACACAGTTGAGTTTTACTGATTAAGCAAACCTATCTGTTTTTTGTAATCAACAGATGCCTCTTAAAGCTACCGAGAGAGATGTTTATGAGTTCTTCTCTAAAGTTGGCAAGGTCAGTCACTTTGCCTTTCTTCTTTGTTAATTGTTTTTACGGTTGTAGTTAGTTTAGGCCATATCAAGGTATTAATATGACTCCATGAGTCTTTTGTTCATAATGTCCTCTTTTCCTTATACTTTCAGGTGAGGGACGTGCGATTGATCATGGACAGAAACTCAAGACGATCAAAAGGAGTCGGGTATGTTTTCCTTCCTGTTTCTTTTTAAACTAAGTTTTTTTTTGTTTGTTTGTGCACTTGGTACGTAATATTCTGCATATTTAGTTTTCTCCGCAATTTCAAGAACTCGATTTAAATGTATTCTTAGATTCAATGCGATAATGATGAGGATGATGGCAATACCTTGCTCACTTGTTTAATCAATTCTGCGGGGTCAAGGTAGTTGTCAGAGAACCTGAATCCTATTTCAGTTGTTACTTTCCGTTGCAAGCACTATCAAGGAGGATGGAATCCATTAGTGAACAATGCATGAGTTCTTTTTTATGCTTTCTCCTAGTCTCTGGTGCTTTTCCAGTCCAATGATATTTCACTGATGGATGTGCTTGCTTCGATCTTCTTTGCTTTTTAGATTTTTAACTTTAATTTTATCACGATGGGCTAACATTTTCTATTACTCTAGGCCTCCATCCCACCAAAAGAGACTCAGCTTGAATCCCCGCACTAAAGTTTTTTGTTTCCAACTTCTCTTTGCTACCTGCTTTGTAAGTTTTTTTCTGATATGTTCGTCCCACGCGTGCTTGAAGTCAAATATCTCTCTTTTTTGTATTGCAGGTATATCGAGTTTTATGATGCCATGTCAGTTCCAGCGGCCATTGCCCAATGTGGACAGCTGTTTCTTGGACAACCTGTGATGGTGAAGCCCTCTGAAGCTGAAAAGAATTTGGCTCAATCTAACACCATTCCAGGCGGTGTAGGTGGCAATGGCCCTGTTGATAGGAAGCTTTATGTGGGGAACTTGCATTTCAACATGACAGAGCTGCAGCTTAGACAGGTATTGTCAGTTTTAGACACCCATTCTCTAGATATATGGCTTTCTTGATAGGCTTACTGTTGTTTCATTATTTACCAGATTTTTGAGCCGTTTGGTCCTGTTGAGCTCGTTCAGTTACCACTTGACCCTGATTCTGGGCAATGCAAAGGTTACGGATTTATCCAGGTTTGTAGAACACGTTTTTTAAATTAGTCGGTGCTATTTTTCTTCGTGATTACTTATATTTATTTTCCTTCCATAGTTTGCGCAACTTGAACATTCAAAGGCAGCACAAATTTCCTTAAATGGAAAATTGGAGATTGCTGGCAGGACAATCAAGGTGATTTCTTTAACTCTTATGTGGTCAAATGATGATTTTTTTTGGACTTGCGTGTATCTGATGTACTGCCTTAAATATATTTGTTTACTTAGGTTTCCTCTGTGGCTGATCATGTTGCCTCACAAGACGCAAATCCAAAATCTGCTGATTTTGATGATGATGATGGAGGTGGACTGGTGAGCCAGAGAACTCTATTACTTGTACAATGCTTGGCTCTTTTCTCTGTAATACTTGTTCTTTAACATCTCTCTCTCTCTCTCTCACAGTCTTTAAATGCAAACACGAGGGTTCAGCTTATGCAGAAGCTGGATCGTTCAGGTATCACAACAAGGTATGTCTCTCGTGTATGCATCTTTTGTTTAGTCGTTTAGTTCACAAATGTTTTTTTTGTTTTGCGCGTCTCCTTATAACAAGTGAAATATCTGCACAGCATTGTGGGGCACCTTGGAGTACCAGGGCTAAATGGAACAGCTCTTAATCAACAAGGCATGAATCCTGGTTTCCCCACATCAGTGCTTCCGACAACAGCAATCCCATCTTTTATCACCGAACCAATTGGCCAGCCAAGTGAATGTCTCCTACTGAAGAACATGTTTGATCCTGCAACAGAGGTCGATTCTTGCTTCTTTTTCTGATTTCTTTTTTTTCTTCGTTTGAGAGCTGTGGGAAAGAAAGAAAAAAATGTGAGTGTATGCCTCGTGTAAGTCGGGCTGCTATCTATTTGTTTACAAGTAGTATTAACAGCAAAGTGTTATGTGGTTGCAGATGGAACCGGATTTTGATGATGTTATCAAAGAAGACGTTGAGGAAGAATGCAATAAGTATGGCAGGGTCAACCATATTTATGTCGACAAGTAAGTATCATTTCATTAGTGGTCATCAAAATGGCTCACGGATCATCAATTCATGAATCTGAATCTGGTAATAATGCAGGAACAGCGCGGGTTTTGTCTATCTGCGGTTTGAATCGGTGCAGGCGGCAGCGGCAGCTCAAAGAGCGATGCACGGGAGATGGTTTGCCCAAAAGATGATATCTGCAACTTTCATGGTAAAATATATATATTATTTTCTGTCTTTTCCTCGTATCTTTTCTCAGGTTTATCGAATGAATATATCTATTTTTATTGCAGCCTTCACATGAATATGAAGCGAGAGCCAAGGCGTGAATTGCAGGCAAATAGATTTTCTTGTTCTGACTTGGTAAACCTAAACCGGACTGCGATCCAGATTCAATCTCTTGTCTGAAACATGTTACATAGATCCAAAGATTATTGGGGACCTTTCCTCTGTTTTTTTAATGAAGAATTATTCTTTAGTAACGTAACTCTATAATAATGGTTATATGTTGTGTCGTCATCTTGATTTTCCTAAAATCAGCTCTGATAAACGGTTTATAATTCGGAGCAGGAATTGCTACATTTACAAAGAAAAAATATAGCTATATCATAACGCAAATGAGAGCCTAGAATTTTCTTAAACGTTGCTAAATATTATTTTCTATGAAGTTTTTCTTCTTCTTCCACAACCACAACCTAAAAGTTTTTAGTCATGAGATTGACCCAATCATTCATGGGTGTAAACAAAAGAAGAAATATGAAACCGTCTTACTTCTTCTACCAAGATTTTACTAGCAGTTATAAACGGCCTGACTATAAATATTTATCTCTCGAAACTATTCACACCTTTAACACACGAGATTTCTTGTTATTACGGCTATGGGGAAAACTCAGATAAATTTATACACATAGCAAGCAAGGTTTAATTAGAGTAACTGCGAAAGACAAACGTCACAAAACCCAACACGCGTATATAATTAACAAAGACTTGGACGCGTCCGAAAATTTTGTACGAAAGAAAGAAGAGAAGGCAAGCTATTATCCGTGACTCCGCGATCATAATCATTGGATCTTTTTCTGATTTTCTCCCTCGAACCACATATCTCATCCTCAATCGATTCTTATGATCTTAACAATCTCTAACATTAGTTCATAAAATAATAATGTAAACTACGTTGACTGTATCTCTTTTATAAAAAGGAATTAATTAACATTTTACCTTCATTCATCTGCTTCGAACAGTCGAACTAATAACGAAATCCTCGTAGAAACCATAATGCAACATCTAAACCCTAAGCTTCAAACCAACGAGAGCTGTTTCATCATCTAATCACGACCCTGAGAGGTCTAGTCGCCATGTAAATGCTCTCAAGCGTCCTAAACTTCTTAACCTTCTTCTTCTTCTTCTTCGATGACGACATTACTCTCATGATCACCATTTCTTTCTTGCATTGATCTTGAAAAATATCATCCGCACCGAATATTTCCTCAATCTTCTTCTTCTTGATTATACTGAGATTAGTCTCATCGTCGCTTAGCTGCATCAGATGTTCAGCTGCCTCCATCTCCGTCTCCGTTATCATCTCTTCTCTTCTCCTCTTCTCCATAATGAAGCGAGAATCCTGAAATTGAAATTGAAATATCGAGTTTCCTTCTGAAACTAATAATTCAAATCTCTCTTGCAAATATGGTGTATTGTTCGATCTCTTTTTTATCTTATTATATTTTTTGTAGTAAATTTCTTCGAGGATTACGTAATGTTGAGATGGGTTTTTGAAGGCTATGAGAAACTGCGAGGCTGGTGCTGCGAAATCTCTCTCTCTCTCTCTCTCCCCCTCATCTTTTTAACTATACTTTGCAAACTCAATCCCTATACTTTTTGACTCGTTCAACAACTCACGTCTTTATTTCTAAAACTGTTTCTTTAACCATCCATAATTGTAATTCAAGTTATAAATTCACTTTGGGATTTTCATCTTAGAATTATGCTAAATGATATAATTATTTCTTTTCTTATATGAAAATATGTAAACACACAATTTTATCAGTACCAGTTGAGTTATTGTAATACTAGTTGTAAACTTTGCCAAGTGTTGCCATCTTATCTTAGCGAGGGTCAGAATGTAACCTTTATAAATTTTCTGGCATGGCTATGATTTCCGCAATGTGTTGGGGTAAGTGTATAAAGAGCAAATGTATAGTTTCTATATCAGGTTGTTGTTATGTTTATTTAGGACCATCGCAAAATCTGTACCGTCAGATGCTCTGAGGAAAAATAGTGGCTATGTTTTTACACGAACGCTTCTTAACTGATTTAGGAAATAAATGAAAGTTTTACAAATATCCAAATTACCCTCTCGGTGGCCCCTACCTACTTTGACTTTCCCTTGATCACAAAACGCGTATCTTTCTCTTTTCGCTGACTCGCTCCCTTTTATAAATTAAAACTATTTTCAGTTATTTAACTAACTAAATAGCCTAAAATTTTGAGAGAAGTTTTTTTACGCCATCTCTCACCTTTTGGCCGTTACAATAAAATAAATTTAAAACTATAAACATAATGCATTTCTGTGTTACTAATACCCATTTGATCTAGCAGACCAGATTGACCAAAATTCAGAGGAAATTTTTCTATTTTGATAGCATCAAATTGTCAAAAATGCAACATAAATTTATAATAGGCGGCCCCGATTGTATATTTGTACAAAATATAAAACGAAAATACAAAACTGATAATGCAAATGGTAACACAAACACAATATAAAACTTTTTAAAAAAAATCAAAAATAGAAATGGTAAAGCAACACAGCATGAAGACAAATACACATGCAATTGCAAATATGCAATTCCATAATTATTTACAATAAGTTGAAAAAAGCAAATTGAAAACGAAAATATGAAACGCAGACACATTTACAAAATGCAAATATAAATTCATAAATTTTAAATTAAATATAAGCACTACAAAAACTTAAATGTAAGACAATTTTCACAGGCTTAAATATACGAAAAATAAAGAAAGAGATTAAAAAAAAAGAGGATAAATTGATCGATCGTTGGGTTTGGTTCCAAAAGTTTCCAGTCAAAGACTCGTGTTGACTGTTGACTAAATTCATGTTCCACAGTCTCTCTAGGAGAAGTAGAGAGAAGAATATTGCACACGAAGTCTAAGAGAATTCGGACAAGAATCTCATTATCTTCAGACGACAAGAAAGTATCATTACAGACAAATATCTTCTTCTCAACAAGTACAGAAAAAAACCGTCAGTCTTTTGTTATCTGGAATATGCATAAGATTGCTCAAAATATTCAATTAAAGAATTGATAATATAACACATCTCTCTTTTCTGTTTCACTTTCGCCCAAAAATAAATAACAAGAACTAAATAGACAACATATCTTCTTCTTCTATATCTACAAATTATAGACTACAATACAACACCTTCTTCCAAAAATAACATTATATATATCTAATTTTTTTTTATAATTTGGTTCAATCTAATAGGGCTTTTTCTCCCCAACAATAATAGTAAACACAGTAAAAACGAATTTTCCTCTTTACTTACCTCTGTGGAAAAAACGTTTATGTATCAAAGACAGTCCAAACCGCAGATCTCGAGGATCGGACCGCCTTTCGCCACAAAAGGATTGACTCGGACCCAAAGAAGCGTGAGGATAGATGCGAGAAGGATCGACCAGACAAGAATGATAGTAGGCATCCTGTCTTGTTTCCCAAGCAAACCTTTAAGGAAAGGATAAAGATGGAGTATGACCCAAAGCGCAAAGAACAGTCTCCCGAAAAGCGGCCCCCACGAGTCATATCCGTTACTGATCGCATCAGAGATTCCGACAATGACTCCGATCACGTTGATGATGAGGAGCGTGGTCGGAGGGATCAAGAGAGAGGTCCATTTGAAGATGTAGAGCTCAGAGAATTCACCATCGTCTGCTGCTTTAGATGTGACTGTGAAGTTTGTGTTGACACCAGCTAAAACCTTGAGAAGGCCTTGGAAGAGAGCAAAGAGATGAGCTGAAACGCCTCCGATTACCCAAAACTGTTCGTTTCTCCACCAATCATCGATCCTAACTTTACCCCATTGCATCTCAAGAATCCCCGTTACAGCAATCGACGCGAATAGCGCCATGAAGAGGATACTCGCATAGTTACTAATCTGCAACAACAAGACACCAACACAAGAACCCTTAACATACTATTTCTTAAGAGAACTCAAAGATACACAAAACATGGAATCAAGTTTCAAACTTTTGGAGATTATTTTGTTTGTTTTACCTCGGGGACGATGAATTTGCCGGTGAGAAGACAGATAGCAGGGAGAGAGCAGTAAACGAGGAGAGGAATAGAGGTCCATGGATAAACCACAGAGTTGATGTAAGACAATCTCTCAAGCCATTTCAAACCGCCTCCATAACCGTACCATATAGGGCAATGCCTGCTCATGAAGATCTCAACAGACCCGAGCGCCCACCGGAGAACTTGATGAAGACGGTCGGAGAGATTGATAGGCGCTGATCCTTTGAAAGCCGGTATCTTTGGCGTGCAGTAAACTGATCTCCAGCCATGAGAATGCATCTTGAATCCCGTAAGGATATCCTCAGTGACAGAACCGTAGATCCACCCAATCTTGAAACAAACACCATCAAGAAAAAAATCAAAAAACTTATCGCAACATGAAGATCAAGTGGTAAAAGCTTTATCAAAAGAGCTCTCTGTTACCTCTTTTCCCCATTCGGTTTTATCTTCGTAGCCACAGCTAATGACTTGGATGGCTTCTCTAAGCAGAGAAGCAGGACTCGCGTTCCTAGCAAGCCCACCATTCTCCATAACAGCAGAGGCAACAAAAACAGGAGACTGCCCAAACTTCTTCTCCAACTTCATTTGCGCCGCCTCTGGCGATTTCACCGCATTATTATTAGTGCCTTCAAAGAAACACACAAAAAAAAAGAGTGTTCAGTAATGAGCTGCAAACTAAATGCTGAAAAACCAAATGATGTTTCTTCTATTTACCGTTGGTGCCGCCCTCTTCGATGTTTTCTAGCGCGTGTATCTGCTTCGAGGCCTCTCTGTTCTTCTTTTTCTTATCCGTTGTCTTTGCCTTACGATTCTTTCTCAACCCACAGCAAAAGAGACACCATTTAGGCCAGCAGTTGCAAGTCATGCGCCGAGTCTTCTTCTTTTTCGGCGCATCGTATCCGTAAAGTGCTTGTCTCCTAAAAACACACCCTGTTCCGACGTATATAGGCCCTTGTAGTCCATCCAAGCCTTTCATGTTAATCTGTTTTTCGACAGTTACAAGATTCATCAAAAGACTGTTACGTAAGAGCGAAATGCATAAAACCTCAAAATGTGATAGAGAGAAGGTGTGTGTGTGTACTTACATCGAAGAATACAACATTGCGATTAGAGTATCTGTCGTGTCTATCGATCCCATCGAATCTCTGAGGGAACTGAACGTAACAGATTTTCTTTCCCGACTGAGGATCCATCATGAAACACATTGCTTCTCTAATAGCTTTGCTATTGTTGATGTAGTGATCACAATCCACATTTAGAAGGTAAGGAGCGTTTGATAGAACTCCCGAGACTCGTATCTTCAATGTAAATATACGGTAACATGGAAAAAGTTAGCGAGAGACTCATCAATTCAGAGAACACATTCAAGGATTAAGCAAAGCTATTTTTTTACCAAAGAATTCATGGCTCCAGCCTTCTTATGATGTTCAAATCCTGGTCTCTTCTCACGAGAAACATAAACCAGCCGAGGCAGCTCGTGGTTTTCAACGTCGCGAACACCGTTATTTCCAAGGAAGACCTGTTTCACAGGAGAAGAAACCGGTAAGTTTGGGAGTATACACACACAGCAAATGGAACGAAATGAAACAGTAAAAGCCTCAGAGGCAGCATCTCACCTGGATCATGCCTGGATGATCTCGGACGTTATTACCAGGCCAAGGAGTACCGTCTTGCATAGTCCAGCCTTCTTCAGGCACTTTCTGTGCTGTCGCAACTAAAGCATTGATCTTAACCTTGAACTCTTCATAGTCTCTCTATGACCAGAGAAAGAAAAAAAAAAGGCAATTCTTTTTAATAAAGGCATAACACTTAGCTCAGGAAATTTATGAGCAAGAATATGAACAAACCTTCATGGCTCTGCGTTCCCTAACAAACGCAGGATGAACTTTATTCTTTAGATAATCCATTTTGAGGCAAAAGTACCACTCGGGAGCGCGTGGCTCGATATTGTACTTCTTGCAGAAAGGAACCCACTTCCTTGCGAATTCAGCTGTTTCTGAGAGTGCTTCAAAAGTGAGCATAGCAGCACCATCATCAGAGACATAACAAGCAACCCTGTCTACCGGATAATCAACGGCAAGAATAGACAGGACGGTGTTTGCTGTAATAAGCGGAGGCTCTTTCAACGGATCCACCGTACTCACAAACACATCCACACCGGCTAGTTCAGATGGTTTCCCTTCTTTCTCGTACCTCAGCGAGAGCCGGTCCAAGTATGTCTCTCTCTCTATAGGATACCACTTAGGGAACTGATCAAGAACCCATGAAACCGCAAACCAAATCTCGCATATCACGGATATTAACCACAATGGGTAAGCATCTTTGACTGGGTGAAGGATACGGTAATGGAAGAAGAGACCGAGAATCACAAGACGCAGAATGATTAGCATCCTGTACGGATTTATCTTGCTCGACTTTATAGGTACTTTCCTAGACAGAGGCTGCCTTCCCTCATCCATCCTTCAAACACAAAAAAGAAAGCTCGTAAATACCAAAGCAGAGCAATGAAACATGAACAAAAGACCAGTGTCTTAATTCGGAAAGATTTTGTCTTGTCTTACATGGGGATCTCAGCATCATCTCCATCGCCTAAGCTAGAGTCTCCATCATGTTGAACCACCTGAAATTTCTCGTTCTGCTTTCTCTTCCACTCCTCCATTCGATCCTTCCATGCGACACTTCCATATCCGTAAACCGCGAGGTCTTTTTGAGGTACCATTGGTCTTGGATGTGCTGTGGACAGAACAAACCACTAACTTAGTAACCGCAGACACAGAAACAGACAAAAAAAATGTAATTCAAATACGTTAAGATGAAAATTTACCGGCGGAGTCAGCAAAAGGCGCTTGATGAAACCTATTGACATGACCAGGTGATGGAGAAACAATAAGAGCATGCCTATCTGATGATATCTCAACATCCTACCAAAACAAATTAACACAAATGAGCCAAGAAAAGAGAATTCAAAAACAGAGACAAATTGATAGTAATTGTGGGAAAATATAAACGAACCTCATCTCCGTAAGTTAACAATGGAATCTGAGAGCCAGGAGGAGCAGAAGCCAGATCAAACTCAGAGTTGCGGCGAGAGAAAGTGTCAGTAGCCTGTTCAGATCCAATGCCACTCCTATAATCAAACTCAAAGTCAAGATCATCAATTCCATCATCCTCCTCATCTCCTTCAACCCTTGGACTCCCTGAAAACACCAATCACAGACATTTGTGAGACACTGCACACCTCTCTATCCAGCAAGTTATGAACTAAAGCTAAAACCAGACTGAAACAGTTAAAACTCACCTTTGATGCGCTTGAAGCGGGTTTTGCACTGAGGACAAGATTGGTTTCCTTCTCTTCTCTCGTACTCGTAGCAAGGTCTACAGACAGGGAATGCACATTCATTACACGCCACAAAAGACTCTCCATCATCTGTCAGCTCAATCTCATCTCCACAGATTTGACATGTTTGCCCACTTATTTCTTCCACTGATCTTATCTGTAATAAGAGTAGCTACACATCAGAAAAAACAGCAGAAGCAGACTGATTTCATCTATAAACAAATCGAATTAACACAGGATGGAGATCTCAATCATTTCAAAAGCATTCAGAATAAATGAACTCAAAATTTTGTTCTTTCAAACACAGCATTTAGTTTTGGGGCTTGACATTAGCTTCAATTAGACGATATTACACTCTAGAGCTCAGAAATCAACCCCCACCGACACAAACTTTCACTGTACATCTTCATAAAAGTAGGTAAGAACTTCGGAATCATGATTTCGATGAAACCCCCCTAATTGATTTTTTTTCAACGGGTAAATGTAAAACCCAGATCCAGAAAGAAGAAAAAGGCAAAACCTTTACACGGAGAAACGAAATTGAAAACAATGGGTGCACATGAGAAACAGGAAGGAAAGTGAACTAAATTAAGAAATGAGACAGGCTTCAATTTTGGTAATCTTACTCTGGCACTCTCGTCTGCATTAATTAACACGAACTCGTTCCTGTTGTGAGAACCGGCGATGAGCCGACCACCGGTATTCATATTCACGACACAATCGAATGCAATGGCGGATTCACCGATACGCAATCTAGAGAGATAGCTTCCGAGTGCTGCAACCGGGTCAACTCAGCTAAAGAGATCCAGTCGCTTCAACTCCCATCAAAACATGCAATGAACAGCTTCACGGACGAATCTCAGAGGATTTTGAGTGAGACTTCTCCGGTTTTATGTTCGAGCAAGAAAGGAAAACTTTCAGTTCGTGCGAAAAAAAGGGGAAAACTTTAACAAAATTTAGAGAGAACAAAATGGGGGAAGCCGTGTGAAGAAGGTGTTTGATTGAAATTGAAATTAGCTTTGCAGGCTTTTCCCTCTTTTTTTCTGGTTCTCCAAATGTAAGAAGACAATAAATAAAAAAGGGTAAGAGAAATCGAGAGATAGTGAAAGGAGAGCAGCAGACAATTAAAGAGAGGGGCAAAATGTAGGAGGAGAAGAAGAAGACGCGTATGGAAGAAGATGAAGGAAGAGAGAGAGAGACACGGAAACAGAAGAGAGAAATCGACCAGTGTAAGTGCTGAGGTTTTAATTCAAGCAACCAAGTATCAACTACCAAAGTAGAATAAACCATCGAAACAAAATCGTTAACAAACCCAAAAAAAAATAAAAGCAAAATAAAAAGAGTGGGACCCAGACAAAGTGTGTCGTTTGGCGCTCTCTGTCCTCCACTCCAATTGTCTGAGTAGGCATTTGGTAAATGGTAAGAAAAAAAGAACCGCGAAGGTAGTAGAATCCAAAGTTAATCCACGGACAAAAGGAAAACAACAAAACAAATTTACAGGAAATCTTTTTTACTTTTTTTTTAATAAAGGGTTTACAGGAAATCTTTTTGATAATTTAAAATGACGTGAGAAGAAAAATAGTACTACTAATACTTTTGATTTAATAGTCTTTCTTGGAAATGAAAATATATACATATTAGGTAAACATTGGATCACCCTTACATTTATTTTATTTCCCTCTGATACAGTTCTTATGTCTTTTGTTTCATGACTATATACTACTACTCCAGCAGATAAACTTTGTTACTTGTAATTTTCAATTCATATAATCTTCTAACCCGGCCGGTAAAAAGAATCTTCTACTTTCACAACTTTTGAAAATGTCTCGGACAGAGTTTCCTCTCGTATGATCTCTAATATAATCTTTGAAGATGTTTATTGTGTTTCACTGTTTCGTGTTTGTTGAGATATAGCTGTCAACATGTCACCAGATTCAATACGATCTGTAAGCATCGTGACCATGATCTTATTTTTCTACAATTAAGAAGAAAAGGAGACTGTATTCAAATTTCTAGGTTTTAAACTTGTTAAATGTTTTTTTTTCCAATTATTTCTTCTTTTGCTTTTAGTTTCTTTGCATCATTGTTTAATTTCTTTTGTTTATTGGATCTTTTACAAATGATAATCCAATAAATCATACTATTTGACAGCTTTGCAAGTTTGCATCTATGATGTTTTCAAAGATTAAAACCAAAATCCAATGTAGAAACAATTAATTTTAGTCAACCATTAGAACAAAAAAAAAGCTTCTTAAATTTTGATTACATCATATGTTGACCGCATTGGTTTTAACTTTTAGTCGTGGTTATTATTGTAATGTATTTTCTATTAAACTGAAACACTAGTGATTCAGTAATGCCCAAGGTGTTTCTTTCTTTATATCAATGGTTTTTCATTCCCTTGCCTTAAAATAGACTCTAAACTTTCTATTTCTATATATTAACTCTTCCCTATATATATAATTTAGGGGTTGGCTCCACCCACCACTATATCCCATTTGTCTTTTCTCCTGTTTGCATCTAAAATTTAATGTGCTAATGACCATACAAAAAAAATCTACAAGTGGAAAACAATGTACAAATTATTGAGATTTTAGACTATCATGTCACCTCAAATATATATACTATACATTCATTATTCATATGTATACGTTTGCCGACAATCGATATATATAATAAGCCAAGAAGAAAAAAAACATACGAATTGACAATATTAGCTTAAAACTACAAGTAAAGAAAAAGATGGAATCGCAACTTTATTAGTATTTTTTATAAGAAGAAAAAAACTCTATCAGTAGGTTAAAACATCATATGTCTGTCAGTCACATTCCATGTTAAATTGGAAAGTATTGTATGGACTGTAATCTCCAAATCCTTGGGCCACTTGCTTTTACAGAAAATTATAAACTGTCGGTGCCACATGTACTTTTATTTTCTTCCGGGAAAATTGAGGAAATAAACATGTTGATGTTTAGTCAAATTTTATTCGGATTTAGGTCTAAACAACTATATATTTTATTTCAAGTGAACTAAAGATATGACTTAAAACAAAAAAATTAATGATAACTTTAGGTCTCTTTGCATCGCTCTGGTAACAGTGTCTCGTCTTTTATTTCATTTTGAGTCGACAACTTATTTGTTGTCACAAGAGTGCACTGTGAAATATGACAATGCAGCAACAAATTAATAGTGTAAGGGGTATATTGATGAGGTGATTCGATTTTGCATTGACGACGACTAAACGAAAGACATAATTTTGGGATTAAGATTTATAATATTCTTAATCGGTTTGGGGGTAAAAAGTGAATCAAATTCAGTATAACTCGATTTGAAGAACTAATATAATATATGTTGGAGTATGATTAAAATATAGATAAACTAGAAAACGAATGTGCATGACTAATCTTTGTATTAGATTGATCCAGGGTGTTTATGGCTTAAAATCGTGACATGACTTGAAACCACTCATTTATATTTTATAAAGTGATTGCCAAACATCAAGTTTGGTTTGATAGCTAGTAGTAGTGACACTTTTGTTTTGGCTGTAGCCTATAGGTCCCTTTATTAATTGATTTTTGTTTTGTTTAAAGTTTGTAATTATTACTGGATTGCGTTTGAATCCAATGTTTATTGGTTGTTACTTGTTACTACTTACTAGTATGTGTTCACTGTCTAGTGTTACATTCAGGTAGGCGATAAATGACGTAAAAGAACTAAAAAGGTATGATAATAACTTAGTATATTATAAATACTAGGTTTTCTAAACTCTTGTTTAATCTATGCTATTTTACATATAACGGTAAACATGAAGTCAGAGATGAGATAAAAGTTTGATCCGTCCCCTTAAAAAGCTTGGTATACACATAAAAAACGATCTGAATTAACAACCCCTAAAGCAAACATTTTTAAAACAACTCTTATTAAGCATAAAGCATATAGACAAAAATTTAATGGCGACTGTTGGAAAATAATTCACACCGATAACTCTTCGAAAGCTTCCAACACTACTCCAAAATTTAAGAAAATGTCTTGACAATGTTTGAAAACGACACTACATTCCTTATGTCTGTAAAAACTAAAGTTTAATTTTGACACTATCTCGTAGATCTCTTACTCTTTTGGAAATATATATATTTAAATATCTCTTACATATATATATATATATATATATTGAAGAATTTGATGTTAAAAAAAAATTGGAAACAATGAGTTAATCGAAAATGCAATTTTTTTTTTTAATTACAATTATATTTTACACTAAACAGTACTATTTTTTCCTTGAATACTTTATCATAATTTGAGAACAGCAAAACATATCAAATTTTACGCAAACAATAACATACTGGTCTATGGATTTCATCAAGAGTAATGGTTTCTCAATATACATTTAGAATTGTACTTGTCATAATTTGATAAGCATCAAAACACCTTCTAACTTCATATCCAAAAGATCCACCATTGAAGAAAGGGTTCACAAACTTAAAGCCTACTCACGCGATAGACATAGGAGGATGATTAAGATCAGCATCCATCAAGCCAGTTTCTTCTGTCTCCGTGTCTTCGATTTGTCCGGCCTCTTGACCGTTGTCTGTGTCAGAACCACCGAGTCTTTGTTGTTCCTCAGGCGTAGGAGTGTCCGCAATAGCATCACTCTCCATCGCCTCTGCTTCGCCTCTTAATCCTTCCGCTTCATTAGTAGAACCACTAATATAGATTCCCTCAGCGTCCTGAGATCCTCCACCTTTGGTTTCTTCTTTCTTAGCACGTTTCGCTTTTTCGCTCGGTTTAGCTTGGAATTTGGACTGTACTTCAGGTGGCAACAGTTCAACAGGTACAACTCCTTCGATTCCTAGATCAGTAAACTGTAAAACAAAACGAATAAAAGAAGTTAAAAAAGCCAAATCATATCAAGCATTGAGAAATCAGAGTTTATGAGTTATAAGAAGCAAAGTACCCTAGAGAATCCTTCCAGGTCTTGCCGTGCTGTAAACCGAAGACCTTTCCAGCAGTAAACCTTTCAAGACAGTAACAATTAATGTGCTGTGAGACTTATTTTAACGAGACATTTCAAAAATAAAGTTGTAAAGTCAGAGGAAAGTTATATTTACTCTGTTGTTTTTATGGTGGTACTCATCCTCTATGCCAGCTGACGGGTCCATCTGAGATTTAAGTAGAAACAACAAGTGGGCTCATAAGATAATAATAACCATTCCGCAAAAATGTCGTTTGTCAAAAAAAAAAAAAAAGGTGATTTGTTGTCTTACATCTTCTGCTAATGGTTTCCAGTAGTCTGCAATGTCAGGCGTTCGTACACGTTGAGAATCAGTCAAAGCATTCTGTAAAGACATCAGAGGTACACAATTATTGTAGAGCCATAAATTCAAGATTGGTACAATAACTGAGAAAGAGAGAGTGTGGAATAGAATGTGGCATCGAGGTAACAACGAACAGTGATGCAAGAAAAATAATACATACCGGATTTTGATCGGCCCATCTCCAAAGTTGGGAGAGTTCTTTATTGCCCAATCTCCATCTTTGCTTCCTGTAAAAGCAGAAGATTACCCACGCGGAGCTTATGAGATAACTCTCCTTTTATCGGTTTCTTGCACATAAAGAATTCTAAGCTTCTAATGGCTGACAACCACCTAGGTAATGCGACTACATGAGAGATAAATAGGGAATGCTTTTCCCATACCGTTTCTTTTGCCCTGCGTTAGGTGATTTCTTCTCTATCGGTTGCTTTTCAAATGGTGGGCATCCATCACGTTTCCACCAGACCTGTTTTAGTGGAAATCATTATCGACCGTAGCCTTCAAGCCAGAAAGTAAGAGAGAAAGCAGCACATATACCCAATTCTTTTCACGCTCCAGTATATGCTCAACTGCACGGAGGAATTCTTTCCCTTTAGGGGGAGTGATCTCAAGCAATTTCTTTACGCGATCCTCACATGACTTAAGTCCCTCCTTCTAGGCCAAAAAAATAAACCAACCATAGTTTTGAGTGATTTTGAATAAAACCCGTATACTCAGATATAAGCTAGGTTTGTCAACCTTTGAAACAAAGCAAGAGAACATTTGCTCCTCGAAAAAGTAAAAGCCCTCACCATGGTTTCGGATGGCAGATCTTTGTCGTTCTTCCCCGGTGCCTAACACGAAATAGGAGTCGATTACACCAGAGTACCAGGGAGAATATAATTTAACATACAGTTCTTGAGAGACATTTACCCTCAGATAATCAAACAGAATGAGGCACTGGAGAAGAATATGTCTTCGGAAACTCGAATCCTTTAACTGTGACCAAAAGTGAAAAAAGTGTATTACTGCTAAGTTCAGAAGTTTGTATTGTACTGTCAACACATCTCAAATGCAATCTACACAAAGAGATACAATAAATATATTATACTTACCTCTAAACCCATTAGTTTACTACTTGTTAGGTATTTTATGTTGAAAGTTGCTGCCTCTTCCTCCAAACTATTAGCCTCTCCCTCTTCTTCGCTTAGTGGTTGAGCATCAAAGGTGTTTAATACAACCTACATAGGCAGTTCAAAAAACTAGATCTAAGAAGATTTCTCATTACCACCGGCATCACTGGTCAATGCGTATAGATATATAAGAAACCACAGAGTACATTATAGCCAAAAAGGCAAAAACCATAGATCACATACCGCCAAACTAGATGAAAATTTCTGCCACTTGGTAGATGCCGAAGTAAGAGAAGCCGGATTACAGAAATACTCCTGGAAATGACACAAATTTCTCAATAAAGGAAGCACTACCTCAATAAAGTAACTAACAAAAGAAAAACTGAGATGCTATCTCCAGTAAATGCATTTGTCTGATAAGCAAGCAAAAGCTCTATGAGACAACCCTAATGAAAAAGGCGCAACAGAGTTCCCTACAAAGTTCCTTTGACTACTACGTACCTGTAAACTCCAAAATGTCTTATAGAAGTTGAAATCTACAGAAATTCCTGAGAAGCAATGGCATAGACAGAACGGATAAAACGTATTAGAATGGTCTAACGGATATGAATAGCAGAAACCAATAGATAAGAGTTTCGCTTGCCATTTGGAGGATCTTTTTCATATTTGGTTTCATTGGATGTATTAAAAACGCCTTTTATATTCACAGCTGCAAGAACAAGTCAAGCAAGTAAACGTTACATAACTTCTATATATTTGCATACCTAAAAATCGTATATTGAATAAATTACAAGAAATCCTCCTTACCTGAACGTTCAGATAACGGGAAAAAGTGAGCCAAAAACATGAGAATTCTTCCACAAAATACCACATCATTAGCCTGTATGCCAGATTATGAAAGCAGACAAGGAATTAACAAAGAGTGGAAGTGTTATAACTGAAGAAAAGGAAGATTATAAAGGGTGAAGATAATGAACCTTTGAGAGTCGCCTGAGAAGTTGGTTGCAAGTCCGCAACATTACAAGTTTTCCGCGTGCAAAAAGCTCTTGCTGCAAATAATTGTAACGTGATCCAAGTCAAAAGACAAGATACTCATGCAACTAATACGAAGAAGACAAACTTTAATTTCACCTAAGACAAACCTTGCCCAATATATCTTGTTTGCTTTCGATATAACCAAAAACATCTTTACAGTTTTTCATGGTAGACATTTCCGTCAAATCCTCCAGCAGCTGGAATATCATGCCACCTTCTACATGCTCTTTCTCACAAAGATAAAGCACAACATCTAACAAACCAATTGAAAAAAAAGAACAAGAAGAGAGTGAGAGGCTGGACAAAAGTAAACTATATGAGAATAAGATGTTTTATGGGCACACACTTGCACTTATTAACGAGATATACAAATCAGACTAGAAAGAACGCTTTGGCATAAATTGCTAACCTAGAAGATGAGGAATCTGGCCATGTATATTTTCATCATGATCATCATCAATCAACTGACCATACTCCATTATTTGCTCTCCTGATTGCGCAGCAGAGGCCTGAACCCCAAAACAGAGAGAGAAATCCACAAAATAAAATCAAATGGCTAAATCAACAAAAATATGCAGATAACGAAAATCTATAGAGGAGAAGCAACAGACCACAAGCTCCTGCAGCAACGTCCGGAGCATGTTCTCAAGCATTTGGTTTTCATCTTGGGCCAGCTTTGTTTGTTTCTGTCAGATTATATAGTAGACAAAGTAACATAAGTTAACAATCTACGAACAGAAATGGGAACATTTATTGTAGTCGATGCTCACTCAAAGTTTGACCACACAATACAATGCATCGATGACTTTCTAAACTTCGCAAAATTGTCACAACAGATACACCGAAGAGTGAAAACTTTGTTTATCGATTCCAACAATTACCTGAGGTTGTATAAACTCTTGGACAGTCTTGAGCGCAAAGCTTTCAATTGGACCTCGCTGCAATATAGCATCTCTAAATGCATCCTGAGAAGAACCACAAATTGCACAAATCAGTTTTTTTCAGAGATAAACACTATCAGCGTTTCTAATCGAAATCTGTAAATATGGTGCCAGAGGATCAGTGCTATAGATTTAACCAGGCACAATCAAAAGGGTCGAAAAAAATACCATTCTAAACGAATCAGCTTCCACCTCAAATTGCTTGCCTGCAAATTTTGAAAGGAAACCTCTTGAGCAAAAAAAAAACCTATCGGATTATGGCTGACGGAAAAAAAAAGGACTAATGAAGAGATAATTACTGTTAACACCAGCACCGGATATATTGGCCGTCGGTGAACAAGTACGGCGAAAGATTTGAGCAGCAAGCGAATGTGACTATGAGTCACCGGAATTAAGAGATTCACAGCGACAGTTTAAGCGGATGCGAAATTCGAAGAAAGGAACGAAGAAGAAGAAAAAGAGATGTTCCAATATAAATTTCCCGTTTTTAATGGGCCTACTTATTGGGGTAAACTTATTTTGGGCCTAGAAATTGTAGGCTCATTAACCTAAAGTGTGCAAAACATTGATATTGTTATTTTGGGCCGAACATTGATACAGGCCTAGTTTAGTAACATTGTTATTGTTATTTTCAACTTCCGTTTCCTCTCCAATTAAAAAAGAAAATCCAAAAAAAGTAAACGCCATTATTGCAAAACACTCACATCTCTCTCACCTCTCTCTAGCTGTTCATCTCCCCAACCACAACAAACCAACTTGCTTTGCTTTACTCTGTCCAGGGCAAGAGCATCCTGATTAAAGCAAATCCCTTTTTTTTTACTTGTAATTGTTTTGTCTGAATTCGAATATTTTTTTACGGGAACAAAAAAACTTGCAGAAGAATGAAGGAAAAGCAATAACACACATCCCTCCCCCAAAACAAATTCTAAAGCCTCAAATTTGGAATATTCCCTTTCATCTTCCATTTCTTTTCTTTTTTGTCTTTCTGCCATTTCCTTATTGATCTATGTGAACTCTGTTTTTGATTATTTTGTTCCATCTTCCTCGTAATAGTAAAGCGTCACCAAAGCTCGAAAGGGTCTTTCTTTTATCGGATTTAATCTGCTTCTTATTGTTTTCTTTTATCTTTAAACGATTGAATATAAACTTTGCTGGGGCCTTCTTCCGATTTTCAATCCTCCGATGAATCGAATTCATCAAACGTTTTCTATTTTAGATCTGGTGATGTGATAACAAATCGGCTGCTCTGTTTTTTGGATTATTTAAAGTAACTGAATTTGGGAGGGTGGGAGCTTTCGTTGCTGCCGGCGATGGATTTGGACGATTTCCGGTCGATTATGGATAACGCAGGTGTCGATGTTTGGACATTTATCGACACTGCGATCCTTGTCGCGTCGCTTGATTACGGACAAGAGCTGAAGCGGCGGAGAGATAACATCGTCGAGCGTCTGTACGCGACGTCGATGGCGAACAAGTGTAGAAACTGCGATTTCGGCGTCGGAGGAAGCGTTACGGAAGCAGCGGTTGCTAGGGTTAATGGGAGGGTTCACGAGGAGGCGGAGGAAGAAGAAGGAGAAGCAGCAGAAGAAGAAGTGAGGGAGAAATCTGTTAATGGTGACGACGATGACGATTTCGATCCGTTTGCTGGTTTGTTTGATGATGAGCAGAAGAGTATTCTCGAAATCAAGGAGAAGCTTGAAGATCCTGATCTGGTTTTTCTCTCTTGGATTGGATCTAGATTATGTCTCCTGTGTTCGGTTTTAAAGGACTGAATCGTTTTTTGTTTGTGGTTTGGTTTCAGTCTGAAGAAGCTTTGGTTGAGTTGCTTCAGAATCTGGAAGACATGGATATAACATTCCAAGCTCTTCAGGTAGTAGCTTGAATCAAAATTCCGAATCGAACACTCTTCTGATTCTTCGGTTTGTTCATAGTTTTTGAAACTTTATGATGTTTGGGCACTTTAGGAAACTGATATTGGGAGGCATGTGAATCGAGTTCGGAAGCATCCATCGAACAATGTTCGAAGACTAGCTAAACAGCTTGTCAAGTTACGATCAAATTCAGACACTTTCTGCCCCAGCTTCAACTGTCAAGAACCACTCTTGGTTTTTCTAATTCGATCCACTTGTGTCTCTGCAGAAAATGGAAGGAAACAGTGGACGAATGGGTCAAGTTTAACCAGCCTGGTGATCTCGAGCCTCCGAGTTTGATAGGTAAAAAGAAAAAACAAGTCTAGTTCTCAGAACAAGCATCATTCTTATTTTCCAGATCTCAGAACAATCAATCTATTCAATGTAGCTGATGAGGACTCACCGCAGCAGAAAGCTCTCCACAACAGTAATCGCCAACAGGTAAAAACAGAAACTCTTTTGATCTCTTGGTTAAGTTACTAAATGAGCTTCATTACTAAATGAGCTTCAATTGTCGTCTTGTTTCTCTGTGGCAGGTTCCTGATTTCGGGTATTCACCGGTTCCTCAGACTCAGAGTAAGCTGTTAAAACAAGAATTCTAAAGTTGATATTTGTCCATTTCTATTCCACAAAAAGCTTATTCCTATTCCGGTTTTCAACAGATGGGTATTCCGGTTCAAGCAAGAACAGTAACAGTGGCGAGCCAGAGAGGAAACCAAGACCTGTTGCTCCTCCTCCTAGGAGAGAATCTCCTTCTCCAGCTAAACCATCTCGTCCTTCTCCTTCTCAACAAAACATTCAGGTACATTGCTAAACCGGATCCTAATATCGGTGTTTCAAGTCTCTAATGTTATGCAAATTGTGATGACTTTGGTTTGGGGATTACAGAGGGACAAGGAGCATAAAGAAGTTGATTTCGACACTGCCAGGAAAAGACTACAACAGAACTACAGACAAGCCGAGAACGGTTTTAAAACTCTCGATCAATCATCTTCTGTTTCAGTTTCAGATCTTTACTCAATTGGATCAATTCCTGACCTAGTTCTTTTTTTTTTTTTGATGTTTTGAATACAGCGAAAAAGCAAAGGACTATACAGGTGATGGACATTCATGAGATCCCTAAACCTAAGAAAGGTGGATTTTTTCCAAGAAAAGGCGGCACTTCTCAAGGCGGTAGACATTGGTAAACTGAATGAAAAAGATGATGAGAGTTGAGGGAAACGAGGAAGAAGAGATTGAAAAAAGACAGAGAAACAAAGCTCTGTTTTGTTTTGTTGTTTAGACACACAAGGAGAGACGGTGAATTCTAAAAGTGTTTCAAGAATTTGGAATTAAGTTGGTGGGTAAACTTGTTTTCCATTTTGTTGTTACTCTACTATTATTATTTTTTCTGATAAAGAACATAAATTTCTTGGTTTTTATGAATAATAGTAGAATCGAAAAAATCAAGTTTACCATTTGTGTTTTTGTGGTTTACACAATGATGCTTGTATCTTGTTCTTTAGAGAAAAAAAATGAATGGGGAATTAAATTTCTTAGGAATTGATTCTTTTGCTTAATGTCATTTTATACCTAAAGATTTGACCTTTTTAATTTATGTTTTTTTTTCGTGCAGATTCACGGGTTGCAGGAAATTTTTACCAATTACAGTCAATGTAAATGCAGTTTCTATTTAACGGGACAATCTTGTAAAGTGGTTTTTACTTTTTGGGTTTACAATAAGGACTAGAAGTAAAATTTGGAGGTATTTTTCCAAATTACCCAAAATATTTGGATGAGTAGAAAGTGTAATTTTAATGTCGAGCTTATCTTTTAGATTTGGGTTTAAGAAATCGAAACAAACAAAAACAAACGAATTTTTTTCTTTTTGACTTTCTGCTCTAGCCTTCAGACCCCCCATATGATGAATGAGACCCATTTTTATTTATCTTTTTGACCGAATCATTGTGGATACGCATGAGCTGTTTTGTTAATTATTGTATTAAATTATTTATACAGGGAAATTAATAATATAATTAATAGTGGCATACTTCAAGGGAACAAGACAAAATTACGCTTAAATAAGTAGATTAATTTTCATTCTTTATCCATTTTAAAGTACTTCTATTGTTTTTTAAGTGTCCATTGAGAAGACTCAAGTGGCAACTATAACCCACCAAGCAACTCCACATGTACGCCACAATTTCAATTGAAACTTTTATATTATTATTTTGTTTTTTTCTTAAAATGACAAGAAATACTGAATTTTTTTTTTCAAAAGAAGTTAAAAAACAGTTAGCAAGAAAAAGGTAATATTAGATTAAATACTAATTTTATATAGGATTTGTTGACGTGTTTAACACCTACTTATAGCCAAAAACACGCCATCATCGTCTTAATATCGTATAGTTTATATACAATCGAAATAAATGTTTAATTAATCATCACTCTTGGAAACCACGTGATATTTAATTAAGAAATCACATAACACAAAACTACCAATTAATGCAAGCAACTGCTATTAGATTAATTAGATAAGGGAATATCTTCATGAATATACTAAACTACACCTTGCACCAATTTGACCTGATTTCTCATTAACCGGATTCGGTTTACCATAGACCAAACCTGAAACCGACTTCCACAATTTAGTTAAACACTCGATCTCCCGCAAAAAACACTCGGACTCACTGGAATTCTTAATCTTTAACAAAGGAATACGCCTTTGAAGGCTTTGGCTTCCTAATCACAAGCTTTCTCTCCTCTGGTTTATCCTTCTTAACTTCCCCATCTTTGCTTGTGTAATAAGAATCCAAAATTTGCAACAACGAACTCTCATTATCCTTTCCATTCATCACTTGCTTCTTCTTCTTCTTCGGGTTGTCTCTCTCTGAGCCAGAATCTTCATCCTCTGAGAGAGATGGTTCATACACTGGAAGCTTTTCCGTGGTCGTCGTCGGGTGGTTACTTGTTGCGTCAGAAACTGGACCGAGTTCTTCGAATAACAAGTCCGACTCATCTTCTTTTGCAGACTTAGCACCTGGTGAAGAAGTTGAAGGAAGAATGTATCCAGATGCTATTCTCACTCCAGGCATTGCTTGAATCAGAGACTGTAGGTTTTCGTAACCGAGCTTTTCAACGGCTAAATGGTACCCGTATTCCTCTAAGAAGTCTTTCCTGAAACGAATCAGGCTATAACCTTCAGGGTTTTTCTCTGTTATCTTCTTTACCAGCTTCTGACAGTCAGCAACTGCATTGCTTTTGTAACTAACAGAAACTCCAGCATGAGCAACGTTCTTCCACCTTTTCTCACCGTCTTGTTTCTGCGACTGTGATTTTGCGCAATCCGAGAATATTGAGCTCAAACCGTTTGAAGTATGACGATGGCTAGGGCTAGAGTCTTTGATGATGCTGAATGGTGGGGAAGAGGAGGGGTCTTCTTCAATCCATTTCTTTTGTGATATTAATAAGGTAACTAAATGAAGCATGCTTGATTCATCGAGTTGTCTGAGACAAGAAGGCCCTTCCCTCTGCAGATTCTTAGCCATCATTTCCCTGACAGGTTGATAAAGAACATAACATTAGCCAAATACTCTTCCCTGAAGGACGGCAACAATGGCTAATGCAAGAACCAATTGTAACTGTTCTCAGCCTAAGATAAATATACAAATTAATTAATATGTAATTCACACTCATTCCAAATATAAAGGAAAAGTAAGAACCTTGTCCTTGAGTGAGAAACAATAACGAAGCCTCTTGGAGAATTAATGAAAGATTCAAGATCGCTCCAGGAAGACTCTTCTGCAAAAACGGCATGTACTTGAGAATCAACATCGACCAGCTTCTGATTCCCACTCGAGTCATTGCTAAGCCCTGTGTTTCTTCCCCAGAACTTGAAACTCTTCACAAGTTGGCTAAAAAGTCCCGGACTTGCATTTTTATCATTATTCTCTACTTCATCCGTTCCTGCTATTACCTCTTCTGCAGATTCCTTACCAGAGGAAGCTGGGATTTGAGACATGGGATCAGTTCCCTGACTCGATGATTTTAAGTCCTTATCCTTAGCCTTGCCATCATGAACAACCCCTTCGCCCTTGTCTCCACTTCCAGAAGCATTTTCATTTTTTGGTAGACGCTCTGCTTCCATCTCAGGTGAACCAGACCATAGTCTTTTTAGCTTGTGAAAAAATCCATCTTCCATGGAAGATTCACTGCCCGCTATGAGAGCGACCTGATTCATCTCCACCGCTTTGTCATTTGCATTAACGTCCTTCCGGTTGATTAGAATGGACTCTTGGGAACTCTCTGGTGTGTTCTCTTTGACATGTTTATCATTCTCAGTTACAGTGTCCTGCTTCTTTCCAAGTGAGTCATCTCTTCTTCTTTCAGCAGCAACTTCTACATTAGCAGTTTCCTTCTCTTTAATCTTCTGATCAACGGCAGTATACAAGCCAGGACTGGACTCAAGTCGCGTAGGAGTTGTTTTTTCGGCGACAGCACGAACAACAAACAAGCCATCACTATCTGTAGTAACTTGAAAGATATCTGGCATGGATTGTAGTAACCGAGCAAACGTCTTATGTCCATAGAAATCCTTATCCATGGCCAAGTTGCTCTTAATCAGCCCGGCGTGTAGTTCGGAAATGGGTGCCCCCTTGGGATTAAAGCTCAAGATCAGACGAATCTTGTTAACAACTTCTTTTGGGACAGAACGAACTTTAGCAGAACTCGAATTAACCGATTCCGACTCGGGCTTAGACTCGGAAACTTCTTCGGTTTTCACAGTAGAGGATTGCTCAGTGGTGGTGGGGGTTGCAAATGGGTCAAGAAGAGGAACCCTATAGTGACCATACCAAGAGTTATAAGGACCATCTGGAGGCTGGTTAAAGTGCTTAGCAGTGACATTCTCTCCTTTGATCAAAGCATCCCAATCCCACATGATCGAAGCAGCACTACACAGAACGCCAGGAGCAGATGATTTGCTCGCCAGCAAAACGTTGTAATTGCTCATCCTCAATCTGTGCAACACACTTGCGAATCCCTCGTCGCTGGAGATTAGAAAGAGATGAGCTGGAGGTGGGTTCTGAGCAACCCAGCACATTAGATCCGTAGTCAGAGACCTATCTGCACTGTTCTTCCCACCTGCGAGAGAAATCGAAGAAATGATCAAGCTGAGAGAGCGTCTATCAGTAACATTCGCAAAGAGGGAAACAAAAATCGAACCTTGAGGAACATGAGAGAGACTGATTCCGGTAGCGGAGAGAGCGTCTTGGTTTGATCTGGGGAGCTTAAAAACGTCTCCGAAGGCTGTGATTGTGATCGGACCTTTGATTCCGCTGTTTCTGATAGCTGCGGTGATGTATTGCGCTACCTTGAAGACTTTGGCACCCGCCGGCAAATTGCATTTATCCAAGTCCCACCACACCGAAACCCTAACGGACCGAGACTCTTCGTCGTGCTGAGGACGCCTCGAAGAAGAATGGCTGGATCCGGATCCGGAGGCGGAGCCAGTGGTGGTGGAATATGTAGAGGATTGAAAGTTAGTGACGAGAACGGCGATCGCTCGACGGGAAGATTGAGCGGTGGAGGAAGAAGAGAGGTGGAAGAGGAGGGATTTTGACGGTAGAGATGCCAATTTCATAGTCGGAGAACTGATTTTGCTCCGGGAATAAAATCGAAAATGGATCAGTGGCAGAGGGTTTTAGGAGTGAGGGAGACGAAGAAAGGAAAAAGCAGCGCTTAAACCCTAATTATTCATTTATTTTTATTTATCGGAAACCGAATCGAATCCAAATTGAACCAAACTAAACCGAAATTTCCCTAAACCAAACAACCATAAGTGTGTTTAATTTCTAATTGGATAAGCACTTAGGGTTCCCCCAAAGATTGTTGCAGAGCGAGAGGGATGGGTGTGACGAAGGAGCAGGTCGAAGCTTCGCTGACTTCGAAACTCAAGCCTATTCATCTCGTGAGTTTTTCTTCGACTCCTTTCTTCTTTCAATTTCATCTCTTGATTGAGTCTCCTCTTCAATTTTGTTTGTGTTTCTTCTGGTAAACATGGTCAAGTTGATCTTTTTGTGTCGTCACTTGGATCAAACCATAAATTTTAATAACTTGATCATAGGATGATTCTGGAACATGCTTGCTTCTATTTTTAGCTGTGGTACTAGTAATATTTATTGTAATATCAGCATCTAGAGAAATTATCCATCACTTTGTGTTATAATTCTGATAATGTGGGTGATGATCTCAAGATCCGATGATAGGGCTTCATGATGTATTAGTAACTTACGAGCTGGGTGTTCTTATCGGCAAAATTCTGTATGTTGTTGTTTGTGAATTGGAACTCAAAACCAAACCCAAGAGTGTGTCTTTGCCTTACAACATGTGAAGATTGAAGTTAAACTTAATCCAGCATGAGTCTATTACCCTTTTCATTGACTCATGGTTTCAAAATTGTTCCATTTTTAGCTTCGATTCTCTATAGAATGCTTAAGAATTTGAGACTGACATTGTTCATTTTTGTGTGTACCAGGAAGTCATTGACATATCTGGAGGGTAAGTACCTGATTACCAATATCATCACAGACATCCTTAATCCTCTGGCTTAGGGCATAACCTCATGTTCTTAATCTTTGCTAATCCCTTTTTTAACAGCTGTGGTGCGAGTTTTGAAGTCGAGGTTGTCTCTGAACAGTTCGAGGGGAAGAGATTGCTGGAGAGGCACCGTATGGTGAATGCTGCACTTGAAGAAGAAATGAAGGAGATTCATGCCCTCTCTATTAAGAAAGCTCAGACTCCACAACAATGGAAGCCATCACAAGACTCTGCAACTCAAACCAAAGATGCTTGAAACTCTGCTTTTAATGCCTTGTGACAAATAACAGATCATCATGACTATATGTTTGATACTTTGTCGTTGCTTGCAAATCTATTAGACTATTACAAATATATAGACAGAGTGCTGAGTTTGATCATTCATGGCTTTCGTTAAACTAATCACTTTTTCTAAATAAAAAGTGAAAAAGTGGTATAATCATAAATTTAAATCCCGAATAGACAAAACAAATGTTAACTGCATTTTAATTGGTGGATATAAATGGTAAAGTTTACGTTACCGAAACGACAAGTTTTCTGACAGCGTTATTAAAACCACATTTGTGTTGTTAACAACACACTCCACACTGTGTGTGACCCTAACCCAAAAAAAAAAAATGGCACATAATGAAATTGACAAATTGTATCGGTATCGAGAAACGAGTTTCGCTGTCAAGTGGTGGTACTGGAAGCTTTATTCGATCAGATCTACGGTGCACCTAATTAGCCTAATCAAAAGCAAAACACAAGAAAATAATTAATTTAGTGGCCCAATCCAATGAATCAGCTCTAATTATATATTTATATAATTTTTTGGGGTCAATCTTAAATACTAACTTTGTTCAAATAATCTTATATAAAATTTGTAAGTGACAATCTCTCTAAACTGTAAAAAATCCACAAATCAGTTTTTATGTCTACCAAAAAGTTAAGATGACAAGTGTAAAAGATTAACAATAGAAAACCAGAGAAGAAAAAAAAAAACATTGGGATTTTAATATTGTTAATCTTTTAGCATAGACATAGTGAATGGTGGTGATCGACTGATGATAGATGCTAAAAGATAGATAAAATAACCAAACTGTCCAATCTCATCCCCATAAAATTCACCGTCTCTTCCCCTCCAAATCCCCATTTTCTTACCTAATAATCACATCCTTGAGATTCCTTGGTGATTGTGTTGACAACAGGCAATGTCGAGTAAGCTTATCCAACCACCATCAATGGCGGCTTCACGAGGAGCAATCTCAAGAAGAACAGGAAACGCCAAGATGCTACTCTCCTTCAGTAATTCCAATCGCAAAACGCTGAGTTTTAGTGACAACCCGTTTCGTCTCAGACCCATGTTCATCGGAAAAGTCACAGAACAGAGCTCTGCTTCCTCCCCAAATGAACAACAAGAAGAAGAAAAAGATATTGCAGTTTCCCAGATTAAAGAAGAGCTCTACGAATCTCTCAAAGGTGATTAGATTCGCTCCTTTCACGATCCTTTAGCGCAAAAAAATATGTACTTTCTCCAGTTTGAATCACTAGGTGGTGCAAAAGGTAGAATTTGATTTCAGTCATCGAGTAAATAAGTTTTTTTTAAAAAAATTTTACTGACATGTCAAAGAATGAATTGTATGGAGGATGAAAAGGGATCAATAGAGGGATTTTCGGAGTTAAATCGGATAAAAAAGCAGAGATCGAGCGTCTGGTCGAGCTTCTGGAATGTCGGAATCCGACGCCGGAGCCAACCGGAGAGCTAGAAAAGATCGGAGGTTGCTGGAGACTAATTTACAGCACAATCACTGTATTGGGCTCTAAACGAACCAAGTTGGGTCTTCGAGATTTCGTCTCTCTCGGAGATCTTCTTCAACAGATCGACATTGCTCAGGTAAACCAAAACCGGATTGGACAAGATCTTCAGCTTTCCTGGTGTCTGATTTATTTTCTGTTTTAACGAAGGGCAAAACGGTCCATGTGTTGAAATTCGATGTCCGGGGACTGAATCTACTCGACGGCGAGTTTAGAATCGTCGCCGCCTTCAAGATCATATCCAAATCGGTACATTACAAATAACAACTTGGCGTTTTTGGTTTCAGATCGCGTTTTTGACGGATTTGCGTTTGTTTGTAGAGTGTTGAGATAACTTATGAAAGCTCCACGATCATGCCTGACCAGGTAAGTGTGTATTTAGTTTCTTGACATAATCAATTTGTAGAAGAAAAAAAGATTTATTTATTTTTGTTGGAAAACAGTTGATGAACATCTTCAGGAAGAACATGAATCTTCTTCTAGGAATCTTCAACCCGGAGGGACTATTTGAGATTTCGTATCCTTTGAACTAAAAATCCAGGAACGTAATCGCAGTAATTACTTCTTCATTTTTTTTTTGTTTTGGATTCCTTGATTCTGAGAATTTTGCAGATATTTAGACGAAGATTTACAAGTAGGGAGAGATGGGAAAGGGAATGTATTTGTATTGGAGAGAACAGAGAAACCCTAAATTTTTATAAGAAATTGCTTACTGCGTCTTTCAAACTCGGTTCCACAAGAAGAGCTTGCTTGTTCCTCAAGAAAAATATCAACCCTTTTGCTTTAATTTGGTTATATCCTCTGTTTCGTACCATGAATACCTCCTCTTTGCACTTATCTCTAATTTGGTTATTCTCTGTTTGATACCATTTGCCGGCTGCTTTGCTGCAGATTCCGACCTCCCAGCTACTTCCTGATAACGGCTTCACCGACGTTTTGGACAAAAACTTTGATTGTAACCGAACTCTGAAAAATGTATGACTGCTAATTAGATACCATCTCACACACACAGAAGATATAATAATATATAACTTTTTAGAAAAATATATTACCGAAGAATGTTATCTTCTCTAAACCCCGCAGAGAACACATGCATACCGAGCCACAAACTGCGCTGATAATACCAAGCTCCTTGAGTGTGAGAGGAGGTTCTAATGGAAGGTATAAGGCGTCGGAAAAAGGGATGGATCACCACAATCATCATCAGCTACGCAATCATGAGCATCAGGGGGTTGAACTTCATCGTTATTCTTAGCCTCACGGTGGTATCCAAAGAGCTTGTGCTGGTAGAATGTGTGACAATGGGTCTGATTTCCACAAGAAGCGTATTAAGGGCCATCAACGCCTTCTCCATCTCCAACCCCATTTTGGAAACCAAACGAGCAATTCTCTCCACAAAACTCAACTTTTCTACATCAGAAGAGAACCTACACTCCCTAACCCTCACTCTTTTTTCGTCTCGGCCGCTGCGCATGTGTCTCTCTTTCTCCCGATCCCTCTTACCCTCACGGTCGTCACCGTCTTCTTCCTGTAACTCCTCACGCTCTTCTCGTTCACACTCTTTTCCCTCCTCTTCCTATTCGATCCATGTCCCGTTTTCTCCAGGTACTCGTTTTCGCTATGTCCCTCACGTCGACAGCAAACGGTGAACGATCGACTTGATAGCTACTTTTTATCAACGAAGCTTCTGTTCCCTCCCGTTATCCAATGGGCCTTGGGCTACTTATTTCCTTATTATATAGGATTGCGTTATTTCCTTATCGAATTGCCTTATTTCCTAATGACACACACGTAAACCCATTATATAGGATTGCGTTTTCCTTTTAAAATTATAATATAAAAAGAAATTGTCAAATTGGGGGGGTTCCCTTTTAGTTTCTTTTATGCGATTTTCACAGCTAAAATATTTGTAACAGTTTCAGTTGGGGTCCGATAGACATCTATACTTTTTTTTTTTTGAATTATATGTTACATTAATTCAAAGAAAAATCATTCTTACATCAGATGCTTCTTCAGTTGTAGGTTTCTTCAGTGTTGGACATCTATACTTTGAATTCAAGAGTTATCTAACATTGGCTGTGTTGGCTCATCGATGAAGAAAACATTAGATTCTTGGAAGGTTCGATAGACTTTACAAAAATGTACATAATAAAGTTAGAGGAAGTCGGTGATTATGTCAGGCAACTACTCATTTTTGTGTGTGTATGTGAGCTGTTGAAGGGAATTTCTTCAATGTGTCGATTAAAGTATTTGGGTGATTTGGTTGGACCGACCATTTCAAGTCTTTTCAACAGTGGGGACCAAACAAATTAACTCGGTAGGAACATAAACAGATTGTGATGTTTTAGACATTTTGTGATTTGAAACATGTAATATATTCCAAATACCCAAACACAATAGCATAACCAATAATATACATTTCCTTTCACCTACAAAGACAAAACAATGAAAATTATTGATTGCTAACTGTTGAAATTTTTGGGTTTTAATTTTTGCCAGTAATTTGATGTACAGTTTACCTCAATGGACCTTTTGAAATAGGCGGTTTAGCATGAGCCTATACATGAGTTGTTACTAATTAACTTCTTCATAGCTAATTAGTGATATTTTGCATATTTCAATTTTCCTTTCCATTTATATTCGAAACACTCATCTAATTCATAGGCTGCATTTGCAATCTGATACTCGAAAATTTTGTCCCATACAAACAAAAGATCGTTTCGCAACGGCGAACACCAAAAAATTGAAGACATCCAAACCAATATTTATAGGGAAAAAACCCAAAAATGAAGCAACGACCAAATATAATATGATATTTTTTTTGCTTAATACGGACAAAAAAAAAAGCACCATCACAAGCATCCTAAAGAGAGAAAAAAAAGAAACAGATATAAAAACTAAAGTACACAGAGACTCTCGAGACATCCAAAGGGTTCTAAAGAGACCAAAAGACAAGAGAAAACAACCACATGACAACAGATAGTTTCAATTCCCATCTCAACTAGGGAAATAGATTGTAACAAACTCACCACCACGAACGAGAGAAGAGAGCCTTAGAAGCATTTCCTGTGAACAATCGATGGACCCGACTCATCGTACTCTCCCTTCGAGATCCACATCTGATTCACACACACACACAAAGCAAAACAGGTTTCAGTATATTATTCACTCTCAAGTTCCAAGGTTTTTTTTTAAAAAAGAGTCAAGAATCGGTTTTATTTGTACCTGTTGGAAAGTGCTGAGGGATGCAAGGATGGATCCTCCAATCCAGACACTGTATTTCCTCTCAGGCGGTGCGACGACCTTGATCTTCATGCTGCTAGGTGCGAGTGCGGTGATCTCTTTGCTCATACGGTCAGCGATTCCTGGGAACATGGTTGAACCACCACTGAGGACGATGTTTCCGTAGAGATCCTTCCTGATATCGACATCACACTTCATGATGGAGTTGTAAGTTGTTTCATGGATTCCAGGAGCTTCCATTCCGATGAGCGACGGCTGGAACAGAACCTCAGGGCAACGGAATCTCTCAGCTCCGATAGTGATGACTTGCCCATCAGGTAGCTCGTAGTTCTTCTCCACTGAAGAACTGCTCTTGGCTGTCTCCAGCTCTTGCTCGTAGTCAAGAGCGACATAGGCAAGCTTCTCTTTTATGTCACGGACAATTTCTCGCTCTGCCGTTGTGGTGAACATGTAACCCCTTTCGGTGAGAATCTTCATTAGAGAATCTGTGAGATCCCTACCGGCGAGATCGAGACGGAGGATAGCATGCGGAAGTGCGTACCCCTCGTAGATTGGCACGGTGTGAGACACACCATCACCAGAGTCGAGAACAATACCTACAAAAACAATAACAAGAGGAGAACATTTTTAAGCAAACACAAGTATAGAAGAGAGAATGTCACTCAGATTTACATGATCTCAAGTTGAGCACTAACCTGTAGTACGACCACTGGCGTAGAGAGAGAGAACGGCCTGGATGGCAACATACATGGCAGGGACATTGAATGTCTCGAACATGATCTGAGTCATCTTTTCCCTGTTGGCTTTAGGGTTAAGAGGTGCCTCTGTGAGAAGAACCGGGTGCTCCTCAGGCGCTACACGAAGCTCGTTGTAGAAAGTGTGATGCCAGATCTTCTCCATGTCGTCCCAGTTGCTTACAATACCATGCTCGATTGGATACTTGAGAGTGAGAATACCTCTTTTGGACTGAGCTTCATCACCAACGTAAGCATCTTTCTGCCCCATCCCAACCATGACACCAGTGTGCCTGGGTCGACCAACAATACTTGGGAACACTGCCCTCGGGGCATCGTCACCAGCAAAACCAGCCTGTGCAAATATAAGATCGTGATTAGAGATCTTCAAATACAACAAAAGACACATAATCATTAGCTATACAAACAATATCTTACTCACCTTCACCATTCCAGTTCCATTGTCACAGACAAGGGGTTGAATGTCCTCACCGTCAGCCATCTTTCACTAAGCAAAGGCAAATGAAACCGAGGCAATTAGATAAGCTCCTGAAGTAAACAAACACGACGATCTAGGATCTAAATTATAAGCTAAACCGAGGCAATCAAACAAAAACACTAAATAAACTCCCACGAATCGGATCACAGCCTAGTTTTGACGATTAGCTGCGTTAACTGAAATTGAAACCTCGGTTTACATGTTAACGATTAATCAGATCAGGCGTGGAGTCAAGAAAGATGAGATAAACCTGGGTTTAAACTTCACAGATCTCAGAGAGAAAACACTTGAAATCGACTTGTAATCGTCGACACATGACAGATCGAAGATTAAAACTAGATCAATCGAACACACAAAGTGAATCACGAAATCATTTCGAGCTAGACACTTCACTTCACTGAAAATTAACGGCAACAGATCGACACAAGCCAGAATAATCCCCGAACTCTATAGATCTAACGCATAAACCTTAAGAAATCAACGATTAAATCAGATCGATCCAACAAGCACCGAGCGAGGTACAAAAGATATGAACGATTTTCTGATAAAACCCAGCGCATGCGTGATAGATCTAGCAAATCAGCAGAGGAAAACAGCAAACAAGCAGAAGAAAATCAGGCGATGAGTGAAAAAGAGTCGGATCTAAACTCACCTTTAAGAAGAGAAAACGATTCGAGAAGCAGCGAGAGGGAGGGAGAGAGAGAGAGAAGAGATATGAAGCAGAAACAAACAGCGGCCAGCAGCTACTTAGGAAAGTGATACGAGAGTATACGTGCGAATATATAGGTAGGATTTTCCCTTCATTTCACTCCTCATTTTTCGTTTTTTATAATTTCTATGTTTTTTCAAGTTTGAAACGAAATTAAAATAACCTGCAGGGGAAAATGCTATGGTGACCTGGCTGGACACTTGTTTTGGCTCACCGACGCTTCTTCAGCAACCGTCGGATTGTTATTTAGATTTATATCAACCGTTGATCGCAGTTCCCTTCAAATAAATCATCCCGGGAGCCGTGACTTATCGTGACACGGCTAGGCTAGGCTCTGGTTAAGATTTATCGGCTCGGCTTCGGTGGTTCGGACAGGGTTCAAATTTTATTCTCGATGATTGCAAAAACTAATAATGATAGAATAAAATAAAAACTATTGCTGACAAGCGGACTTTGTGGTTTTTCTCCCGTGACTGTTTTTGAAGATCCATGGAATTTTAAATTTACTAGTATCATTTATGTTTCTCTTATTTAGCTTTCGTCTTTGTGAATTCAAACTTCAAAGTTCAAATACTAAAATTAAAATTTTGACGGGAACACGATAAAATTGACGGAGATTTTGAGTAGTCCACTTTTAAAGACAATTCATTGTATTATAAAATCTGTTAAAATTGACGGAATTTAAAAAAAAATGTTGCTGTCGTTATATAAATAAAAATTATACTGTATATTTTACGTTTGAACTCATGATGGACAAACAAGATATTTTTACCAATTCACTAACAAAAAATTGCGTGTGGGCAATTGTACCTGAGAACAAAATTTTTATATATATTTCTTTTGAATATACTGTATATGAAAAGTTACGGTGCGGACATTGTATATTTTTATGAAACAAATTGTTATCAGAATAGGGAGATGTTATTGGTTTATGTATTTTAATGGATTTGGGAATCTAAACCAAATTCAGTGTTATTGGTTCTTGTATTTTAAAATTTATATTGAAATACAGTGTTATTGGTTCTATGATTTTAAAATCCATAATGA